AAAACGAAAAAATCCTAGGTTTTAAATTATAAGCAGTCCGCATTTCTCCCTTTTTGTTAATAATTATTGTCTATTTTAACATATTTTTTGACAATATTAATTTTATTTGTAATTTAAAATGTTAATTTATCAATATATTTAATGTATTTACTCAATTTCTTTTAAAGATAAAAATCTATTTAACAATATTTATTTTATGATATAAATTTTTTATTATTTACTTTGCTATATTTTGTTATTTTTTATCTTTCTTATTAGTTTTATGAAATATTTTTTCTAGTTTTTTTTTTAAGAGCTTTATTTTATAATACATATATTTTTCATCCATTCATTAAATTTTTGTCATTATGCATCCATAAATTCTTTCTTCCTCCTTCCTCAAAATTAAGATTAAATTCATGAAATAGTCGTACGAATTCTACTATCAATAATCACATACAGATATCATGACATCTTGAAACTGTTATATTCATATCAAGGGAGGGAAAAGTGCCTTTCTTTTGAAATTTGAAGCCTATCTATTGAAGAATTGTGAGAGGGTTTCCAAATTTTTTTGTCAACTCATTACTGCATTCGGCAAAAACACAATTATTTGTGTTAAGCCTTTTGCGTAACTATCCTACCTGAACAGCCGCGTTTGTGTTTTTATTATGTTTCTTCCAGCAGCTCGGCATAGCTCAACCTTAAATGGGCATGCCGCATTTTCCTGACTCGCCATTACAAAAAAAAAGAGATATTACCAGAGGCACTTTATGGTGTTTACAACATAAAAAGCGGACGTTTTACAACTCTCAGCCGCGCGTGTGCGAATCAAATAAATTCAAAAATTTTAGGGAAAATAAATTTCGTTCGCTCCCGCTGCGTTTTACGACCGGTGCTAACGCAAATTAGTTCTAATTCAGCGCGATGAATGGAGAAAATTAGCTTCTTGCGCCATCCGCGCCGCCGAAGATTTAATTAGGTGATTCAGCAGCAGCTGCCGGTGTTTTTCAATCAGACCTGTCAGGAATGTCATTCAAATTAATTTAATATGCTGGCTGATCGGAGGTGATCTGCGATCGCCACTTGCAGCAAACTCAAGATATTTGCTCACATGTGGGATTAAGATCAAGCTTTTTTCCGATAACAGAAGACCCTGTCTTTTTATTTTGCTCGTAACTGATAAGAAAACTGATAATGAATATGTTTTCTATGAGATAGTTGCTGATAAATAGAGAGGTTTTGTCTATTAGTAAGTTGGTTGAAGAATCCCGAGGTCAATTTTGCATAGTTTTTAAGCTGTAAATGCCTAAAATACATTTTATTTGCAAATCAACCGTTGTTATCCTTTTCCTTCTGTTTCAAAATTTCATTCAATCCTATAAATTCAAAACAAAAAATAATTTTTATTTTCTACAAATAAAATATATAAGTAAGTTGGTATGACTTGATATTTAAATTATTTATCAATTCTTAATTATTTATTCTACGTCCACATATATCGAAGAAACACAAGCGTCCGACGTAAAATCAATTCATATAAATGATATTAAAATAAAATTTTAAAATTATATTATTAATGAAGTTTAAAATGAATGATCAAAATAATTTTTATTGTAAAATTGCTTTACTTGAACAATTCATTCTATCATGAACCTCATTTTTTGTTCAAATTTCGCAAAGACAACTTCTCCCATTTTCAAGTTAATCATCATTAAATTCACGCCGCGTCGAAAGCGAGTTCGGCGCTCCCGGTTTGTGCAGTGTTTCGATTTCCCGCACCGTGCAAACGAACAATGAGCTCAGCAGTGCGCTGAGCAAAAACGAATATATCTGAACCTGCCTACACCCATCTTCAGCGCACGGTTAATTTTTTTTCGTTTCGCAGCAGCGAGGAAAGAAATCCTTGGAGCACGAATGAATTCGCCCGAGCTCGCGAATAATAATTAAATTTGCAAATCGTTTTGCCGAGCGAATGTTTAAAATTCCATTCGAGCACGTTCACATGCAAATTAATCTGGCCGGGCAAAGTCAAGGCCAAACCTGTTTAATTGGTGTGTATGTGGACTCGAGTGGGTGGAAAATTGCAAACACGGTAGAACACGAATAATTCCCCGGGGAAGTTTGTGTTTTTGAAGTAGACCGACTCGTGCATGGCCGAATTGGGCCACATGAACTATTAATCGGCTGCCGGTCACGCGACCCAAACATGACCTTCAATTATCCATTCCATTACATTGATTAGCTCATCCATTTTGATTTGGCGGCTTCGTTATTTCTTGTCTTTGTTGTGGCATAAAAATTTGTGAACTTTTCAATTATTGGGGGGGGGGGGGGGTAAATTAAACAGCTTTTAATTAAACTGAAAATACATTTTTTATGCATGATTCATGCTGTGAATTTGAATTAAGGGTTTACTTGATGGGTTTAAATGCAGTTTTCAATTAGGTTATTAAAAAATTATTTGATTAGATATTAGATATTAGATATTTAATTTTTGTGTATTGACTTGATGTAAGATGTTGTGTATTTCATGTATCTGAATGGAGAATAAATAAATAAATAAATAAATAAATAAGATTAAAAAATTATAAGAAACTAATAATAAAAATTGGGTTGTTTAAAGCTTATTAAATAAATGCATCTAGTTGCATCTACGTCATTTTTATTAAATATATTTTTAATCCAAAATACAATTTTAATTGTTTCCACAGATCTTTTAATCATTATTTATTTACATTTTGATTAAATCTTTACTTTTGCATAAAGTAGTGCTTTTCAAATAATTTTTTTTTATAGGAATTAAAATTTTTGACCTCTTTGAAGGTTAACACGTTTCTTAATAACAGGAATATGACATTTCAATCTGATCTTTGAAAAAACAGTGGCAGATGCTCGAATTTGAATCCCACTGCTGAAACAATTTATCATCCACCAGGAGAGAATTATATCTCCGCAGAGCGCGTGGGACGTCGCGCTCTTTTCATTATTTACAAGCCATATGGCGAAACGTGTGGGCATTCGGTATTCGCAAGATCTCGGCCGTTTTCCTGCTGATTGCCCCAAGTAAAGGAAAAGAGTTATACCTACGCCCGGACCGAATTTTTTGCCCTTTTTGGTGAGAGGCGTGCTGAGTTTTGGCGTCGCCGAGGTTTTGCTTGAACGTGTGTCCGTCTGCGACCTTCCGTGCAGGCAAAGAGAATCGATTTTCGCAACCGTGTGTGCCCGAGACGATCAGCTGGGCTATGTTTAAATACGACACAGGGTGGATGAAGTTTCGATAGAGGTGAAAAGCTTAGATAAGAACGAGACATGCGATTCCTCTCACGTGCTTGTTCCGCTCTGACCTTTACTTTAAGTCTGCTCTAAATTTGTATTCTTTAAATGAGTTTTTAGAGATTTACAGCCGTTTTTACGCCACTCTCGTTTTGCGAAAGGACCTTTATAAAGCCGTCGTTTGCGAAAAACTCACGGGACGCTTTCGGGATTGGGATCAATTTATTTATCGCAGCCTCTCTGCTCCGGCGCAAACACAATTTGTCAATGTCTGCCGAGGGCAGCAGGATCAAGGAAATAAACGTGTAAATAATGCAGAATTTCCAGCTGCTACCTCGAGCTTTAAATATATTGTTAAAATCAATAACCAGCACCTTTCTCTAAAGGATTACATATTTCTGCTTCAATTAGTAAGCAATATTAGTTGTGAATTTTACTCAGATTTGTTTATGCTAAATTCTTTTAATTGTAAAATAATTTTTGTTTAGGTCATTTTTTTACATTTAACACCCAAGGTGGAAATTCTTAACAAAAATTACCAAAATTGAAACTGGACTTGATCTCTTAAGAAAATAAAATTATAAAAAAAATCGCTGAACTCAAAAGGATTAGATATTCCATCCCCTTAAAAATTAAAAGCATACTACAAATCTCCTTTTGGAGTATTATCCTTTATTTCAAATCTTTCGACGAATTGCAAGTTACGTTTATTTAATTTTCAAATTTAAAACAGAAAATTAAAAAATAAAAATTTATAAATGTACCACATTTTTCAAGATAAAAATATTTTTAATTTTTTTTTTTTAGTATTTTTGTTATTAAATTAATTTATTTAATTTAATTTTAACTAAAACGGTAGAATTTTTTTCTGATTAGATTTATTGAATACAGTTGCAAGTTTATTTGTTTCAACAACAATATTTTATAATTCTTATAAAAATCACCTGTCACTTTCATCATGTTTGTATTAGTGGGTAACTCCATTCAATAATTTATTTGTCTCGTTCTGATATTCAGATATAAAATCATGAAAAAATAGTTTTATAAATTCTATAAAATAAAATAAATATCAAATAAAATCTGACATTTCTGACAACATCTTGAACCCCTTTAATTCTTTTTAAGACTTTAAGCAGTTTAAGGGAAGAGGAAAATTTATTCCTTTCAATATTTGAGGAAGTTGTCTCCACAAACTGTATTGTATGCGAATAAGTTGAGGTACTTTTTCGTCTGTGCAAAATTTAATATTTCAAGGAAACCGCATCAAAGTAAGAAACACGTACATACACCTAATGTATACCGCACACATTCATTTTGCCGTCCGCCCCACAAGCAGTAAAGAAGAAAAATTGCGAGCTGCTCTTATTTTTTGCTCGGCGACTCCATACGTTTTGATGGTGACGGGCGCCAGCTTTGTGTGCCATCGCCATCTAATCCTCCTCCCATTCCGCCACAAATGTCTCCGCAGCCATTAAATAATAATGCATAATATGTCCGCGCGTGTGATTCCAAAAAGGCAAAAAGAAAAAAAACTGTTGTATGTAATGAAGAGCCCAAAGTGTTTTCTCCCAACTCTTTATTCATCCTAGCTGTATTTTCTCATAACACTTCTTTTTTTTCCGCCTTTTGTCAATAATGGAAATCCATCCTTCGTAAACAGTAGAATTTTTTATGCGTTTGTTGTTTGGATATTTTTGTGGTTTATACCCAAGCTAACCGCAATTGTTTTCGGTTTGTGTTCGCAGATCTCGGACATCGTGGTAGGACAGGAGCCCAACGTCAATGCCAAAGACGTGCTCCTGCGTTGGGCCCGCCGCACAACGGCCCGCTACCCCGGCGTCCGCGTCAACGACTTCACTGGCAGCTGGCGCGACGGTCTCGCATTCAACGCCATCATCCATCGCAATAGGTCTGTATAATTTTATTTAATTAATTTAGTTCATACAAGTAACAGCAAATTCGAACATTTTCTTGGTGTTGAAAAAGGAAAAAAAGCTTGTAAAAATATTTTATTAAAAAAATTCCACATTTATGCTCAATATTTTATGCTTGAAGTGATTTTGCCAAGGACTTATTTTATAATAATGTGTAAGTTGATCTCTGGTTTAGAATTACCATCCTTTTAAAGAGATTAAAGTATTAAAAATATCATTACCCTTGGTTTAATTATTTATGGTAGCTTATAAATTTTAAACAAGTCAATTACCTCCTGATGATTGAGCTATTAATAATAATTGAATGGGCATAAAATTATCGGCAAGCTTGTTCCTACCATAAAAAGCTGTTCCCATTTAAGTCGCTCGCAAGATCATTTTCATCTTTTGTAATTAATTACATATAAGCTGCCGCAGAGGTCTTGGAGGTTAAGCTGAAATTTATTACTTTCATCCACTCTGTAATGAGGTTTAATCTGACGTCCGAACCCAATATGGTTTCAGACACGAGAGTTGTTTTGATGTTTCTCTTTCAGTAGTTAAAAGTAGAGACAGCTTCTCTCATTCAGTACATAAGTTTTTTGACAGACACAATGCGGCAAACATAGAGAGAAAGTGACACGACTGGATATTTATTGTACCGCAAACATTTGCATACTCATACATGCAGTAACAAAAAAAAAAGAAGTTTCCGCTTCCATGTTTGATAGTATTGATCAGTGGCTAGTTTAATACAATGCAGGTTGTGACCAATCTGAATTTTTATCTCTGATTTGAATAATTAAAACGGTTTGTCTCAATAAATATTTTGATTACAAATTTTAATTAAATTTTAAATGTGAAAATTCAAATGATATCTTCAACAGTATGAAATAGGTATGAATTGAAGTTATTTAAATTTACATTTTTTTTTTAAATTTATAACAACGAATCAATATTAAAATTAAACATGACGTCACAAGTGACTTCTGAAATTTTTTAATATTTTTTTTCCCCAAAGAAATGACTGTATGAGTGAAATGATTTAATTATTCTGTGCATAAATTATTTAATTTTCATCCGAGATTTTATTTGAACTTTTCAGACCCGACCTCATCGACTGGAGAAACATTCGCAACCGTGCCAACCGCGAGAGACTGGACCAGGCATTCCACGTTGTCGAGCGAGAGTACGGAGTCACCAGGCTTCTTGATCCCGAAGGTGAGCTCATCCTTTCGCGATTTTTTCAATTCTCTTTCCGCGTCACGCTCCCCAGACAATAAAGTTCTTCATTTCCAACACAATGCAAAGATACAAAGGGCATATAACTGCACGGAGGCAGTAAAAGTCAGTTGGTCCACCCGCACGCTGGATGTTCCTTTGCGAGCGGGTCGATATTCCTCGAGCCGTTTTCCATTGGCCGCTTCCGCACCGCATTAGGGAAATTCTTTTGATGCAGGTCGCGTTCTGCATTTCCAGAAACGATGTGGAATCTTCACTTATTTGCTCTTTAATTTTTTGATTAGATCAAAAGTGAATCAATTTTTATTATTTGACGCTTATAAGATTTTGAACTTTTTTTTTTTGTAATCTAGAATCAGAGGTGAAAATTTGTTTCTTGAATTCAAAATTAAGATATTATATGTTTTACATTTCACATTTTTCCAATCCATAGTACAAATTTTATCTGCTTACCGCTTATAATGTTATAATCACAATAGTCTATAATGTCAGAGATGCATATTTTACTCTGTAGTACACATACCGAAATTAACGATCTACTGTTTTGTCGTAATTTTGATTATCAAGCTGAATCTTCTTTTATGAATAACTATAATTCACGGAAGCAAGATAATTTAAAAACGAATTCAATTAATAAATTTAATAATGTGTGCAAAGCTTATAATAATGAACTTTTCAAAAAACAAATTAAACGTAGGAATTCTCTTACGGATAAAATTTTATAACTCGCAAATGAATAAATTTAATGATTTTTAAGAATAAGATAATTGATTATTCTTCTCTTCAAAACGTTTAAAACATAATTATTTTAAATTTAGAAAAGTTTGCTTAATTTAACAGCTGAAATTTTTGGAGAAGTCTCTTGATCGGGTGCTGTGTTTGACCGCCAGTGTCGCGACCTTCACCCAGGTCACCTCACCTAGCAAAAATAACTACTAATTAAAAACGCGGAAAAAAGATAAAGTTGCCAATTGAGCCCCAGAGATGGCGCAGATGCGGGTCAATCTCCTTGAATTTGCCTTGAATCTTCTTGTCAACAGTAAACAAAGCAAGATGTTTTGACTTTTGCAAGCTTTGATTTCGAAAAGGTGAAAAAAGTCTGAAATCTGCCGACTTTACCCCCAAATATTATGCCAGAGTGTGAACGGGCAATAAATTTCCTTCATTTTGAGGAATAAGGTAGGGAAAAATCATCGTTACAGATCAAATGGTACATTTTCCCAGGAGACCTAATGTAAAATGTTTGTTAATATTTTTTTAATTATTTTTTTAATATCCTAAGAGCATCGCTAGAATTAATTTGGGGTGAATTAACATTTCATCAAGGCATAGGCTACGTTCAAAATTTTTTTTTATACAATTCTATCGGGCAGTTTTATGTCAAAAGCCTCTCATTTAACGACTTCTTATTGCCATAATTGTAGTCAAATCAAGTCCTCACAACAATGTAAACAGATTTTTGCGATTATTGTTGAAAGACATTTGGAAATCTTAATCACCATTTTTATTAAGTCTTAATTTGTCTAATAAGGAGTCCTTAATTTTTAATTAAGCCTCGGTTTTAAACCAAACTTTTCTGTGATTTCAGATGTGGACATTCCACAGCCAGACGAGAAGTCACTCATCACCTACATTTCGTCCCTTTACGATGTCTTCCCTGAACCACCGCCACTCCACCCACTCTATGACCCTGTAAGTACAAAAGAATTCAACAATTGGGAAGTAAACAAAACTGGATTTATGTATTCAAATTTTCACGACGAATTTTAGGAATTGCAACGACGCTCCGAAGAGTACCGCGAGGTGTCCAGCTCTCTGCTCATCTGGATGAGGGAAAAGCTTGTGATCATGCAAGACCGCAACTTCCCCCCGACCCTCATCGAGATGAAGAAGTTGGCCAGCGAGTCGTCGCGCTTCCGCAACGAGGAGGTGCCGGTGAAGCTGCACGACAAGAACCGGCTGGCGCACCTGTGGCGCGACCTGGAGAAGCACCCTGAGTCCTCGTCAGGCGAGATCGACATGGAGGCCGAGCTGCGCATCGACAGCCTCGAGAAGCACTGGAACCGGCTGATGCAGGCGCACCAGGAGCGCGACCAGGCCATTGTGGAGGAAATCAAACGACTGGAAAGACTGCAGCGGCTCGCCGAGAAGGTGCACCGCGAGATGAAGGGCGTCGAGGGCAGGCTGGAGGAGCTCGAGCACCGCGTCGACGAGGAGGCGCGCAGACTCGACCGTCTGCACCCGCTCGACGCCAAGCACAACGCCGACGCTCTGGAGCACGAGCTCAGGATTGTCGAGGACAGCATCCAGGCTCTCTTCTCTGATGTGCAGGTGTGTCATTATAAATTGATTTTATTAATTTGAGTCGCTGTTATTTGTAAGCAATTTTTTTGTCGGAAAACAGCACTTTGCATTTGTCAGAAAATAATTCATCAGAAAACATGTTTTTCTAATGTCAGAAATTCAAAAATTAGAAATGCAAAAGTCATAATTGTTTTTATTTCTAAGTTCTGATATCACAAAAACATAAAAATCTGAAATTAATACTAAATCCCATACTGAAACGTTAAATGTTCCAAAAAGTTCCATTCTTTTCTTCTCTTTGAGAGAGTCAAAATATAGAAAAAAAACACCCACTTGCCTATCTTTCATTTCCCAATTATATTTGAATATTATTACTGTTGTTTATTTGTCCAATTGTGTAACATTCAATAATTCAATTATTCTTAAACACTTTTGAAAGAATAAGAATCATACGAGACAAAAGAAGCCTTTTGCTAATAAAATTCCCAGCAATTTGTAAACTTAAATTTTAGACAATTTATTTTAAAGTAATTCATTTTGGGGACAAGCTTAAGCAAAAAAAAAAAAACAATTATTCTGGATGATATATTTTTTTTAAATTTTTCTTTAGTTTATAGATGCATTTTCCAAGTAGACTTCATAAGAAAAATCATTGTTAGAACTGGTTTTTTTTTTAAATTAACATTGCTTCTTATTGGAATTTACTTTTAAAATTTAATATTAAAATTGGCCTGACAGAAATGAAATTATAGGAAATCCACTGAGAGCAAGAATTTTGCTAAAATTTAAAATTTGCATAAATAATATACTATTTAAACTCTATTTTCAAATTTTCCCAGGTCCTGCTTGATGGCAGGTACCCGCAAGCTCAGGAGATGCACAAGAGAGTGCAGAAGCTGCACCAGCGCTGGGTCAACTTGCGCTCGACTCTGCACACCAAGCTGATTTCCCAGCTGGCGTCCATGTCGTTCCCAGTTGAGGAAAGAACCGTCACCAGACACACAAAGACGGTCACAGAAACCAGACTTGTGGACACCAACATTCACTTCAGGCAGCTGCAAGAGTGCATCGACTGGTGCAGAAACAAACTTGTAATTATCAATCGCCAAGTTATTGTTTTAAAAAAATTATTTCAATATTTTATTTCAGAGCAACATTGGTGAGGCCCGATTCGGAAACGAGCTGGCTGAAGTCAACATCGAACTGGAGGCGCAGATCAGGGAACACAACCTGATCGAGCAGTTCAACACCCAAGTGGAGCAATGCATTGGAGCCAAGAACAACTTTGGCGGTGAAGAGCTCATCCTCTACACGCAACAGCTGGTTGTGCTGCAGAAAATGTACATCGAGCTGCGCACCATCTCGGCCAAGCGTCTGCACGACCTGGAGGTGTTGCAGGACTTCTTGCAATCGGCCACCAACGAACTCATGTGGCTCAGCGAAAAGGAGGAGGCTGAAATCAAACGCGACTGGAGCGACAAGAATCTTGACTTGCAAGCCATTGAAAATTACTATGAGGTGAATTCAATTGAAACTATACTTTTTCAATTAACACATCATTTTTTACCATTATGTAAATTAACCAAATCTCAATAATTCACAAGCGAACGTATGGGACTGGATTTCATCAGGTAGAGGAATCATTATCCCTAATGATATGCAATTTTGCATGAGATACAGATTTTTTAATCATCTTTTCAAAGTGTTTTACATCAACATAATAACCTTCATACACTGCATGTTTTTTTTCTTTTACTATAAATTAAAAAATCAGTTTTTTTTCACAATTTTAATTCTGTATTGTTGTTTAATTTAGAACTTGATGAGTGATCTGGAAAAGAGGGAGATCCAGTTCAGTGCCGTCCAAGACCGTGGAGAGGCGCTGATTCTGCAGCACCACCCTGCGGCCAAAACCATCGAGGCCTACATGACTGCCATGCAGAGCCAGTGGGCCTGGCTACTCCAGCTGACCCTCTGTCTGGAGACACACCTGAAACACGCCAACCACAATCACGCCTTCTTCCGCGAGGCCAGGGAATGTGAACACTGGATTACACAGTAAGATTTGGAAAAAAAAAATCTGGAAGCTTAGAAATTGTGACCAAAATCTTGAATTCTAGGCGTGACGAAGTGCTCAACTCCGTCTACTCGGTGTCTGAATTCTCTCTGGATGAGGGGGAAAGGCTGCTGAAGGGCATGCAGGAGCTCAGAGAAGAACTTGCTCATTATGGTGAGGTTGTCCAGGCTTTGGTTGACCGAGCTAAGGATGTGGTGCCCCTTAAGCAGCGTAGACAGCCTGTGTCGAGACCTATGAAGGTCAACGCCATCTGTACCTTCAAGCAAAATAATGTAAGTACGAATACATATTTTAAGGCACATTTAATTTCCGTAAAGTTAAAATCACTATTTTTTACTTGACTTAATTTAAATGATTGCTCCGTAATGGATCCCAATTTTTGCAAAAAGAATAAGTAAATATTAATTCTTCAAATAATTTTATTTTCTAGGTCTCGATTGAAAAGGGAGACCAGGTAACTCTTCATGACAACGCTCAAAGGAGCAAGTGGAAGGTGACCACGGTGCACAATGTGGACGCTGGCGTTCCTGGAGTCTGCTTCAGTCTGCCGCCACCTTGCAAAGACGCCATGGACCTGGCCGAGAGGCTGCAAAGGCAGTTCGACCGGTCAGTTGCCCTTTGGCAGAAGAAGCAGCTGCGCATGAGGCAGAACATGATTTTCGCCACCATCAAGGTTGTCAAGAGCTGGGATCTCCAGCAGGTTAGCTTTCATTAATCATTGTTATTCAAGGAAAGAATTATAAAGTTTTTTTCAATTTCTTCTTCAGTTCCTTGCCATGGGTCAGGAACAGAGGAATGCCATTCGAAAGGCGCTGAATGAAGACGCTGACAAGCTGCTGCAAGAGGGTGACCCTAATGACCCCCAACTCCGCAGACTGCGCAGAGAAATGGACGAGGTCAATAGGCTGTTTGATGAATTTGAACGCAAGGCCAAACTCGAAGGTACTTCAAATGAAACAATTTTGTCTCCCACTGTCTCCCACTAATTAAATTATTTGCATTTTTAATGTTAGACTCTGAAACTTTACAAATTCTTCAAAATTCAAGCGGTTTGCAATTTTAAATGAGTTACAACAAATTAAAAAGAAACTTTTTATGCCAACAGAGGAAATGAAGCAATTGACTCGTCTGTTCAATGAGAAGTCCTCGACTCTTCTGACCCAGCTAGAGGAGATCGAACACACCCTGGCCATGCGTGCTGTTGCCACCATTCCTAGAGACCTGGACACCCTGGAGCACCTGGTCATTGACCACAAGGAGCTCGAACAAAGGCTGCAGTCTCTGGAGCCTGAAGTGGAGGCTGTGCAAAATACATTCCGCTCCATTCCACGCAAGACACAATCCATGCAGACAAAGATGGACACCATCATCAACAAGTGGACCACTTTGTGGAGCTCGTCGCACCTTTACATCGAGAGGATGAAGTGCGTCGAAATTGTACTGGCTGGCTTGGACGAGGCCACCACCGTTGTGTCTGAGTACGAGCTCAAACTCACTGCCTTCCGTGAAATGCCATCTGACTTAGATTCACTGCAACAAGTAAGATCTAATTTTAAAAAGTTTTGAAGCCCTCGTATTAAATATTTATAAATAACGTAAAATTATTAATTTCCAATTGATAATTAAATTCAGTGGTCTTTTCTAACAATAATTAAATTGTTACTGTCAAAAATTGTTAAAAAAAATTTTAAAATAATTCATGGGACAAAGAATTTTACTGAGACTTTCAATATGAAGCACATTAAATTTGTTATCTTAATTTTAGATGCACGAAGAGCTTGTCCAGCTGCAATGCAACATGCAGCAACAGCAGCACATCATTGATCAACTTGGAGACGACGCTGCCAACACCAGGCGCCTGGTTGAAAAGTCTCGCCCTGCAACTCAGAGGGCTCACCCTGACGTTGACAGACTTGAACAAGATGTCCAGAGAGTCACCAACAGATGGGCTTCTGTCTGCAACCAAATGGTTGAAAGGTACTAATCAGCATATTTCTCTTCACTTTTATGTATTATTAATTTTACCAATTTGAATTTAGACTCCGAAGTTGTGAGGCTGGCTACGAGCTGTTGCAAAAGTACAGCAGCCAGTACACGCAGGAGGTCTCCTGGATAGATGAGAGCTACTCGCAGCTGAAGACTCTGGCTCCCCTGGAGGGTCTGGCCAGAGAGCAAATTGAGCCTACAACCGTAAGTTCTGCTGGCCTTTGTGCCTTCAATCAGTCAAAGGTTGAAAAAGCAACAATCAGGACAATTCTAAACCTTCTCCTGCCCATTTTGTGGCCATTGTCTTTAAACTTCCATTATTTTGCAGGCACTTTATAATAAGGTGAACGAACACATGCCACAATTAGAAAAAGTCAATGTGGTTGGATCAAGATACATTAGGGAGGCAAAGGTACGCCTCCTGACACTAACCCTGAATGAAAGATGATCGAGTGAATGATTTTTTTATTTTTAAATTTTACTCTCTCCCATACAGATTTTTGTATCATAGTTTTGTAAATATGTCTTCTTAATTAATAATTTGGCCTCATTAATCTAATAGACACTTATTAATATTGCCAAACGAGGCACGAGGAAAATCTATAATGTAACACGAGCCGTTTAGAAAAATTTTAATCCTGGCTTTAATTTGTTTTTTAATACGGTTCACATGTTAGAGTTCATTCACAAAAACGGCTCTTTTGATAACATTTCAATTACAAATTGCATGCCTCTATAAATTCACGCCTGGTTGGCTCTCTATCTATTTTCTAAATTATTGTAAATATATTTTATTCCATCTTTTATTGTAAATAAATGAGTCTTTCGGACCGTTTGTAGCGGCATGTAACTTGTCTCGTCCATTGAAGTAACAAAATTTATTTAAAAAATCAAAACAATTTAATACTATGCTGGGAGAAAGGCACTCACTTTTTGTCAAACATGCTGCTGGCTGGGCTCCCCTTGACCTCGGACTAACTTGCTCTCTAACCGCGCTCTCCCCTAACCTTCTCTAGATTTACGCGTCCAGACTGCAGCAGTTCAGGCGGCTGGTGGAGGAAATGCAGCCGAGCTTTGACGCCTCCCAGCAGATAAAGCGACCGCGCTCGTCCTCCTTGCCCGGGGATGAGGTGGTCAGCGAGCAGCTGGACACCCTGAACCACCGCTTCCAGAGCCTGCTGGATATTTTGTCTGACAGAATCAAGCAGTTTGCGGCTCTGAACCCTGACGACCCTGAGATCAAGGTAGGCTATCATTGTTTCGCCTACGTGAGAAATGCAAATTGCCCGACTTTACTTTTTGCGTCGAAATATGATTTGCTGGGAATTATTTGCCGTTGATTACGATCAGACTAATTGTGGCCTAAGTAATGTCGCTTCATGGTTAGGCTTGGGTGTTTTTTGAATCAGCTCGTGGGCGTCGTGAGTGGGCGACAGGGCAGGTACAGGTGCTGCAGCAGCAGCGCCTTTTCTCCTTATTTGGCAGCTCGGCCAGGGTGTGGGAAGTGGTGTGAGCGAGCGCGCGGCGCACAGTCAGTGTGAGATCATTGCTGAAAAAGATTTTAACACGCGCGTGCGACAATTGCCGTGGGAAAGTTGCCTTTTTGGTCGGAAAACATGGAGAAAAGATACGTTTCGACCAAGAAGGTAGGAGATCTGGTTTTGAGCATTTACTTGTTACGATTAATCAATTCATTGAAAGGCAGTTTGCATTTTTCACGGTTAACTGAGTCAACTGTTTACAAACATTAGCTCAATATTGTGTACAATTTGAACATTTTCTAAACGGAACTTACTAGAATTGTTATTTTTTCTTGGAAATTTTTTTAATCAATTAATTTTTTATTGGTCATCAATTATTTTAGATTAGGTGTTTTCATTTTGTATTTTTTTTATAGGTCACTGTTATAAATTTTCTTAATACATATTAACTACCACAAAAGTGAAGTATTGTGTTTTCCAAGTCTTAAATAAAGTTTTATTTCATAAATAAATTAAAAACTTTACAAATTCAATCCAAGTGTGCAGTGGTCCTTTTTAAATAATTTATTTTTCATTTCTTATGGTAATTAAAAGTTTTTCATTTATGTTGATGAGCGGTTGGGAAGAAAAATTATAAATCATAACTATTAAAGTTCTGCTTTTAATTTCAAATTATTATTAATTTTGTCGGCTTGAAGCAAATGAGAAATTAAAATTGTTTTGAATACTCACTGTGAAAAAGAGTAATGATTTTAATTCGTTTTTTTTTCTGTTCCAGCTCATTGTGTCGCAAATGAAGCCGCGCGAGTTCCGCACCTTCAGGACAGAGCTCAACTTGTCGGATCTCAACTCAGACCCTAGAATAACAGATAACTCGCAGTAATTATCTTGCTTGATTAATATAATTAACTTTTTTACAAATTTCTCGCTCCTCTCTCGCCTGTACTAACCGGAGACTAACCCTTTTCAGGGACCTGGTCGACTCGTCGCCACTGCACAACCGTTCGAGCGCAGTCATCGTGAGCTCTCGCGAGGGCTCGCCTTTAAAACACCCTTACCACAATGGGGGAACTAACGGCAACTATGACCCCAATGGAACCAGTCTAGTCTTTTCCGAAACTCGCTCAGTACGTAGGATTTATTCAAGTGACCCAGGTGGGGGTGGTGGGGATTTAAGTCAAACTAGGGGAATCATTGACCCTCGAAGTGGGGAGGTTTTGACGTTGGCCGAAGCCATAGCCAAACGAATTCTAGATGTAAGGACAGGGCAGTTAATAGACCCCCGAACGGGCACAAAAATGAGCATTGGCGAGGGTGTAGCCGCTGGTCTCATTGAAGAGAGGTTGGCGCAAAAGTTGCTCGGCCCTGGCGGCGTCGACGTCAACAATCGACCCGCCACTCTGCTAGAGGCCATCCAGAGAGAGATCCTGGAGGCCGAACGGGGCGGCACCTTTGTCGAGCCGCACTCAGGCAAGCAGATCTCCTTTGAAGAGGCCTACAACCTGGGACTCGTCCGGCGGGAACAGGTAAGCCCCCTCCTTTCTTGCTTACTTGCTGCACCTCCCACCATCGACGAGGCCATCGAAAAGGGTCTATTGGACCCGGCAAGCGCCTCGTACGTTGACCACAGCACTGGCTCACGTATCCCCTTCTCGGAAGCGATAGATAGGGGTTTGATAACCGTCAGCAAAAGCACCCTTGTCTATAGAACTCCCGGCGTCGCCTTGTCAGACGCAATCACGCAAAATCTCGTCGAGGAATATTCAGGGCAGCTCGTTGACCGCCGAACGGGTGAGAAACTAACCCTGGATGAGGCTGTCGACAAAGGCATCGTCAACCCTGGAATCAGGGAGATCGTCGACTCTGCTCAAGACGTGAAGCTGACCCTGAAAAAGGCCATGGAGGTTGGCATCATCAACGCCATCCAGGGCCGGTACGAGCACCGAGCCTCTGGTGAGCGACTCACATTCCACGAAGCGCACAGAAGGAAACTCATCATCAGGCCAATGACCCTGAAGGACTGCTGTGACCAGGATTTGATAAGTGAGGACGGCAAAATCACCAGTCCAACGCACAGACGCAAAATCACTATTCTTGAAGCCGTCTCAGCCGGCGTTCTGGACGTTGACGCAAAATCAGTCAGTAATGTTGCCACTGGAGAACTGCAGTCCCTGTCGCAGGCCCTTGCGACTGGAATTATTCTACCTGAAGGAAAGTACAAAGACACCGGTGCCAATAAACTGCTCACAATTCCAGAGGCGGCTGACAAAGGCCTGATAACCTCTGTTGCTCAAAAAATGATTTTCGACATTGATGGAATTCGCGATCCAGACACAAGCGAGTTTGTCAGTTTAAATATTGCACTCTTTAGAGGCTTGATTGATCCTAACACTGGGGAGTTAATTTTGGACCCCAGCACTGGAGAGAGTTTGTCACTCCAAGAAGGAGTGGAAATGAAACTTGTGCAGCCCCAAGTTTTGGAAATGCTGAACCGGAAAGTGGGCATCATTGACGTCATGGGAAGAGAAATGTCTGTGATTGAGGCTGTGATAAAAAAGAAGTTGGATCCGAGAACGGGCCAAATTTTGGAAAATGGCCACCCTATTTCAGTTGACGAGGCCATCCAGAAGAACATAATTACGGCCGAAGGCGCCGCAATGCTTTCAGGCCTGCTGGACATCACGGTTACCACCTCAACGGTGACTAAAACAATCAAAAGATATGTCACAGTGACCTCAAGTGGAGTGACCAATACCGAGGTCACCATGAGCTACGGAGAAGCCATTCGACGCGGCCTTGTGGACGAGTCGGCTGAAACATTCAAGCACCCTTCAACAGGAGTTATTATGTCAATTCAGGAGGCAGCCCAGAAAGGGCTCATCAGCGGCGGCTCTCGCACTCCATCACCTACAAAAAGACCGTCAAGTAAAGAGCAATCGCCAATTAAAGAACAACAGAAACGTCCGAGCTCCTCAATTGAATCATCACCTGCGAAAACACCAAGAAGGGGCAGCAGCCCTTCGGTCATCGACCGGCGAGTCTTTGAGTTGCCCCCGGACGGCTGGTTCCTGTCCGAGGCCATTGACCAGCGGCTCTTTGACCCGGTCATTGGCCTCTTCACCATCCCAGGAACGGACAGACTTGTGTCGTTTGAGGAATGCGTCAAACTTGGAATTATTAATCCCGAATCAGCTGAGGTCATTGACACAAGCAATGGGCGCCTAATTTCGCTCATGAGGAGCCTGGACAAACTTGTGATTGACGCCACTGGCCACTACAAAGAAAAATCCGGCAAAAAGGTTACCATGAAGGAGGCGATTGAAAATAGGCAAGTTATTCTGCAGGCCAGAATGGACGTTGAAGATGAAAACTCGCTCTCCTCAAGATTGATAAAAATTACAAAAGTAACTGGTAAGCCGGATAAATTAGAAGTTTCTCACCTGGGAGATGAATCTCAGTTTATTGAAATACACAGCGCCGATGATTCTTTAAGCAGTGAGCCGGTTGACCCGGTCAGAGTCAGCGCCGGTGTTGTTTTTGATCCGACTTCAGCCACAGTCTTACTGCTGCCGGAAAATGAGAATGACAGCGCAGCAACCACAAATCTCGTCACCGCAGTTTTGCAAGGAAAAATTGAGCCTCGCCTCGTCAAAGTCAAGGACTCATACACCGGAAAAGAAATAAATATAAATGAAGCGATTCGCAAGGGCATTGTTGATAAGCAAACTGGAGAATATAAGGACAGGAGCGGCCGCAAATTCTCACTGACTGATGCGGCTAAACTGGGCATTGTGACAGTTATCGGCGCCCCTTTGGTCGCAGGAATGGCAGTGGCCGAAGGTGTGAAAAGGGCTACCAAGAAAATCGCGACAGTTCTAGATAAGAAAACAGGAGAAGAGGTCCCAATTGATGAGGCATTAAAACGAGGAATGATCGACGAGCAAATTTACAAAGAAATAAAAAACGGGCATTCTTCGCCTGAAAAACTCGTTTCTTCAAGAGTTGAAACTACAAAAACTTCAATTGTTATTCAAGACCCTCAAACCGGCAAAGAAGTTCCAATCAAAGAGGCGCTGGAAAAGGGCTTCATCACGCCAGAGCAGCTAGAAGAGTTGTGCAATAAAAATATAATGCAAGAGAGAACTGTTGAAACCAAAACTTTGCTTCTAGAGGACGAAGAAATGGAACCCTCGGAAGGTGATAAAACTAGACACAGAGTTACAACTGAGCCAAAATATAGCGTCACAATTGGCAGAGCTAGATCATTCACGCAATCTCCAGAGCGAGAAGCAAGACCAGTGGTTCTGCAAAAAATGCGAAAGAAAATGGTCAAGCCAAAAGACGCAATTGATTCTGGCTTAATTGATGAAAAAACTGCGAATTTATTAGAAAAAATTGAAAAAGGACCAAAAGGAGAAACTTTAAGTTTGGATGAGGCTCTATTACAAAACAGACTTGACGGCAACCAGGGAGAAATCAAAGATCCACAACGTGGCGAGAAATTGAACATTTCTGAGGCATTACAAAGAGGAATATTGGACTCTGCCTCTGGCCAGTTATTAATTCCAGTCGCACATTCTCTTTCAGTGCTCGAATTGGTAGAGCAGGGGCTAATTGATAAAGACTCCGGAAAAATAATCCATCCAGAAACAGGAACCTTGCTTTCGCTGAAAGAAGCAATTATGTGTGATATCGTTGATCCAATGTCCCCAATCAAAGATCCTTTAACTAGCGAAATGATGACTTTGGCCGACGCCATTCAAAACGGCTCAGTCGATGCTAACGAAACAGTTCTAGTCACCAGAGAATTCCCAATTGACCTGCTCACCGCTGTAAACGAGTACAACTTTTTCCAACCGACCCAGCCGTCACCAGATGCACTACCACTGCCGCCGGTTGGCATGACGTTCCCACTGGCGTTGCAAAGAGGCCTTGTTGATGCGGAAAATATTGAAATTATTCACCCAATCACCGGTGAGAGAAAGACTGTCGAGGATGCCATTAAAAATGACTTTATTATGGCACTTCCTCATCCAGTTTCTCCCGATAGCGTTGAAGTAACGCAAGCACTACAGTGCAATTTAATTGACAGCCAAACTGGCACATTTACTAATCCAAAATCGGGCAAAGAAGTTCCAGTCTCGGAGGCGGTTGAAATCGGACTTTTGGTTGTTAAGCCAGTTCCGCACCATCTCTCAAGCTTTACAGGGCCAGTCACCGCAGTCACTGAAACTGTGACCTCGTACCACACAATCACCACAAAGACAATTGAACTTAAGCCAGGCTTCATTCTCATCAGCGCCAATGAAGTTCAAAATGTGAAATCTGGTGCTATCATGACACTTGAAGAAGCGCGGAGTTTGGGTGCTGTGAATGATGAGTCTGAGGTTAAAAAAGAATTCAGCACCAGAGAAATTAAAATGGGCTTTTCGGACGCTGTCGAAAAAGGCCTTGTTGATCTTCAGAATGGCACTTATCAAGATCCCAACAATGGAACTATTTCAATCGAAGAAGCAATTTCAAAGGGACTGCTGGACATGAATCCAAAACCGTCATCCCCCACAAAAATGCGAGCTAACATGAATGTCATTGAGGCTTTTGATAAAATTTATAGCCCTGAAACAGAATCGTACATTGATCCAAAGACTGGAAAACACCTAAGTTTCACTGAGGCTATGGAAGCTGGTCTGATTGATAAAAACTCCGTCGTTTATGATGTTATTTCTGGAAAGCAGTTAACTACAAAGGAAGCAATTGAAAAGGGCCTTCTTGACCCTCAGACCGGTTTCCTAAAAGACTCTAGTCCCGGAAAAGGAATGAATCTCAAAGAGGCTGCTAAACTTGGCTTATTGGCAGTCGTTGGTGCTCCTATTCTGGCTGGAAAAGCAATTTTGGATGCAGTTAAGAGCGCAAAAGAACAAAAACAAGAAGCACCGCCACCACAACATGAAAGAAAATCATCACTGAAAGAAAAATCGCCAGTAATCTCAATTATTTCAACTCAATCGGCCCCTGTTTATGAAAAGTGCGCGCTGAGAGATGCAATTGACGCAAAGAAAATTCAGCCTCGCACATGCACCATCTATATTCCATCTGAAAAGCCTTTGACAGTTGAAGATGCTCTAAACTGTGGCCTTGCCATGCCTGAAGATATTATTGAAATCGTATCTCGACTTGAAGTGAGACTAATTGAAATAGTCAGAAATCCACCTAGTCCATACAGCTTGGACAAAAACGCATTTGTCAGTGAAGGCATTTACGATCCTGAGAGTGGAATATTCAAGGACGCAACCACTGGAGAGCCTATTGCTTTCCATGAATTAATTTCTGATGGTGTTTTTAATCCCGATACCATGTTCATTAAGGATTTGCGCACTGACGAATTTAAGCCATTGAAAGAAGTTCTTGGTTCGCTGATTGATAAGAATACTGGAAAAATTGTAGATCCTAAAACAGGCCAACGAATCTCATTCTTTGACGCAGTTGAAATGGGTCTCATTCAAGAGCAGCAAATTATTTTGGATGACTCGATTGAGTCCAAAACACCTGCGTTGTCACTGACTGACCTGGTTCACAATGGAATTTACGATCCAGAAACTGGAGACCTGACTGATCCAACAACAGGCGAAAAAATTAGCCTCGTAGACGCCATCGCCACTGGCGCAATTGACCCTCGTTCGATCAACATTCGCAACCCTGAAAACGATGACATCATTCCTCTGACTGAGGCAATCAAATTCGGAATAATTGATCTCCAAAAAGGCGTGATTGTCAATCCTGAAACTAAAAAAGAATTTAATCTGAAAGATGCATTTTTAGAGGGGCTCCTTGTGAGCAAAAGAAGGCCACTGTCAATTCAAGCACTTGTGCAGAAAAAGTTGTACGAGCCCGACTCCGGTCTCATTACAGACACGCTCACAGAGCAGCAGGTTACTTTGGAGGAGGCAATCAAACGTGGCATAGTTGATGTTTTTAATACTGAATGCAAAGATACAAACACCGGCTACTACACCCTCTTGGAAGATTCGCTCAACAATGGCATCATCGACCAAATTCACGGAAAATTCAACGATAAGTCGGCAAAGCAGCAAATGCCGTTGGACAAAGCTGTAAAAGAAACATTCATTCGCACAGTTCAAACTCAATTGCCCTTAATTGAAGCAATCAAACTTGAAGTTTACTCACCCTCCAGTGGAAAATTGTTTGACCCAACCAGTGGAGACGAAATAACTTTAAAGCAAGCAATGGCTGAGAAATTTGTGGACTGCACCGCTGCCAGAATTAAAAATGATCTCAATGGAAAAGTTATTCCCGTTGAAGAAGCTGTAAAAAACAATTTACTAGATGACGAAGAAGGAATACTCACGTACCCGCACCCGATGAAATTAGACTCTGCGTTAGAAAAAGGCTACATCATGAGTACCAAAAAGCCGTGGACCCTGCAAGAAGCTTTAGCACACGGCTGCTATGACCCACAGACTGGTTTGATGACCATTGGTGAGACTTGTACGCTAGATGATGCGATGAAGAAGGGAGACATCAACAGAGGCGCTTTGACCGTTAAAGACCCCAGGTCAAGAGATATTATCACTCTCGGCGAGTCCATCAAAGTGGGAATCATTGACCCCAAGGCTGGAATGGCAACTGACCCAACAAACGGCGCCGACATGCACTTCTACGATGCACTTGAAAGAGGCCTAATTATTCCTGCTAAGCGCAAATTTTCGTTACCTGAGGCTGTATTCAAGGGTTTCTATGACCCCAAATCTGGCAAATTCATCACTCCGGAATCTCAAGAAAAACTGACGACCGACAAAGCAATCAGAGGAGGAATAATTGACCCTGCAACAACTTTGGTTAAAAGTCACATAACTGGAGACCTAGTCACCTTTATCCAGGCCGTGAAAGACGGACTGATTGATGCAAAAGCAGGCACTTTAAAAACAGGGCGCTTCAAACGCGTTGATTTTCAAGAAGCATTCGACCAGGGCTTGCTGATCGAAGCTCGAGTGCCCATGTCTCTGAGCGAGGCGCTGGCCAAGGGCGTTTTTTGCGAGCGAAGGGCACGTTGGCTTGACCCGAGCACCGGAGAGTGGCTAACCTTGGCTGAAGCTCTCGAGTGCCGCCTGGTTGACCCGGAGTCGGTGCACGTGAGAGACACCAGATCTGGATTTTGGAAGAAAATTTCTCTCGCTGAAGCAATTGATGCTGGATTTATTGACAGCGAAACCGGCAAGTTAAAAGACTATGAAAGAGATGTAGAGGTCACCCTCTCGCAAGGATTTGATCTTGGCCTCATCGTCGACAGCAAGGCGGCCATTTCACTGCAAAAATCCATCCACCAAGGACTCTACGATGACACCTGCGGAAAAATCACCGATCCAAACACAGGTAGAAAAATTACTCTGCACGAAGCGATTCGCAGATATATAATCAATCCAATGCTGCCGTGCTTCTGGGACAAAAAATCAGGCCGTTTGCTCTCTTTGGTTGAGACATGCCGCGCCGGAATAATTGACAGACGTGCCGGAAGCTTCCACGAACCCGGCTCTGATATTGTTATTTCCATTTCAGAAGCTCTTGAACTTGGCTTAATTGTCGACATTGAAAACGCGTTTGGCCTGTACGAGGCAATTAAAATGGGCTTGTACGATAACGAAACAAAAAAATTCGTGCACCCTGCAAGTGGGCGCAAGCTTACTTTAAGTGAGGCCTGCAAAGAGGAATTTATCAGCCCAAAATTGTCAATCATAAAACATGCAAATACAGGTGCTTACATGAAACTGCCCGCTGCTGTTGATTTAAATTTAATTAATGCTGACGCTGGCGTGTACAACATGCCTGACATTAAACCAACTCACGCAATTAACCTGAAAGAAGCTCAGGAGCGCCAGTTAATTGTCACAGCCAAGAAACCCCTTTCAATGGCGGAGGCCATGTCCTGTGGAATTTTCAGGCCAGAAAGTGGCAAATTCATCGATCCGGACATTGGCGACTTCCTTGATCTCAACCAAGCCCTTCTGCACGGGCTGATCGACGGCAACACTTGCGCCCTCAAGGACCCTTCAACAGGGCAACTAAAGAGTCTGAACTCTGCCCTAGAAGACGGTGACATAGACGCTGCCAAAGGTCGCGTCATCGATCCTAAAACGAAAAAATCATACACTTTTGACACCGCCATCGCACGCGCCCTGCTCGTCACGGTAGAAAGGCCCATCACCTTCCAGCAGGCGCTCCGTCGCGGCTCCATTGACTTTCTGAAGGGCACATTTAAAGACCCAAGAACCAGTCGGGAATGCACCTTGGAGGAGGCAATTAAGTCGGAGCTCATTGACCCTGAGTCAGCGGTCATCAGAGACCCTGAATCCGGACGGTTCAAAACTCTCAAAAGGGCGCTGAACGAAGGTCTAATCGATCTCAACAAAAGGGCAATGTTTGACCCTCAGAGTGGAAAAGCAAAAACCCTGACCATCCTCTTTGACCAGGGCACCATCGTCTTCCTCCGAGAGCCACTGACCTTTGACTCTGCGGTTGAACTGGGCCACCTCGATCTCACCACCGGCCGATTTACTGATCCAACCTCTGGTGAAATTTTGACTCTGAAGGAAGCAGTGACCGCTGGTCTGATAGACCCTGACTCGGCTCTGCTGAAAGACACTGAAAAGTGCAAATTGGTTCGCCTCCCTGATGCGTACAGAAAGGGCCTTATCGACGCCGACAAAGGCACAGTAATCAACACGGCCACCAGTCACTTCTGCCCACTCAAAGTGGCCTCCGACACCGGACTTTTAATCACTCCGAAAAGGGGAATTTCCCTAATTGAGGCTCTGAAGTACGGATTGTACCACCCGAAAGCGGGCGGCAAATTCACCGACCCATTTACCAACAGAAAACTGACCCTGTCCGAAACAATCGAAACGGGCATCATAGACCCTAGTTTGACCCTGGTGAAAGACGCGCAGTCAGGCACAGTTAGTTCCCTCCCCGAAGCGATGTCCTCCAAATTAATTGATGCAAAACTTGGAGAAATGATGGAAAATTCAAGCGGACGCAAGATCGATCTGCTACAGGCGTTGGACAGGGGATACTTATTAGCCGCCGAAGCGAGGGTAAGCCAGCAAAGCCAAAATCAATCAATCAAAGAATGCAATCTAAAAAAACATAATACCATTTTAATAGTAATTTATACGTGGAGTTGCTCTGCTAATAATTTATCAAGTGTAATGCTATCCTCTTACCTTCGCTATGACTTAAAAAGTTATTTCATCAATGGTTGGCTGGCTGTGACCTTAAATTGAATGAACACTGCATTCTAAAAATAAAACCTAAACCTGAATGGGAAAATGCATTTTGCGGAACTAAAAATCAACTACAAATCATTAATAGTTTAGTGGCTTTGATTCAAAACCAGGAATGTCTAAACTTACCCCCTAAATCCGTGTTTCTGTTGTCACCCTCGCTAATTTGAAAGTAACGGGCTGCTTTGAGAATGTTCCAATCGCATGCTCATTATAAAAATTATTCCAAATTTGGGTTGGCGCATATTATTCAACCCGTGGTTATTCATTAAGGCTCGAATAATATTTCAGAATAACACCAGCGCCTGAATAATAATTGGCGAAAAACTAATCTGCACAATTTTCATCAATTTCCTAAATCACGTTTTTAATTAATTAATATGATAAGGTTTGGCTAATTAGGCTAACTGGGGAAATATTTTATTTCATAAAGCTGTTGTTTTATTGTCATTTTTTCATTTGTTGTTTTTTCTTATTTTGCAGGACTTTTGTTTTGTACAATATTTAATTATATTTTTAATTCTTTATATCACTAACTAAACCTATAAAAGTGTGAGACATGTGTGAGAGTGAACTAACAAAACAAAAATGATCCTCAGCATAAACATCACATTTGATTAAAACTGGAAAAAATTGTGTGTTCCCTTAAAAAGCGATAATCATCTTTTCATATTAAAATTTAGCAACAGTAAAATGTATACTTCAATGAGAATGGCTTTTATTGTGATCGTCACTTTTGCGTAATTTTCATAAATTATATCAAATTAGTGCCTGCTGAATGTCTTAAAACTCTTTCAATTCATTTCCCTAAAAAGCACCTGGTTCAGCTTTTTGGGCCTTGATTGAAATCACTCAGCTTGCATGTGTCGCTTTGTACTTAACAAATCTGTTCAATTGCAGGAAGCGTTGATGGAAAAATACCGCCACTGTGATGAGACAATATCAAAACTCCTGGAATGGATCGCTGACATCGAAGAGCAGCTTGCCAACCAGGACTTGCTCAAGGAAACTATTGAAGAGCTTAAAAATCAAATCAATGATGTCAAGGTAAATTTTTCTCTTTAAAAATTCATATTTTATTTTAATATTTCTTGATAAACAAAAGAAATGTAAATTTAATTTTTGATTCATTTTTTTTTCCTTTTCAGCGCATCAAAGACGACCTGGATGAGCACTCCAGGCCCGTGGCTACCAGCCTGGACCAGGCTCGGCAGATCGCAGCCGAAGGCAAAGAGGTCTTCTCCAGCAACGAAGTGGCCCTGCTCGAGAGGAACGCTGAGAAACTCAAGTCCCGCTACGAGAAGGCCTCAGACCGAAGCGACAAACTTCTGCGAAAACTTCTGGCTGGGGAGGAAGATCTCACCAAATACAGGAATGAGCTGAGAAACTTCACCTCTTGGCTTGTCAAGGCCCAACAGAGTTTGGAGGAGCGTGAGAAGTCGCTCGGCACTCTGCAGCGCAACGACTCCACCAAGGAGTTTGTGATCGACGTCATCTCCCACCAGGCCGACTTGCGGTTCCTCACCATGGCCGCTCAGAAATTCGTGGAAGACTCGAAGGACTACCTGTCCGTCCTGAACGAGTACAGAGTCAGTCTTCCTCAGCGGTTGTCCCACCTCGAGCCGAGGAAATCGTCTCTGGTCAAGCAGGAGCTCCAGGAGGTAACTCAAGCCTACCAGGAGCTTCTTGCTGGTGCCAACAAACTCCAGGACAGAGTGGCTGGAGTAGGAGGCCGTCAAAAGGAGTACAAAGATGCTCTGGACAAGGCCAGAGCGTGGTTGAAGGAGGCCGAACCAAGGGCCAATAAGTGTCTTGCCGAACCAGTGAGCGCTGAACCAAGAGCCGTGGAGGAACAGCTGCTCAAGACCAAGTCTCTGCACACCGAGTTCATTTCCAACGAGAGGCTGATCATTACTGCCGTGCAAACCACCACGTCTTTGATCAAGTCTCTGGAGGGTGAGTTGTCCGCTCAGGACGCTGATGCTCTGGAGACGCCGGTGAGGGAGTTGGAGAGCAAGTACAGGCAGCTGCTGAATGCCTTGGGCGAACGTTGCCAGGCGCTGGATATTGCGCTGGTACAGAGCCAGGGAGTTCAAGACGCCCTTGACAACTTGGGTTCCTGGTTGAATGCTTCCGAAGGACAGCTTAAGTGAGTTTTACTTTCTATTTCAATAATTTTCATGATTTATTTATTATTTTTTTTTATCTTGTTTAATATTGGAAAAAAATATAAAAAAATTTTGAAGAAAATTTAAAATTAATTCAAATTTTATTTTAGAACACTGACACGCCCTGCCAGCCTAATTAAGGAGAGACTGTTGGAGCAAATTAGGGAGCACCGCATGTTGCAAGCTGATGTTGATTCTCACCGAGCTGCAGTTGACCAGGTGTCTCAATCTGCCCAAGAACTTCTTGCTACTGCCAGCAATCCCAGGGTTGCTAAGAAAATTGAAACCAAGCTTAAAGAAGTCACCACTAGGTAAAAATATCAAACATGTTCAATTTAATTATTAAAAAAGTCACTATTTGTACAACAGATTTGAGAAAATGGCTGAGCGAGTCAATAAGCATGGATTATTCCTGGAAGAAGTTGCCATTGAGCTTGAAAAGTGGACTCTGCAGAGCAACGCCATTGAGAGTTGGCTGATTGAGATCACAGATGCCATCGAAGTGGCCTCAAAAATGCCCGCAGAAGAGCAACAGGTTCGCCTTGATAAGGCCCTTCAAGCAAGAGACGCAAAGAAGCCTGAGTTTGAAGAAATTCTGCGTTCAGGCAAAGCTCTCGTCTCCAAGAAGGATGTGACTGACACCAACCAAGTCAGAGACAAGCTGAAGGTAATCATCTTAAAATTTTATAAATTAGAAGGATTTTTCAAATTTTATTTTAAATAGGCATTGGAGAGTCAGTGGAAGGACTTTGGCATGATTCTCGAAGAGAGGCAGAAACTTGGCAAGGCCCGTGCTGAGCAGCTCAACGCTTATGAAAAACTGCGAGTGCAAGTTTTGGAATGGCTCACGTACATGGAGAACCGAGTCAACCAGCTTGCACCAGTGGCAATCGAACCAGAGGCAATCAAGAAGCAAGCAGAAGAAATTAAGGTAGTAAAAATACATTTATTGTAATTTTTAAAATTGAATGACTTTATATTTTAATTTTTAGAATTATTATAATTTTAATTATGTTTATTTTTAATCAAAATTTTTTCAATATTTTTGCAGCCCTTGGTCAAAGAGCATCGTGACTACGCCAACACAGTTGACAAGGTCAATGATCTGGGCAACGCGTATGACGCCCTTCTGCGTGGTGAAAGGCCAGACTCGCCTAACCGCAGGCGCAGCTCTGCCTTCAGCCCCACAAAGAGACCCTCTGTCAACAACCAGAGGCGTGGATCGCAAGATGCAAGAAGCCCATCACCAACTAAGTTGGCTAACAATTTCAATAACATGCAGAGTCCTGTTTCACCGAATGGTTCTAGTGGCTTTAGCAGTCGCAGATCCTCACAGGACGGTTTCCATTTGGATGATAGTCCTGTGCAGCAGCAGCTCAGCGAGATCAACAACAGGTATACCCTGTTGGGCTCGCGGCTCACTGACAGGCAGAGTGAGGTTGAGGCGCTCAAGGATGAAATCCGAAAGCACCTTGACAACCTTAAAGCGCTCTCGCAGTTCCTGGACAAGATCCAGCGACAGCTGCCCAAAGATTCTGTGCCTCAGAACAGAGACGAGGCTGATAAAATTGCCCGTCAAATTAAGGTGATTATTTTTATTATTAGAATAATTTTTTGCATTGATTTTTTATATCTCAATTATTCAGGCAATTGTGGAAGAAATGTATGAGAAGCAATCTCTCCTGGACAGCACTCGAAACCAGATCAATGACATGCTGAAGCGCAAACCAAACGCACCAGGTGCCGACAACTTGAGAGACGAACTTGCAGATGTGGTCTCCAGATGGAAGGGACTTCAAGATCGGTGCAAAGACAGGTAATAATATTTAATGCAGCAAAAATTAAATATCTTGGAATTAAAACTATATTCATTTTTTAGAACCAAGTTCATGGAAGATCTCAAGGACTTGCTGGACACTCAAGATCAGCTGTCCAACTGGCTTACTGCTAAAGATCGCATGATGACTGTCTTGGGTCCAATTTCATCTGACTCGAGAATGGTTCAGAGCCAGGTGCAGCAGGTGCAAGTGTTGAGAGAAGAATTCAGGACACAGCAGCCTCAGTTGAAACACTTGACAGATCTGGGAGAAGCAGTTTTGTCCCGCTTGGACGAGAACTCGCCTGATGGCCAGAGAGTAGCCAACAAGGTCAACAACATTTTGGAGCGCTGGGCTGACCTTTTGGGCAAACTGGAAGATCGCGCCAATTCGCTCGGAGCAGCTGCCAACACAAGTCGAGAATTCGACGCCGGCCTTGCCCGCCTCAGAGAAGCCCTCCAGGCTATTTCTGATGAGCTTGATGACCTGCCAATGGACAAGGAGCCAGAAGAGCTGCTTAGAAAGTTGGAGAACCTGGAAAGGCAGCTTGAAGGCAAGAGACCATTGCTTGCTGATGCCGAAGCGGCTGGTGAACAGCTTTGCCAAGTTTTGGGTGATTCGGCCTCTAGAGCTGAAATTCAAGGCAAACTGGCCCAAGTAAATAGGCAGTACCAGGGCATCCAGAGGAAACTGGACATGAAGAAGGCAGAGCTGGAAGGCAGCCTGAGGGATGGTCGCCAGTTTGGTGAAGACTGTGCCAGAACTTTGGGCTGGCTGAATGACGAACTGAGCCAGCTGTCTGAAAAGCTGCTTGTGTCTGCCGATCGACATGTACTGCAGCAACAGCTCGAACAACACGAGGTACAAAAATGTTTAAATTTACCAATTAATTTAAATTTAATTAAACCAAAATACAAAGTTTTAACTAAACTCTTATTTTATTATTTACAGCCTGTGTACCGTGATGTAATGGCCAAGGAGCATGAAATCATCATGCTACTGAACAAGGGACGAGACACGATTGCCAAGTCGCCTCAGCAGCGCTCTGGTTCTGAAAGAAATCTCCAGCGAGATCTCGACAAGATCCAGCAGGCGTGGGAGAAACTCAGGAAAGATGCGGTCGATAGAAACACCAGACTTCAGACATGCATGGTATATTTTTTAATAACTCGTTTTTATTAACTATAAAAGATATATTTATTTATATATTTCTCTAATTAATTTTATTTCTACAGGAACACTGCCGCAAGTTCTACAGAGGCCAAGAATCATTCATGCCTTGGCTTGAGCAGGCAGAGGCCAAGCTGGACACTTTGCGGCCTACAAGCTTCAAGAAGAAGGACATTGAGCGTCAGTTGAAGGAGTTGCAAAACTTCCGCAATGACATTTGGCGCCACTCTGGAGAGTACGAGAACAACCGTACACAAGGAGACACCTTCATGGGTGCCTGTGATATGGACAAGGATGTTGTTCGCAATGAGCTGGCCAACATGAAGGAAAGATGGGATGCTCTTAACAACGGTAAATTGAAGTAGAATAAGAATTACAATAAATTAAAAATATCAACTTATTTAAATAATCTTTGTTTCAAAAAAGATATGTGTTGTAAATAATTGATGTTTTTATTTCAGAGCTACTCGAGCGAACTCAAGCCCTAGAGGACACAGCGCGTCGTCTTGCTGACTTCAATGACAACCTTCGAGATCTTTCTCACTCCTTGGCTCGCTGTGAGGACAAACTTGCCTCTCATGATGCTCTGGGCGGTGCTTCCAAGGACCCGAAACTGCTGGAAAGAATCAAGAATTTGAGAGAAGAGACCGCAGCTTTGAAAACGCCTTTGCAGTCTGTCAAACAGCAATCAGGAGATTTGGTTGCGCGAGCCTCTCAGAATGGTGCCGACGCTTCGTCCCTTGAGGAGGAAGTGGACACTCTTGCCGACCGCCTGGATGACCTGACTGCGAGACTGGACGACCGCTGCAATGAACTCCAGTCGGCTGCTTCTGCTGTTGGCCAGTTCAATGACCAGATCAAGGGTCTGACCCATGACCTGTCAGGCCTGGAGGAGGAACTGGACGCCATGAAACCTCCAGCAAGAGAGATCAAGGTGGTTAGAACGCAGATTGATGACACAGCAAAACTTCTGCGCAAAATTAACAAGGCTGGAGAGGACGTGGTTCAAATTGTGGAGGCTGGAGAAGAGCTTGTTGATTCTGGATTTGCGTCAGACGTCGCCGCCACCAGAGAGCAGGTTGAACTGCTGCAAAAGCAGCTCGGCCGCTTAGAGGAGCGTGCCAAGGGCAGGGAAGAAGCCCTGGACAGCACTCTGCGCAGACTTGAGTCCTTCTATGAGGTGCACACTGCCGTTGTTCGGGAGATTGTTGATGTCTGGGAACAGACCAAAAGGTTCAAGACGGTCGCGACTGAAGTTGAGGCCATCAGGACCCAGCAAGAAGAGTACAGAGAGTTCCACACTGCCCACATTGAGGGGCTCACCATTCAGGTGGACGAGTGCAACAAATCTGGCCAGGGTCTCATCCAGAGTGCGGCTCCAGGCGTGAACACGAATTCATTGGAGAAGGACTTGGAGAAGATGAATGAGAAGTGGAATGACCTCAAAGAAAAGGTATAACTAATTTTAATACAGAATTTTAAATTTTTTAAGGTGATTTTAAATTCAAAATCACCTTGAATCAACCCTCGATCGTGAAATTCTACGACAAAATTTAAAATTTTAGTTGAAAAATTATTTTAATAAATTTTTACTAAATTTCAATAATTTTTTTCCACAGTTGAACGAGAGACAACGCAAATTGGATGTTGCCCTCCTCCAATCGGGCAAATTCCAAGAGGCCCTGGATGGCCTTGCAAAGTGGCTCACAGACACAGAGGAAATGGTTGCTAATCAAAAACCACCTTCAGCTGACTACAAGGTGGTCAAGGCTCAGCTACAGGAGCAAAAGGTTTGTGATTTTTTTTCTCACAAGCGCTCAAATTTTATTTGAAAATCTTGGATTTTAGTTCCTGAGCAAAATGTTGGCTGATCGTCAAAACTCGATGTCTTCCCTGTTCACCATGGGGCAAGAAGTGGCCGCCAGTGCCGATCCATCAGAGCGCAAGCAAATTGAAAAGCAGCTCAAGGAACTTATTGGTCGCTTCGACAATCTGTGCAACGGCGCCCAGAAGAGGCAGGAGGATCTTGAGAGGGCCATGGAGGTTGCTAAGAGATTCCAGGACAAACTCGCTCCTCTCAATGAGTGGCTCGACAAGACTGAGAAGAAAATCAAAGACCTCGAAGTTGTGCCGACAGATGAGGAGAAAATTCAACAGCGCATCAAGGAGCATGACGTAAGTTTGGTTGCAAATTCTTTTTATTTACTGCATATATTTATTTCTTTTTGAATAAAGTTACACTGATAAATTTTGCTTTTTTCCTCAGAATCTGCACAAAGAAATCATTCGCAAGAAGCCTGACTTTGATGATCTGGCTGATATTGCTCAGCTGCTCATGTCTCTTGTCGGAGAAGATGAAGCAAGTGCTCTTGCTGATCGCCTCCAAGAAGCCTGTGACAGGTACGCTGCCCTGGCCCTCGACTCTGAAAGAGCTGGAGCTCTGCTTCTTGAGTCTAAGGCTGGACTGCGCCACCTTGTCCTGTCATACCAAGAACTACAGGCATGGATGGACGAGATGGAGAGACGTCTTGGCCGATACAAGATCTTGGCCGTACATGTTGACAAGCTGCTAGAGCAAATGAATGATCTTGCTGTGAGTTCAATTTTTTTTAATTACAATATAAATGGTTATTTCTTCTAGAAAGAAATATTGTACTAAATATTAATATTTATAATCATTTATGAATGACTACTTTATCTCGTAATTAATTTTTTCAGGATGTAACTGAGGAAATTGCAAACCACCAGCAAGCAATTGACAGCACCGTCGACATTGGTCTTGAGCTCATGAAGCACATCACCAATGATGAGGCCATCCAGCTGAAGGACAAGTTGGACGTGCTTCAACGTCGCTTCAGTGACCTCACCGTCAAGGGATCAGACTTGCTCAAGCAGGCCCAAATCGCCCTTCCTCTGGTCCAGAACTTCCACGAAAGCCACACCAAGCTTGTCGACTGGATGCACTCGGCTGAGGGCTCTCTGCAGTCTTTGGAGAGTGGCTCTAGCGGAGGCGGGTCCACTTCCTTCGGACAAAACCAAGAGGAGGAGATCCGCAGGCTGGAAGCCGACCTTGCCGAGTACAGACCCGTCCTAGACACCATCAATGTGGTTGGACCCCAATTATGCCAACTGTCGCCTGGAGAGGGTGCTGCCACCATCGAAGGATTGGTCACCAGGGACAACAGACGCTTTGACGCCATTGCAGAACAAATCCAACGCAAGGCTGAACGCATTCACCTGTCGAAGCAGCGGTCCATGGAGGTTATCGGAGATCTGGATGAGCTCCTTGACTGGTTCCGTGAGATTGACGGTCAGTTGCGTGAGGCTGAGCCACCAAGCGCCGACCCTGATGTCATCAGGGTTCAACTCAAAGAGCACAAGGCACTCAATGATGACATCTCCAGCCAGAAGGGCCGTGTTCGAGACGTCCTTTCCACTGCCAAGAAAGTCCTCAGAGAAACTAACCAAAACGAAGACACCTCTGTCATTCGTGAGAAGGCGGAGGACCTGCGGGAAGTCATGGAAACTGTCTCTGCGCTCAGCTCAGACAGACTCAGCGCTCTGGAACAGGCTTTGCCTTTGGCTGAGCACTTCCATGAAACCCATGCTGGACTCTCTGCCTGGATGGACGACATGGAGCAACAGGCCAGCATGTTGCAACTGCCAGCGCTGAGACCTGATTTGATTGCCCAACAGCAAGACAGAAATGAGGTATGAATTAGTTGTTTTAAATTTTTTATGATTTTTTAAATATCAAAACGGACAATAAATATCTAAATTTTATAAAAATTAAAAAAAATTAAATATAATTAAATAATAAATTATTTTGCCTAAACAGCAAAATGCAGCCTCTTTTTTATTATTTAATTATTATTGTTGTTTATTTTTCCACATTGTTTTGATATTGTTTATTTTATTTTTTTAATATTTAAATTTTAATTATTGCTTTAGCTCTTCTTGCAATCCATCAATGAGCACAAGCCTTTAGTTGACAAATTGAACAAGACTGGTGAGGCTTTGGTCAACCTCTGCTCACCTGAAGAGGGTGCTAAGGTTGCTGACATCATGGAGGCTGACAATGCTCGCTATGCCGCCCTTAAGGCAGAATTGCGTGCCAGACAGCAGGAGCTGGAGAAAGCCCTTCAAGAGAGCTCTCAGTTCTCTGACAAACTCGAAGGCATGCTTCGCGCTCTTGCCTCCGCTGCTGACGCAGTGCACGGAGCCGATCCTGTGTCCGCCCATCCACCCAAGATCAAGGAGCAGATCGACGAAAACTCTTCTTTGGCTGAAGACCTCGACAAGAGGGAGTCGGCCTTTGAGGCTGTCAAGCGTGCTGCCGAAGATGTTATTGGCAAGGCTAAGAACAAGCAAGATCCTGCCGTCAAAGGTTTGTTCGTAAAAATTCTCAGCTTTAATAAATTTTAACTGATTTTTATGCTTGTTTTTAGATATCAGAAATAAACTCGAGCGACTCAACAAGCTTTGGAATGAAGTTCAAAAGGCAACCAACGATCGTGGCAAGTCTTTGGACGGCACGCTGTCGATTGCTGAGAGGTTCTGGAGGGAACTCGAGGCCATCATGCACACCCTGAAGGACTTGCAAGATACGTTGCAGTCCCAGGAACCACCTGCGGTTGAGCCCTCTGCCATCAAGCAGCAGAAGCAGGTCCTGCAAGAGATCAAGCGGGACATTGACCAGACTAAGCCAGAGGTGGACAAGTGCAGACAGACTGGTCAGAGTCTGATGAAAATGTGCGGAGAGCCCGACAAGCCTGAAGTCAAGAAGCACATCGAAGATCTGGACCATGCATGGAATAACATCACCGCCCTGTATGCCAAGCGGGAGGAGAATCTCATTGATGCTATGGAGAAAGCAATGGAGTTCCACGAGACTCTACAAGTAAGAAAAAAATCTTGAAAGCTGAAATAAAAATCTTAAATTATTTATTTTCTATTCAATAGAATCTCCTTGCATTCCTCGAAAAGGCTGAGAACAAGTTTGCCAAGATGGGTCCTCTGGGCTCTGACATTGACCAGGTCAAGAGGCAGATTGAACAGCTCAAGGACTTCAAGGCTGAAGTTGATCCCCACATGGTCAAGGTTGAAGCCCTTAACAGGTATTTTGTTGCTTTTTTTTTAATTCCGAACTGTACAAAAAAAGTATTTTCAAAAATCTTTGATACTCTAATGGTGATGGTCTAATGCTTGTGCTTTTATTTTCCAATCAATCATCTGCTGCAGATCCCTTCAAAGGCAAGTTCTGATTAGAGATGTTTGTATGTAAAAATTTGCATGACTTGCACTCAACAATTAATTATAGATGGTTTTGAATTTTTCAACAATTTTATTGATTAAATTCTATTTAAGATTATTTTAAGATTATTAAAAAAAATGCATACATGTTGTATAATTAAGATCTCTAAATTTATGTATTTGCACTTTCTATAATTCTAATCACTTTTTTGTCCTTTTGCTTCTACTCGATTTCTCATAATTTTATTTTCATATTTTATTTCGTGTGGAAATGTGACACTAGAATATTTATATCAAACTTTCAATATGCAGGCAAGCACAGGAGTTGACCGAGCGCACCTCTGCTGACCAGGCAGCCGCCATCAAGGAGCCCCTCTCTGCCGTCAACAGACGATGGGATGAGCTTCTCCGCGCCATGGTCGAGCGCCAGCGTCAACTGGAGAATGCTCTTCTTCGTCTTGGCCAGTTCCAACATGCTCTGGGTGAACTCATGGTCTGGATAGACCGTACCAACAAGACCCTGGATGAACTAAAGCCAGTTGTGGGAGACCCGCAAGTGCTGGAGGTTGAGCTGGCCAAACTTAAGGTGTTGGTCAATGACATCCAAGCTCACCAGACCAGTGTAGATACTCTAAATGATGCTGGCCGCCAGATCATCGAGTCTGAAAAGGGCACGACCAACGCCTCTGTCACTCAGGACAAGCTCAACAACCTGAACGTCAAGTGGAGAGAACTTCTGCAGAGAACTGCTGACAGGCAGAGAGAACTGGAAGACGCCCTCAAAGAGGCCCACGAGTTCAATGCTGAGGTGCAAGATTTGCTCTCTTGGTTGAGTGACGTGGACAGCATCATTGCCGCATCCAAACCTGTGGGAGGTCTTCCTGAAACAGCCATGGAGCAGCTGGAGCGATTCATGGAAATCTACAACGAACTGGAAGAAAATAGGCCAAAGGTTGAAACCGTTCTTCAGCAGGGCAACGAATATCTGAAGAGATCCAGTGCTGGTGCTGCCAAGAACTTGCAAAACCAGCTGAAGACCCTGAAGCAGCGATGGGATAGTGTAACGGCCAGGGCCAACGACAAAAAGATCAAGTTGGAAATTGCCCTTAAAGAAGCCAACGAGTTCCACGAGGCGCTTCAGGAGTTTGTCGACTGGCTGACCAGTGCTGAAAAGACCCTGAGCAACCTGAAGCCTGTGTCTCGCGTTATGGAGATTATCCTGGAGCAAATTGAAGACCACAAGACTTTCCAAAAGGAAGTCAGCTCTCACCGGGAGACCATGCTGGCGCTCGACAAAAAGGGAACACATCTGAAGTACTTCTCGCAGAAGCAGGATGTGATTCTGATCAAGAACCTTCTCATCAGCGTCCAGCACCGATGGGAGCGAGTCGTTTCCAAGTCTGCCGAGCGCACCAGAGCTCTCGACCTCGGTTACAAGGAGGCCAAGGACCTCCATGACAGCTGGTCGGAGTTGATGAAGTGGCTGACGGAGGCTGAAGATTCTCTGGATGAATTGGCAGCCACGACTGGAAATGATCCTGAGAAAATCAAACTGCAGCTTGCCAAGCACAAGGAGTTCCAAAGGGCTCTTGCTGCCAAACAACCAAACTATGACAGCACCATGCGCCTTGCCAAGAATGTCAAGGAGAAGGCACCAAAGTCGGACGAACAGACGCTCAAGGACATGATGACTGAGCTCAAGAACAAGTGGAACAGCGTGTGCGCCAAATCTGTCGACAGACAGAGGAAGCTGGAGGAGGCCTTGCTTTTCTCCGGGCAGTTTAAGGACGCCGTGCAGGCTCTTCTGGATTGGCTTAAGAAAGTCGAAGGCTCGATGGTTGAGGATGGACCTGTGCATGGAGATTTGGATACTGTGAACGCCCTGATTGACAAACACAAGGTAAAAAAAAGTTACAGACTAATTTATGAGCCAACAAAATTGTTTTTAAATAATAATCTAAAATAATTTATTTCCAGTCCTTCAAAGAAGATCTTCAGAACAGGGAAACACAACTTAAGTCGGTGCTCAAGACTGGCTCTGAGCTGAAGTTGAAGGCCTCTGCTGCGGACGCTGAAACCATCACCAGACAGTTGGACGAGATGAATGAATCTTGGTCAAAGGTCACTCGCATGAGTGACAGGAGAACTGCTCGTCTGGAGGATGCCCTTAAGGATGTATGAACCTGTCAAAGTATTTTTGGTTGAGAAATATAATTTGATTTTTAGGCTGAAAAACTGCACAAGTCGGTCCATATGCTCCTCGAGTGGCTGTCTGACGCTGAAATGAAGCTCAGATACGCCGGACAACTGCCTGAGGATGAGATGGAAGCAAGGCAGCAGATTGAAGACCACGCCAAATTCCTCAGGGAACTCAGTCAGAAGGAGTACGAGAAGGACGACACCATTACTCTAGCGCAGGAAATCCTCGAGAAGGCTCATCCTGACGCCATTTCTGTCATCAAGCACTGGATTTCCATCATCCAGTCCAGATGGGAAGAAGTTTCCAGCTGGGCCAAGCAGGTACGTTTTTTTCTAAAAGAAAAGTTTCCAGCATTTCAAATATTTACTTTTAGCGCGAGGCCAAGCTCAAGGACCACATTCAAACCCTGCACGACATGGAAGACATTCTGGAGGAACTCCTCGCCTGGTTGGGTGGACTGGAGAGAACTTTGCAGGACCTGGAATCAGAAGAGCTTCCAGAGGAGCCTGTGTTGATTGAAGCTTTGATCAAGGACCACACCGAGTTCATGGAGAACACTGCCAAGCGGCAAGGGGATGTGGACGGGGTGTGTAAGCCTCGCCAGATCCAGGCGCCCAACCCCACCAAGCAGCCCGCAACTCTGGGCCGCAAGGGCTCCAAGCCCAAGACCAGCATTGGGTACGTCAGCTATTTTATTTTATTTTTTTTGTGCGAAACAAAAGGAATTTTGTTCCGAATACCCGTTTTATGTTGAATATTGTAGCTTTGAATGTTGTGTAGTTTTTCTATTTGATTATTTTGTTTGTGGATTGCACGTGTTTGATTTTTGTGTGCTGTATGTATTTAGGGGTAGAGACGACTATGATGGATACAGGGACCGTGAGTCCTCACCCGAACATGACCTGGGCAGGAGATCAAGGTATTGCACTGTAGTCAATATTTCCTTAGCACAAAAATTCTTGCTGTGTTCTTTTGGTCACGCTCTTTTTTTTCTTATGTAGCCTCAGGCACGGATCTCGGGAATCAACTCCTGGTATCCAGATGCGCAAAGACAGGTTAGCACTTTTTGTTGTTTTGTATTCCATTTTTTTGTAAATATATATGCGTCTCACGCGCGCTCATTATGAGCCCACTCTCATTATTTTGGGTAGCAATGCTTATTGGAATTTGGTGAATTTTTACCATGTCCTGTCATCTTTCATTTTATTGTTTCCATACACATTTTGTGTTTTTATTCGTTTATAATTATATTATATTTTCAGTGAAAAATTTCCCACCACTGATGATTAAAAATTTATATTTTTTCTGCCTGCGCATGGTTTTTTGACTGCAATTTGTTTGTTTTTGTTTGTATAGTCGTGCAAGCCCAACCAGAGAGAAAACGCCAGACGATTTGCCTCACTACGGACCTCGTTTCCCTCCCAGAGGAAGGTAGCCACCTCGACCAATTCCTCCTCTCTTCAACTCCTATCATTTTAGGAAAAAATCAAATTTTTTCCTAAATTTATCTCTTCATATATATATTTCGTTTGCAACCTTTGCTTCTGTCACTCTATCAAGTTTCTGTAAATGCTTGTCCATTGAAACAAAAGCTATTGCCTACAAATCGATCAGCTTTCTTCCTCAACTATATCTATATTTGACGCCTCAAACAACTGCTAACTTTGACTCTCCACCTTTCAGCAAAGCGGAGCCGCAGTTCCGCAACCCACGGGTCAAGCTGCTCTGGGACAGGTGGAGAAACGTCTGGATGCTTTCTTGGGAGAGACAGCGTCGTCTGCATGACCGTCTTAAGTACCTGATTGAGCTTGAAAAGGTCCGCAACTTCAGCTGGGACGATTGGAGAAAGAGGGTAGGCGAATTTACAATTACTAAACTTGCACAAGAAATTAATTGCTCTCCATTAAAGTTCCTCAAGTTCATGAACCACAAGAAGTCCAGACTCACCGACCTCTTCCGCAAGATTGACAAGAACGGAGACAGTCTCATTCCACGTGAAGACTTCGTTGATGGAATCATCAAAACTAGTGAGTTAAAGAATTGAGCTTTGATTTATATTTATTTTAAATTGGCTATATTTGAACAAATCTCATTTCATATTTTGCGTTTACATTTAAAATTCTCCTTTTTTTAACAGAATTTGACACCAGTCGCCTGGAGATGAATGCAGTGGCTGACATGTTCGACCACGACTCGCAGGGCCTGATCGACTGGCATGAATTCATCGCTGCCCTCAGACCAGACTGGGAGGATAAGAAGCCCAAGAATGAAGCAGACAAGATACATGACGAGGTCAAGAGGCTGGTCATGATGTGCACTTGCAGACAGAAGTTCAGGGTGTTCCAAGTTGGGGAAGGAAAATACAGGGTAAAGAGAAAAAAACAATTTGAATTTACAAATGGCTCAACAAATTATGTTTGTAGTTCGGTGACAGTCAGAAACTGAGGCTGGTGAGGATTTTGCGTTCAACTGTGATGGTTCGTGTCGGCGGCGGCTGGGTGGCTCTTGACGAGTTCTTGGTTAAGAATGATCCTTGCAGAGGTACGCATCATATCTTAAGATCAAATTTCTATATGAATATTATTAAAAATTATGCGAAGCAAAGAGTTTTGAAAAAAGAATATTGGAACTATAATAATATATATTTGTGAAATGCAGCAGAAAATTTAAAGAATTTTGAACACACAAAACACAAACACAGAATTATTAACCTTCTTGCTCTACTTGAGGGACAATAGGTATGGTGACGGTTGAAATTATTATCAGTAACTGTCTGCCACCCCTGCTCCAGTTTTGTCTAACCCTGTTTTGAGATGTTTGCTTCCAAATTTATTGAAAAAAAAACCCTGACCCGAGCTTAATTGATTAAAAAAATCGCTGCATGTTTCCAATTTTACTGACCATAATAATAATTGTATTACTAACCTGCTAGTGCTAGTGGTCTGTATTAATTAAATCTCTTACTTCATTCTAAAAAAAATTTGCTATCTGGTGAAGGTATTTGAGATCTGCTTCTAATACTCTGCTTTCTCTCCGCCTCCTTTTACCCTTTCAACTAACCTTCCTCAACCTTGATCCCTACTTTTGTATTTATTTTTAAACATTAACTGCAAATTGCATGCTATAGTGGAAATGTTGCCAATACCAGATCCAAACAAGCCAGAGCAGCATGAGGCTTGGTGTCCTCTGGGTCCAATCGAAAGATGTGAGGATTTGTTTGCATGTTTAGAAAATAAATTTAAAATAACTCAAAATAAACTACTCACAAAAAGTGTTATATTTAATTTGCTATTTTTCGCTTGGTTGCTGGCATATAGCTTTGCAAAATTAAATATCACTTGATTAAACAACACACTAGAAACGTCAATTCACCCTTATTTAGCTGCATGAAGTTTTGATTTTGGTAGTTTTTTTCACACGTCACAGAATCAAGAACCAATTTTTAATTTTTAAGCTGAACACGTAGCACTGTTATTATTATGCACTTAATTCTAGCACAAAAATGCTTTTCAAAAACTCTATAATTGCGCCAAACGTTTTCCTTTAGCGATTGTCGGAATTTTCGTTTTTGAAAGGTTGGCATGTCCAGAGCATGCATTTATTTTATTTAGTGCCTTTTATTTATTTTACATTTTAATATAACTTTAGTCTCAAGTTTTTTGGTTTGCTTCTCACTGTATCATCGTTTGTGGTCCCCATTTGAACCCTGTTTTTATTTTGCTCACTTGACCTACCAGCTAAGGGTCGAACCAACATAGAGCTGCGCGAGCAATTCATCTTGGCCGAAGGTGTTTCCCAGAGCATGACTGCCTTCAAAGCCAAACCCAGTCCCAACTCGTCCAATGTGTCGAGCCAGGGCGGTTCTGGCCAACGAAGTTCCTTCTCAGGCACAACAGGTCCCATCACCAAGGTGCGAAAACTACCCTTGATCAGGAGGAAACCGTTGAGGGTGTTTTCGCCCCCACGGCCCAAAATCTTTACTGCACTTTGTATACCTCTTGCCACTCTCTGTCTGTCGCTCTTTCTTTTGTACAAATATTTCCAATTTCTTCCTTCTCTCTCTGCCGAACGTAATAATTTACGTTCGGTCTCCGTGCACAGTAAGTATTTTACTCCTTCCTTTCTCTGTATCGGAATGATTGTTTGACGTTGCCCACCCCCGACCCCTAATTTCAATACATGCGCCGATAATCTCCTTTTGCAACCAGCGAATCAAGGTTGGTATGAAATTTCAAACCGACAACACACAAAAACACTTACACACAAGTAAAAAAGTAAACTTAATAATAAGGCAGGGCTTTGTTTAAAAAATTTGAGCACAGCAATCAAGTTCGATGTACAGCAGCAGGCATGCCGTTGTTATTATATCCGAGCGTTGTACAAAATTGGTAGTTTTTGCAAACGAATGTGTCTTACAGCCGAATACTTCATGAGCCAACTGATGCCAATTTTCGAGAGTCTGAGACAGAGAGAAGAAATCCCGTGCTCGTATCCGCTGGCAATGGGCTCGAACGTGCCAGTCTATCACTGGGTAATTAATTAAAAGTGGACACTGACCTGTAGGCTGTTTTTAACCTTTTTGGTTTCCTTTAAATTGTTTTAGAATTAGCCTACTTTATTTTAGAATTGTAATTCCAGAGCTTGCTTGTTTTAAAAAATGGGCATGCTGTGATTTTGAATCGTTTCATATTCAAAAGGCATGATTTTTTTAATTAGTTCAGCACCATAAAAAATCTACGTCACCACCTTATAGTTTCCCAAACGTGCACAAAAGCACCGGTTGCGTGTTTTAATTTTATATGACTTGGGTTCGACGCAGAATGAGATTGAATCCACATTATTTGGGAGGTCATTCACAAAACAAGACACAAAATCAATCAACTACTCTAGTTTTAGACACGGGCCATCGGAGTCACTGAAATCCCCTTGCTGTTCCTTTAGATTTAGTTGAGTGCTTGGAATTAGTATGTGCATGGTGTGTTGTTGTGTGCGCCCTTTTGCTAGGCCAGAGGAACGCTGTCTCGTCACCCTGGATTTTATACATCACTACAGCAGATTTGATTTCCTCTCCATTGGTCATGCTGACAAAAGGATCAGATATCATTTTTATAAGAATAATTTGTGCTTAAAATTTAATAATCACCACTAGTTCATTTAATTATGTGAATCATCTTATTTCATAAATTTTCATTTCTTTTTTCTTTGAAAATTTTTAGCACTGCACAAAATTCAATTTCTATTTGGAATATCACTGATGAAAAAAAATTAATCGAGCATAAATTAAATTTCTGAATTTTATCTTTTGATTTTATTTCCTTGGTATATGTTGTGTGTTTTGGTTTGTTTCTTTTCCTCTCTTTCTCTCTCATTATTTTGTTCTAACTCTACTTATGGAACCAACTTTCCTCCTTTTCACGCTAGTCAAGATCGCACTCTGAAAATTTCCTTCTGCAAATGTAGGTGCGAGAAAGGAGCGCGCGTAGCGTGCCCATGAACAACAAGGGCCGCTCGTCCTTCTCCGGCGGCACTCCGGACTCCCTCAGCGACAACGAGGGTGGATACCCGCGCACATTCCGCAAAACGTCAGCACCGGTCGGTCGGTCCAGCTTGACGCCGGGCGGCAGTCAGCCTGGCAGCCGCCCCGGCAGCAGGACCGGAAGCAGACCTGTCAGCAGGCACGGCTCCAACATGTCACTTGACAGCACAGGTATGAAATTAATTAATAATTAATTCTGAAAAATTTTGCCAAAACTATCAAATATTTGCAATTTTCCCCTTCAAATGGGGATTAATTTTTTAGCAATAATTATGCTTGAAAGTTACAATAAAAAAAAAAAAAAAGTAGAAAGAAAAGTTGCAGCAAGTGCCTTTTTTGGCTTTGCTTAGACTGGGTATTAAGAATGGATGTACGTTTTTTTTTTCTTATTTGAAGCCCACTATGGAGCCTCATGGGGTTCGAGCCTCACTTTCTCTGCGCCAAAGAAGCTCATTTTGTTAGCCTCCATTTCTCTAGATATGGAAATATTCTTTATTTTTTTTTTATTCTGATTTAAATCGTTTCCTTTAATTTTATTTAAATTAGACGAACACAAATAAATTTTAATAAACACAATTTTTAGATTAATTGTTAAATTGTTATTCTTTGACTTATATTTAAAAAAACTGCTATTTCTCAGTCCATAATTTTAATTTTTTTTATTTTTAGATGAGTGTTGCACTCCAAGTCGCATTCCCATGAGACGCGTGACGGCGCCTTCAAGTGGCTACGGCAGAACAACCATCTCTTCAACCAGGAAACTCACAGTGCCCATCAACGGCACAGCTCCCTCGTCTCGTCCACGAACACCGACTAGCCTGAGCACGCCGACCGGCAGGTATGTCGATTCCGAACGAGCCACTCCAATCTACGTTTAAAAAAAATACAATTGCTTTCTAGATGGAGAGCGTTATTTTTTTACTGACTGTGCATCCAGAATGGCTTATTTTATAGCTGTTTCTATTTTACTCGTGTAAATTTCTGGAATGCTTTTCCCGCAACCATTATTCGAATCATTCCACACTTTTTTTGCTTACTCAAAGAAAATTGAAACGACCAACGCTGAATTAATTATTTTAACCCCTGTCATTTTTCTCTCTGCTGAATAATAATCCCTCGAGCTTTTGTAACAAAATTTATTGGGGAGGGAAAAATCAGAACTAAATCAGACGCGGTGAAGGTTTTTAACTCATCCGGGGCCACTTTTTGGCAACCATTTCAGGACCGGCGGCAGGATGCAGAGGGCAACGTCGGCGTCCAGTATACCCTCGTTGTCAGGGTCAGGCATTAGGTAACTAACATTGACGTTAACAGCACCCACTCGATCTCATATTTTTCACCTGGCTACCTTTTCAATTGTTTTCAATCTGTGGCCAAGCCTTGTGTAAATGTGCATGCTCATTTTTCTGTCACGGAAAACCCTTTGGTAAAGGTACTAATGACTTTCTCTGTCGCTCGCACCAGGTCGCGGATTCCGGTCTATGTTGGTTCCGAATCTTTAGCGAATCAGCAGGCGTCCGCCTTAACTTCTGCTTCATGTCCTGGGTAATTTCTGCTTAACATTTAAAAGGTGTCGCTTTTCAATGAAAGAGAATTGAATTGAAACGACGCCTTTTTTTCTTTTCTCTGGTGATGGTTTCTAATATAAAAATTCTGTCTTTCTCTCTTCTCTCTTTTTCCACGCTGGACTCTCGCAGTTCAAAAAGGACCAGTTCGTCTAACATTCCTGTCCTTCTGAAGAATTCATCCAGGTACACTTTGTGTGTGTCTGTGTGTGATTTTTAACTCGACGCCGAGTTTAAAAATTTATGCCAAATTATTATTTTTTATAGTACAAATTAAAAATTTAGAACCTTTTTCCTTAAACTAGTCACTACTTAGGAAATGAATAGTTAGCAGAAAAAATTATAATGCATCTTTTTTAACTCTTCCATGCAGGCCAGTAACTTTTAAAGAGACAAAAAGTTGCACGCCTAAGGGCAGGTCAGTAGATAATTTGACGAAAAATCTGCCTGGTGCAACTTATTGCTATTTATTTTTGACACTTTACTTCTATTACGACTTATTTTCCTTCAACACTTTTTACTATCACATATTTCTCCAAGGCACTGCATTATTTATTTACCAAAATCGTTTACCACGAAATTCTTACTTTTCGCACACATCAAGAATTCAAACATATTTAATTTTCTTGCAACTAAATCACAATTATAAATTGTTTTTTTTTTTTAACACAACCGTATTTGGGTATTTTTATGTTTTGGTCATCTCTTAATCTTGCATGCTGTCAACTATATTTTACTTTGCACAATAAATACAAATTGTTATTCTAATTTTAAATTTTCAACTGGGAGGGTTGAATTTAAAGCATATTTTGATGGCCATGCATTCCAGGTCGAGAACACCATCAGCGTCCAACATTCCTGTTTTAGTAGCAAACTCCAGCAGGTACTAATTTACAATAAGACCAACACACTTATATCAGAGACACCCTGACTCAAAATTAACTCTTTAACCAGACATTAATTTATTAAAAACAAATTAGAAAATTTATTAATCAAAAACTAAATTACTCACAGAAGTGACAAATAAAAACTAGGTTGAACTTTTTAGAAGAAAAATGCTTTTATTTTTGAAAACGTTTTGTAAGCTTTCAGCTTTTGATCAAGCGCGCTTTGTTGTGTACAGTCCAATTTCTGCAATTTTATCCCCGAAAAGCCAAAATTTAAAATTTCTGCGGGCGGGTTTAATTTTTGTCCTTAATTTTCGCAGGGCCCGAACGCCTTCAGGCTCAAGCACCAGCACGCCAGGCACCGCCACGCCCGCCTACACGTCCAAGTTGGTGCGCCGTTCGTCGGGAGCGTCGGACACAGCGACAGGAATCGCTCGCAAGAGTTCCACCAAGTCGTCGTCACCTGCGCCATTCCACCTTTAGATAAGAAGCTCTCTAACGACCTGAATTAACTACTACAACCTGTGTTCTTGAATAACCGCAAACAGTGATTAACTCCTCAAAGTATATAGTTTTAACCACCGCGTTTACTTAAAAGACGGAATCGAAATTTTTGTTAATTTTTTTTAAACGAAAAAAAGACCATCGTGTATAACAAGGGGAGGCCCCAGTTCTTTTTATGATTTGTATTAATTTAGTTTTTAACACATATCAAATGATGAGTTGTAACGTGTCCCTTAATCTAGTTTTTGTTGTTGCATTGTACCAGCACCATTACTAAATCACCAGATAGGTCTGACAAACAAGCTATAAACTCTCCGTTCGGCCATCGAGTCCAACGCCATAGAGCTCGTCTGCAATGATCCTGGCTTTAGCCCAATAACTCCTGTTGATACATGTGCGGTGCATCGGCGGGACATTATTTTGTACAAAACCAAGCTCTGGGACGAGCTGAAGAAAAGGGGGGTCTTTTCTGGCTGCGAACCTTGGTCGTGAGAGAGGTGCCGACGAAGAGCCAATCAAAGTTACATTTTCTTTGCCATATACACAAACTAGTTTTTATTCAAGTTGGCTCTTAACGTGGCGCGTTACTACTAATATTGAGACGCATGTTAAAAGTGAAGGACTAATAACGACTGAATTAATCAAGATGAAAATAAATGATACTATATTATTTGCAACTGGCATAAAATAAGTATGGTGTAAATAAACCATCACTACTGTGTAATCAAGTATATCTAGTGTGTATCTTTGAATTTGTATAGAGAGAGAAAAAGAAACGCGTTCGTTTATCTTTCAGGCACAACTTTGTAAGTTTTCCCCCGATTACGAGCCCTCCGTGAAAAAAAGCACTCGTGTATTGTATTTTTAGTTTCGAATCTACCTATCTTCCTTAGAGTCGCGTTTGCCAATATAAAATGGAGAGAAAAGTGAATGATCAGCACAAATTATTTTTATGGAACGCTGATTTGTTCGACGCTGTGAGCTTATTTGATACGAGGTTTACACCACTTGCCTGTAAAAAAATTGCATTGCACCTTTCTGCTGCTACGTGTCAAGCAGACTCTGCGTTTGGAATTGTGTAAAAATTATAAATAAGTACCTATATAGATTGTTTGTTCTCGTTTGAACCAGAAGAGTGGGCAAGTTGCAATTGTGAAAAGCAGAATTGATTAAATTGTCGGAAGCTTTAGTTTCATTTCGGTATCTATATGTGTCGGGCGTTTTGATCCACCAAAATTACACAACATGATTATACAAAAGCATGAACATTAAAATAGATTAATAATCTTGTTAACATGATAATTTTTGCTTAATAAAATCTCACCTAATTAAAGAAACACTGCGTCTATTTTATTATAAAATTAAAAATCCGGAGTAATAATTAAGTATCGAAGGCTAGGGTTGTATCATTCAATCAGTGAACATGGCTTTTATTTTTCTTAAATTGAATGTTAACACTCAAGGTTACCACCATTTATTGCAATTCAAAAAATTACAATATTAGGAATTTTTCATTTACAAATTTTTTATAACTCTGCCTCGACTTGAAGTCTTGCACAAACTCCTTGCAGTATCCTTCAATTTCAACAATTTTCATTTTAATTTGAAATATTACCAAATTTTTTAAGAATCGCCGGGTAAAGTATACCATTTGTATTAGTTAAAATAAAAGACCCAACCTGTGGCACTTGGGTGTGAAATTCCCCTGACTGCACGCACATATCTTGAGCAAACTCTCAAAGATATAATACGTGTTCCCAATTTTGAGCTGAATTCACATTTGTATGCCCCTTTACAATAATGTAATTGACATAAATTGAAAGATTAATATAATGACTTTTAAATCACCTTAAATTTATTTCCTGCAAACTCGAGACACAATTTCTCAGCAGATCAAATGTTAGAAGACCCCTTGACCATAAATTAAAAAAAAAAAAAACCAAGGAAGTTTGCATTGAGAAAAAAAAGATAAGAATATAATTTATTTTCTTAATAGAATTAAATAAATAGCGTTTGGCATTGGCTCTCTAACTTTTCTGAACACAACTTATATATTTATTTATTTAAGAGTATAATTTAGGAATTAAGATACTTTTAATGTCATTTTGTGCACTTGTACTCTTCAGTCGATCTTCATCATTTCTGCCCCCTTGATCAATGCGAGCAGGTCCAGAGACTGCTTGCCAATGATATATTCCTTGGAATTGCGGTTGAAGCGCGCATTTCCGTGTGCCTTCAGGTGCATTTTGATCAAATCCTCAAAAACTTCGTAGAGTTTGTCTGGGTAGTACTTGGACACATGCATCAGACTCTGAATGTGCGCAATGCTGGCAAACATTTTAGAGTCGGGAGGCACACCGAACTGGATGCAGAGATTCAGAGAAAGCTTCGGGAAGCGTTTTACTCCAACGTTGAAGCAAACGTCCAAGAGCTCGTCCAGAATGAAGCGTTCAGGCATCTCATGCATCCAGGGCCAACTAGAACATCAACCAATTTCTTTTTATCATCGAGGGATTTTGAAGCAGCGTTTCATCAAAAAAAAATTTATTATTTGATTTTTTTTAATGTCCGAGAGCACACAACATTTGATTTATTTTTATAACTTAATGATAAATTTAGATGTTAAGGACTCCTTATTGACAAAGTCAAATCAAGTCTTTACAACAATAGAAGCCGTTTTTGGCAATTATTGGAAATTTAACAAACCATTGTTGTAAAGACTTGATTAGACTATGTCAATAAGGAGTCCTTAAGTAAAATTTTAAGTGTATTTATTTATTTTTCCTTCAATCTAACAATAAACGCAATAAACTTAAAAATCACTTGCAGGATTCTTTATATAAAAATAATTTCCTTTCCATTCTTATATTGGTAAAAGTAAATCCCTGTCTGGCCCACCTGCTTGTATAAATTAATGAATGAAGTACGAAACGCCGCCGGCGGCCTTTTGTTGGCAAGCAGGTTCTTTTGTAGATTTCCTTCCCGACCCTCCCCATCGCCACCTGCTGTAAATCACGCCTTGCCGCCTCTCAGGTACCTGACCGCAGCGGCTCGTACCTCCTATCGAATAATGAAATCCTGGCACGCTCAGGTAGAGCCAGGTCGCACTTGTTGCTAGTTTGTAAGGTGGAAATACTACGTTTGTAAGCCGCTTTTACTACCTGAGCTCCTCAAAAACCTGAACAAGCGAAACACCTGCCTGTAGCTAGCGCTTTTGTGATGCAGGTCGTTGGGATAGATATTATGCTTACCGAACTCTAAATAATTTCCTCACTATAATAGTACTTTGATCTGCCTGTTGCTCAGTGTATATATAAAAAAAATATATATTATTTGCGGCAACTTACAAGCAATTTTAAGTAAATTTTCTGATTAATATTTTAGATAAAAACTCAGTTATAAAAAATGATAATTTTAAAAATTATTATTGAATCAAGAATTCAGCTATGTGCGCAGTAAAAAATATTTCAAAATGAAAATAGACTAGACTCCACTAAAAAAAATTAACATAATGATGGATGAGTGCATACATTGAATTGTCTTTTAATATAATTGTGTATACAAAATATTATTTTGTGTAATTACAAAACACAATTAAATAATTTTAATTTTGCATAGAAATTCAACTTAAACTATTAGCAATAAAATTGGATTATAAAAAAAATTACTCACTCATTTCTGCAGGCCAGGCACTGGCAGTGGAAGCAACATTCATTGACACAAACTCTTTTGCGGCTCTCCGAGGGAATCTGCATGCCAACGTGGTACGACTCTGTGAGCTCCTCTCCCTTTGCAACAGGTTTGATGATTCTGTAAACAGCGGTCGATCCGTAGCTGACGCGGATCATATTCGGGCTGCAAGAGTGGTTGATGAAGCTGCTGGCCAGGTAGATCGCCAATCCAAAATCTTTCTCCACCGATTTTGCAGAGCCAAAGACATCAAAGTCACAGGAGTGGAGCATCTTCGAGTTGAAACCAACAAGGAGAATCATCTTCATGACGAACGAGGCAAATTGCTCCACTTCCTGGGGTCGCTGAAAGCTGCTGGCAAAACGCGTGGCAACAGCTAAAGCCGGCGCAGTAACAGATGAGGTGAAGTCTTGGTTCAAATGGCCCACGTTGTCCTCTTGCAAAAGCAGCGCCTTCAAATTGTCAACAGGAGAAGCGTCTCGACCAAAGTGCTTGTAAGGCCTCTTCCAATCTAATTTGGTTTCTGTATTGAGCTGCTTCAGGATTTCCTTTTCTCCTCCAAGTTTAGCAATAAGCATGATGATGAGCCTTTTGGCCAAGAGGAACAGGTCAATTTCTTCGGATTTCTGCCCTCCGAAGATACCAGGGAGATCTGGAATTATCTGCTTCTGTTCCAAAGAGCAGCAGATCTTGTGAATGGCATCCCAGTCATTGGCTTTGCAGTCTTCATTGCAGTATTGCACCTGCAAAACATTTAAATAATATGCTCATAAGAACAATTAAACTTAAATGATTCTAAAAAAATTTATGTGCCTAATGAAAGTTTTGAAAAAATCGTTTATGTCTTTCAAACACAATTCATTTCCTGTTTTATGATTATTCATATTTAATGTAAAACGGACACTTACATTTTTGCAGTGGTCACAGGGGATGCTGGCTTGGATGATATTACAGCAGTACGAGCAGAAAGAAATAGTGCAGGACGGGTCGATTGCTTTGACAAAAGCTTCCTCAACAATGACCACATCTCCTATTATAATTTTTTGTTTAGAAATTATTTAATCAACTTTATATTTTCAAATTACCTATTTCCAAATCTCTTTTGGCAACCAAGTGTCTGCCCAGCTGCACGTTGTATGCAATGGCAACTGCGCTGGACAAACAAGGCACAGTGTCGCTGACTCCATAGCTCAAAGGAGGAACTTTTGATGTGAGGTTGGGTCTCAAGTTCTTATGAAGTTCAAAATGTCTCTCTTTCTTGCTGAAGAATCCATTTTGCAGCAGCTCACTAACCTCCTTTTTACTTTTTCTATCAATGACGACCTGCAAATAAGAGGACTTTTCAATATAAATATTAACTTTATGTGCAAAAAGTGATGCAGGAATGTATCAATTTTGAATGTTAGATTGAAAACACTTACAAAACTAATATCATAGAAACTCTAATTAAATTAAGATTTTTCATCCACATTTTAACAATTTAGAAAAATTCAACTCCCGCATACATGCAGACTTTATGCAACTTTTTCTTTATATTTATAGGAAATAAAACTTAATTACATCTTGGGCCCTCAAAAGACACTCATGCCAAGATCCTAATTCTGGATTAATGAAAAGACACTTTGCTTCACGAATGTAGAGTTTGTACTTCAAGTTATCTGGGTAATCATGGGCTAAGGCCCGACTGATGTCTTTGAGGCAGTCTTCGAAGAATCCCAAGCGGAACAAAGCTGCCGATCTATCACGTCAATTGAAAGGATACGAATTAAAAAGAAATCATACTTTAAGTTGGAATGAACGTTGCTGGATTTTGCAGGGTTTCAATACCTGTTAGCGTAAGCCATGGCTTTGGTAGCTGACTCGACGGCAGCCAGAAGGCTCAAAGTGTACTTGTGCTGGGCACAATCATAGAGCTGCTCCTTGTACAAGTTATTGCCTTCGGTCCTCAAAGCGTGTGACCATTTCTCCTGCTCTTCCAGGTCCCTCTCAAAATGTTTGACGGGCTTTTTAGCCACTTGGTTTTTGTCCACAGATTTCTTCAACGTGGCTTTGACTTTCATCAGGTGCTTGTTTAAGGTGTTGAACAAGAGCGCTTTTGGCTCCGACTGCTGCTTCTGCATTCTAACTTTTGTAGATCTGGAAAAACAATTGAATTGAACATAAATAATGTTTCTTATACAACACAAAATAGAATATAGTCTACACACGCATTATAAAGTTTGAAAATAAGGATAATGCACAATCGTTGAAATGAATTCATAAATTAAAAGTGGTTCGAAAAACCAATGGAAATTATGCGTCGATAAGCACCAGAAACTATAGAACCCTATACGGATTATCTATGTACACATATATTTACATTAATACATTTATATTATATATTTTTGGGCAAAGAAATCCAATTATTGACAGCTGCATATGTAAAATTATAGAAAGCAATGAAATTTAAAAATTTCTGAGCCTTTTGCCAATTCCATCATAATCCAACACGCAATAATTAAACGTAATCCAATCCAATAGAATCATCCAGGAATTAATACACCCATTGATAATTATAGACCATAGACGAGCCATGTGTAGTAAATAGTGTTAAAAATAACAGAAAAACAAAATAAAGAACACATTTTAAGATAATACCATAAGATCACGCTAATATTCATCTGAGGATTATGTGTATTACACACACACAAACACTTTTGAAGGTGAAAAAAGATGAGATCGCGGCCACGAGCAGGCGCAGGTCAATCAAAATTCGAAGCAAAAGAAGCGAAATAATTTTTGCCTTGTCTCAACTTCGTTTGGCTGCATGGAATCGAAAAGTGCTAGACATGCAACACAACAAAATTGCTCGATTTCTTCTTTCTTTGTTTTGTTTACTACTCTCGGCAGTCTCCGCCAATCCAAATAGATGCGCGACGCAGGAAGATTCTGAAAGCGGCCGCTGTCGGAACAAGTCGAGACGTGTCATGCAGGAATTGCAGAGGAAGAGGATCTGCTGAGCCAGCCGCTCTCCCTGTCTCCCTCTCCTCGTATTACTGCAGGCGGAAAAGCATTATTTTTTTTTATCAATAAATTTTTACACACAACACAATGGTAAATGGAACCTATGAATAATTATGCTTCTTAATTTTTACCAGTAATTAATTTATTAATGTAATCATTTCTTCCGTTTTTCAATAATTTACGTAAGAACATTTTTTCCGTGCTGTGAGTAAATTTTTGAATTTTTAGCTAAAAACACAACATTTAGTCTTCGATAGGATATAGCAAATTTAGGGAGATAATTACTGCGATAGGCATTTTTGTAATTTTTCAAATCAATTACCATTAAATTAATATCATTGTGATTATTACTGATTTGTGATTAAAATTTTTGTTATATCGCTCTGCAATTATTATTGATACAATTACAAATAATGTCTCAGCCAAAACGACGGTTGTATTTTTTTTTTCAAATTAATTGATCGAATACAGAATAAACTATTTTTTAATAAAACAAATGAGAAAAATTCCCTCTATATTAAAATCCAGCTTATTATTAGCGCTTATATTTTGGTTAAATTTTTTTTTATAACGAAAACAATTTTTTTTCAATTTACACCAAAATAATTAGGACATCTTGCACTTCACTTACATTTCCCTAAAATTTGGAAAATTTTATTTCATCATAATTATCCATAATAAGTTATTAAAAATATTTTATATTTTTGTAATCCACTAAATGACGTTGATTGACGGGATGAGATGTTATTGATACAATTTTATTTCACATGCACGTAATAATTATTTATAATATTATGTCGTATCAAAAAACGATAAAATTATAGCAATATTATAATTTACATGGGGATAATAATAATGCTTTTATTAAAACGCGTTTGCCTTACAGAGGGTGTCGTAAAAGTTGTAACCAACACTGGCACCTAACTCCTTGCTCAACGTGGTATGGTACGACTGACTGGTACGTCATGGCCCAAGGTCATGGCAGGTACATGAATGGTTTCTGATTGGCCAATCCAATCTAACAACGTTTCCCATAGTGACCGCACAGAAAAGAACGTTGCTGGCGCGCTGTTCGCAGTGTTCGCGACGAGAGACGAGACCTTGGACGAGACGAGACGTCTAGACGAACGACGAGACGAACTCGGCGGACGTACGTAGATCGGTGGTGTTTCCGTTTCCGCATTCGTCGAATTGGACTGGAGAATCGCGACTTTTTCAACGTGTTGAGTTCGAATCCAGCAGAGGCAGAGCTTTGGCCGAATCGGGCCGAAATCTGATCGCCGCTGCCTACGAGAACTCCTCTCGAAGTTCAGCCGTTTGAAAAGCGAGCTGTTTATTGTGTGTAAGTACATACATAAATCTTCATTCTGTGCTTGCACGTTTGCACGACCTATTTATCAAAAATTTGAGCATCGAAATTAAAATTGTGGAAAGGAAGATTTAGCTTATATGTTTCTTAATTCGTTCTCGCACTTCTGCAGCAGCGAAATTCATTCATATAAAAGCAGACAAGAACATAGTGGCCTATTCGCAGCGCCAAAATGGCGGCACCCTCTGTGTCAAAATCTTGCTGGCTCGGGTTTTGAATTTGCCTGTTTTATATATGAGTTTTATGCACGATTTTGGCTGAAATCTTTGGGTGCGCAACGTTTTGAGAACCGGCACCGTTTAAATAAAGGGGAAGTCAGACAACGCTAGAGATAATAGCGTTAGCTACCGTTGGCGTCGGACATCTCTGGGAGGGCAATTTTTCGTGTATGAATGGAGCACGACGTCAGGTTGGTTCTTATTAAGAACGTTCTGCTGACCTGACCCGCCTGAGCCTTTCGCCGACCGACGAGGCATACCGTACTCGCAAGATTTCATTAAATTAGGATAATTAATATTTGGTGCGCAAATTCTTGAGTCATGCAGCATAATATATTGCTCATGCCGCCTTGAGCATTTATGTGAAGTCATCTCGGACTCACTTGCCTGCGAAGCCTGCCTATAACTGCAGCAGGAATGATTGATTCGACACATAAAATAACATGATTTGGTGCACCATTGTGATCAAATTGGCAATTGGCATTATTAAAATATTTTCTAACCGGATTTTTTGGGATTCCCTTCTGGAAAATAAATTTTATCAAATTTGATCCAAAGTTTGAAAAACTATAATATCCAATATTATATATGCATTATTTATTTACTTAGAAGCAATTAACAAAATAATTTCTTCTGCAGTTATAAATTTATTTTCAGGCTTTACACAAAATTCGCAAAAAGTATATCAAAGTTTGGCGAAAAATTTATGTCTTTAGGTGAAAAAAGAGAAGGATTCAGAGACTGAAATGACATTTTTTTCATTATACCACACATTATACAAAAAGAATTTAGAAAAATTTGCGAGTTGACGGTATTTAATAAAAAAAATGCATCATTTTCAAACCCTAAAAATTTTCTTACACAATTTTATTTATTCAGTTCTTTAATTTATAAGAAAATTGTATCTTGCCAAAACCTTTTAAAACTTGGTTACTGAAATTATCTGAAAAAACTGCTTTTCAATATAATTTTTTTTCATATAGATACTGATTATTAAAAATGTAATACCAATATTTTATAATTTTTTTTTATAAGATTTTGAAGAATTTGCTAGAGCTCTCTTTATAAAGTTGTGTTTTTAAATAATCCTGGCTCTTTGTAAGTTTCTAAAAATTTTTAGGGATGTCATATCACGCATAAATCGCATATGTATAATTATGTAAATTATATTGAACAGCAAAATATTTTTTGTACCATCTGACCAATTAGAATAAATAATTTAAAATCAGCGCCCTTGCAAGTACAATGGGCCATATTAACCTTGCGTGGGCGAATTGAGCAATTACCTCATGTGCCTGGCGTTGCCCTGGCGAGCCCTTGAAAGCAGCACTTTGTGCGAAAACTCACGTTTTATTTCTCTGAATGGAGGTGTGATCATAAATATGAGGGCCGGCTGTCTTCGCACTAAACTTGCTCCTCGACCCTTGCTCTCGTCCGAGAATGAAAATAGCGGAGCGGTGTCCTGGGAGCTGAATTGCGCGAGGCGGAAGATAAAGAGAGTGAGAGCGGCGTATAAGTTGGATGGTTTTATTTTAATTTTTACTTTGGCCCTTAAAACACATGATTCCAAAGCTCGTGGCATTTTTAATAAAAAAAAACGGCACATCTTTAAAACGTTAGCAAAAGGCATGCCACCCGCGTGACCCGACTGCAACGTCGGTTGCCTATTCGTTAAAATTACGGTTATATTTATCCGCATGCATATCATGCGACACTAAACTGGCTTTTATTTAAGGATGAATTTCATACAGGGACGCGCTAAAACTGCCGATCGAAATACAACATGGGTCGATAATTTTTTCAATGATAACCACCTGTCCATAGGTCACCCCCATGTGGTTAAAAAAAAATCCCAAAAATTTTTTCGAATTTTTAGAATTTTTTTTCAAAAAACTCAAAATTTTAGTTTTTAATTTTTCTATGAGAAATAAAAACTTCTATACAACTTTTCTAGACTAATTTTGCAACGCCCGACAACTTTTCAATGCTAACCAAACGTGTACAAACACGTTTAAGGTCACTTTCAGACAAATTTTGACTTTGACTGAAATTTTCGAAATGAACGCCCCCTTGGATTTTTTTTGCAGGTTTAGGAAAAAATGTAGCCCATCTAATTTTAAATCGATATGGTGATTTTCAAAAATATGTTATTTTTTGTTTTTCTTTAGTTAAAAGGCGAACAAATAAAAACATTAGGTTTTTTGCGTTTCAAGCGCTGAAAATACGCTCATGGTCGGAGTTGGTTTACTTTAATTTTAAAATAATTTTAACAAGAAATAATATACATTTGAAAATTATCATACCGATTTAAAATTAGATGGGCTACAATTTTTCCTATACCACCGAAAAAATCGAAGAGGGCGTTCATTTTGAAAATTTAAGTCAAAATCAAATTTTGTCTAAAAGTGGCCTTGAACGTGTATGTACACGTTTGGTCACTATTGAAAAATGGTTGGAAAACTAAAAATACGTCCAGATAAGTTCAGTTTTTAAGTTGATTTTTAGCGCGAGAATTAATCGGACAATCGAAGCAACTTCCGAAATTTCACTCCTCACAAGGAAACCCAAAATATAATATTTTTATTTATTCACTTTTTAATTAAAGAAAAACAAAAAATAACATATTTTTGAAAATCACCATATCGATTCAAAATTAGATGGGCTATATTTTTCCCTATACCTGCAAAAAAATCCAAGGGGGCGTTCATTTCGAAAATTTCAGTCAAAGTCAAAATTTGTCTGAAAGTGACCTCAAACGTGTTTGTACACGTTTGGTTAGCATTGAAAAGTTGTCGGGCGTTGCAAAATTAGTCTAGAAAAGTTGTATAGAAGTTTTTATTTCTCATAGAAAAATTAAAAAATAAAAATTTGAGTTTTTTGAAAAAAAAATTCTAAAAATTGAAAAAAATTTTGGGATTTTTTTAACCACATGGGGGTGATCAATGATAACCTAGGTGGTTATCATTGAAAAAATTATCGACCCATGTTGTATTTCGATCGGCAGTTTTAGCGCGTCCTCGTATGAAATTCATCTAAGGTAAACCCCGTTTCAATATAAATTAACGTCTAACTATTTATTCATAAAAAAAAATTAGTGGTTAAAAATGCATTCTTTGGAGGATGCATCTGCCCTCCCATACTTGAGATTTTGTTTACAAAATCTTTTCAGATCAATTTTAGAAAAATTTGTCCCGCTTCTTCCCCCGGGAGATTTTCGGTACCCGAAGAGTTTAGTAGAGAACTAGAATTTTATGTATTTGTGTAGGGCAAGGAGGGCTACCACAATAAAAATTACATTTTAATAATAAACATTTAAAATTACACACGAACACACTTGTTTTCTTCCTTTTCTACTTTTCTTGCTTCAATGTTTTTGGTTGGCACATCTGCTGGAGATAGAGGGATTAATATATACCTTATATAATAATAATAACATTGAGAATCGTAAATTACTGCATGTTTTTTTTAAGGATATATAAATTTAAATCATTTTCATCAGTTGCAACTTTCCTGCGTTCTCAGAGGATCCAATACCCATTTCTGGTGGATCACAGACCTGCCAAGGAAAACATGGTGTTGCCCTCCTGCCCCCAGCACCTTTGCTAGAGAAGAAGTATTCAGCTCTTAATTCATTTCTGCATCTTGAAATGGACCTTGTAAATAGCGAAGTGAGTTTCATAATTAATGCCATGTGTTGGTCACTCAATATTAAAAACAAAAAACATTTTTCCTCTTTAACAGTTTCTTCATGCGGCCAGAGAGTTGCACGGTCGAGTAACTAATGTCCACCTGAGAAATTTAACAGAAAAATTGCTATTGAATGGAGGTCATTGGTCATTTGACACAGGAGTCTGAACGCTTACGACAGAAAGCCATCATAACGTGTTGTTAGTTATTTCATAAAGTTAGTTTTTTTGAATAATCTAAACATTTAACATCTATTAGGAAATTCTTGAATGAACCTTGATGACTGCGTTAAATTAGCGAAGTGCGACCTCAACTAGCAGAGAGTAAGTGTTCCATTTTTGGACACAGTGAAAGTTTCATTGGCTCGCTAAATACTACTCTTGCCGAGTATAAACAATTGGCTATAATGTGCACCCAACAAAGCTTAGAGCTGTCACCGCTCTAGTGTAACGTTATGGGAAATTTCTTAGAGCGGTGGCCGCTCTAGTGTAACGTTATGGGCTTTTTCTTAGAGCGCTGGCAGCTCTAGTGTAACGTTATGGGTTTTTTCTTAGAGCGGTGGCTGCTCTAAGCTTAGAGCGGTGGCAGCTCTAGTGTAGAGAGTTCACTGCTCCAGTTCGCGCGGCTACAGGCCTGGAGATCGTTGGGTGTGGAAGCTTTGCCTAATAGAGACTTTTGCACCACATGGTAAGGAGATTGTCAATAGCATATATGTCTAACGACTCTTATTAACCTAAACCATTATTACCTGCAGTGCTTCAAGGGAAAATTGGTTCAATTCATGCTCATGACGTCGACTTTGCTGAATTGTCGAGTTTTCAGAAGGGGAACATCAAAAATCTCTGTCATCAATTTTAGATGGATGGCTTTGTTGAGAGATTCATTCATCCTTGGCCGCCGCAATTACAAATTGTTTGGTGGGATCGGTAAGAAATGATGGAAATTATATTTAAGAATTTCAAAAATATTAAGGAATTTATTTTGGATGTATAAAAGTTGTACATATAATAATATCTAAGAGTATGCTAAACAGATATAGTTATCAAATCATATGGCATTTAATTGTATCGTCTTTCTCATGTGTTGCAGTCCGCCTGGACAACATATTACCTCTCCCTAATCGGCATATTCAGCTCTCTGAGCTTAAGTGGCATTTCGACTTTGGTGATTTAAATGCCAACTTCAACACCATACCTGAAGATGAGCTAGCTACTTGTGGAGAACCAGGACCTTGACACCCATGTTTACCTGAAAAGGGACATTGCTAACTCCTCTTGGCTTATCTTCTCCGATGGGGAGACAACTAGACCACCGTCGGTGCTAAGGGATGAAGACATGACAAACATGTTTGGCCTGTACTATATCTACGTACTCGATGAGCACCACATGAAGTCATCAACTGAAGATAAAGTTCTCAAAGGCCTACCAGAAGCCCCAGAAGGTGCATCAGCTTTGAAGGGAAAAAGGCTTAAGCCAGAGTGTAGCACAGTTGCGCAATAATGCACCCCTAGCAAGGAGTGGATTTTCAATTTGCGAGTTAATTTTATGAAAAGAGAAGCTGTCTCGGAGCACGCAGTTTGAGCGGTCGACGCTGAGCAGCTCGCGTCGGTTTCCGCGCCCGGTGGTAGGCATCTCCCCCTCACGGCTGTATGATAGCTAAACGCCGGTTGCATAATATAACTTAAATCAGGGGCGCGCCAGCACGTTTTTCCTCTCCCGTTCAGCACTATTATTTTCGCTTCGAAACGCACCCCGGCGAGTATCACGTCACCCCGTCGGCGGGCGCGACCCGACCCGTCGGAGGGGGGGCCTACGCCGACGCCCACGCACTTTTTGCCACACGAAGAACAGCGGCGGTCGGCCGGTACGCTTGTTCGCCCAGACGACCTCGAGTCGCTTTTTCGGCGGCCGACGGCAGACACGCAAACGGAAGTTAATTTTTGAATGAAGTTTCATTTTTTTTTTCGAATTAAAAAAGATGCTTCAGCTTTGATTAGTTTGTTATTCTTCTTCCTGATTTTAGTTTTGCATATCTTGTGATTTTAATCTGCTCGTCTTTTATTTAAATTCATCCCAATCACAATTTTTTTCTCAGCCGCTGATGTTGCCATGAAGTTCATCAGAAAACAGGCTCGACAGGAACGGACTTCATTTGTCCACTCAATCCTTCTGCGCATCTTCATTAACCCATGTTTATTTCTTATAGGAGGTCAAATGCATAAATGCATTTAATAAATTTATCAAACGCTGCTGGGCGGTGCCTGAACGCAGTGCACCATCGGGTTGGGTATATAATTATAGCATGTTGTCGCTTTTAACTTAAAAAAGGCTGTCACTGTGATTTTACTAATTGTGCGCTTCTTGTGTGGAAAAAAATCATATTATTTTTTTATCCGTCAAGCTTTTGTGTAAAAATATTCTTAATTGTTTTTTTTCCAGGATACGATACCTGCTTCCCGGTGAATAAATATGGCTCATCAAATCCTCTGTAAGTTACATATTAAATTTGTATTATTGTTTCGTTTATTTGTATTAGCAAGCAAAAATATCAATCAATCGTAAGTGTAGGAGGAAATTATCTTATAATTTTGCGCATTATCACCTATTACTTAATGTTTTTGGAATCGGCAAATTAAAAATTCCTGGAATTTTTTAATGAAATTTCTACTATGTTGCGTTCCATTGTTAATTTTTAAAAAATAAAATTAACCCTTCTTATATATTTTAAAATAATGAAATTTATGTAGGAACGCGCTGGAGCTTGAACATTTTGTGCAGTTATGGTATAGAAACTAAATTTTTACAGGACAGCGTCTAAATTCCGCTGCTGGGAACCACGACTTCAAGGCATGAGTGCTGCTGTTACATCTCGCAGCATTGTCGCCTGCCAGCTAGGACAACAGCTCCATAACCACCTTGCCTCCCAGCAAACCTTGAGGGGAGTCCTAGGAGATGATGAATTTGCAGTCTGCATCAGAATCATGCAATTGTATACCACCAAGAGCACAGCAAGGAGTAGCGCTTACAACAACCACGTGTACATCCAGAACTTTGAGGAGAAAGTCGAAAACCGTAGATTACAACATATTTTTTTTAAGGATATTTGAATTTAAATCTTTTTTCATCAGTTGTCACGTTTCTGCAGTCGCAGATGTATGAATTCCCGTTCCTCGTTCAGCAATTGGCCCGGCAGACACTTTTGCCCAATTTAGGAGAGGATTCAACTCTTGAGAAAGCAGTCTCTGGATACGTGACCGGTATACTCAAATCTATATATAAATAACAGAAAATTCAGAGCTCCTCCTGCAATATATTTAATGATAAATCTTTTTCCTAGTTATCTTTGCACAGTCTCCCAACCAGATTGCCGAAAGGCCTTTTGACGAATAGGCTAAGTGCAAAATCGCTTTGTGAGATGAATATAAGGATTTGGATGAAGAAACCTTGAACCACTTCGATCGTTCGTGTGCAGTGCAGTGTGCATATAGGGATGAAAAGGAGAAATTTAAGTGATTTGAAAATGCATATGTATTCCTGCAGTAAAAGTTAAGTTTTTCTGTTACAATTTTATTGTTGTTTAATTTAATTTTAAAACTGTTCACTCACTTTGTAAACTATATTAAAATGTGAAAGTCCAACAAAAAGAAAATTAACTTAGAATAAAATATTAATAATGAGAGGTTAAAAAATATTTAATGCATTAAGTGTTGGGGAAAGTGTTTTGTTGCAGTTTTTCAAGTTTTGTTTATTATTTTGTCTTTATATTCTCATTGATTAGAATCTATTATATAGTTCCAAGTCCTTATTCCTTATTTGTATATTTAGTCAAATCAATTAAGTCTTCAGTTCAAAACCATGTGATCCTTTTAATTTTTTTCAGCTTAAAATATTTTGTTGATTTTAATAAATATACAATATTTGTTGTCAATTCTATATTTTCTATAATTTTGTGTACGCTCGGTCAGGTATTTTTGAAGTTTTCAGCAATGCTCCTTTAGGCTTCATTCAGAGTAGTATTTTGTGCAAATAACTATATGCCTTCTACGCGCCAAAACGAGGCAAAATAAGTAATTATGATGATTGTTCATCGTTCTTTCAACGGATTGGTTGCACGGCACGCCCACTTTTGAGCTCATCCGCTCCGTCCCCATCCGCCCATCCCCCATGTCCGTCCATTGATTATTTTGAAAACAAGTCGAATCAAGGAGAGTTGTAAGGTGTTTTGTCACCTATTCATGACGGCTTATCATATCAAAAGATAAAAGTAATTGCAGACCGCAAAGCTATTTCACATATTAATGATCAATTTGCTAATCTTCCACGAAAAATGAGGCGTCTCCTCTGCTAAAAACATGTATTATCAGACAAAATAAAACGCCGCCTGGTTTGGTATGTATTATTTTTGCATTTATTTCTTGGCAAAAATAATAGAAATAAATAATTTCATCAGAATTAACGAATAGAACATGGAGTTGGATGAGATAAGTACAATGATGTCATTCACAACGGTGGAGCCGGAGGTCAGCACCAACTCCTCGTACGGAGAAGACTCAAATATTCTGCAAAAATTCGATAACATAGAATGGGACTCGACTATGTTCCTGTTCTTGACCTCTCTCGTCGTGGGGTCTTTTTGGGTCATCACCAGCACATATTTCATCTCAAGGATAATCGGATACATCCTAACAAAAATTCTGAATCGATTTGTAAAGACCGGCTTCATGCAAGTTGGTATGTATTACTTTTTCCTGCTTAGAAATTTCACGTTTTTGACCTATTACATATTCACACAGGATCTTTTACCTTCAATGCCTTAAGTGGCAAAGTGATGTTTCGAGATTTGGCATACATCACAAACGACTATTCAGTGCGTGTGCAGGATGGATACATCATTTTTAGATGGTGGCGTGCCTACGTTCCCAAAGATGTGACTGAAGGTTCATAATAATTTACTTATTTAAATTAATTATATATTTCTGTATTGTATATTAGATCTGTCACATTCGGACACAAGACTATCTGTGGTGTTGAACGGCTTGGAAATTCATCAGTACAATCGATCCCAGCTTTACTCGAGACTTGAGCAAATATTTGAGATTGATCCTCAGCTGATGAAAGGCTTTGAGGAAAAGAGTGAGCTGGATGCAGTAGCTAAAGAAAAAACAGACACAAGAGCTTCTCGTAAGGCGCCCAAAAGCCCTGGAAAACTCTACACTTGGAGAGATTTAATTCCTGTAGTGAAAGTTGATGTTTTCTCTGTGAGTTTAATCACACCTGAAAATTAACTATTATTAACTAACATGATTTTCATTCAGGGGCGTATGGTGTTCGGAAACCGCTTAGTACCAACAACTTTGTCTGTCAATATAGAGGAAGCTCATTTTGTTTACTCCACTAAGCCAGCTGCCTCCAGGCTTGACCACTTTATGCATTTCATCAAATGCAAAGCGGAAAATTTCAAGGTGAATATAATGTTATTTTGGTACCAACTATTTCTGATAAATGAAATTTTAGGTTATTCTTGTACCAAGTCCAAAGTATACAGGCATGGTAGATGACCCACCACGCTACATGGGCGAGGGATTTGTAATCCTGTCGTCAAACAACGTAGAGCTCTACTATTATATGGATGAACCAGGATTTGTCCCCGAGGAACCTTTGATGCTTCAGCTTGCAAATGGAGATATAGTGGAGTCGGCGCCACCCATTTGGGGCTTAGACATAAAAGTAAAATTTCATTTATCTGCTTTAAAGTATTTTAATTAATATATTTTGGGTTAGTGTGGTAGAGGCACAGACTTCAGTTACGGACCATGGGCGGACAGGCAAAGGGACAATTTGTTCCGATTCTTTTTCCCCAACGAGTACCAGCCCATGAAACCAAGCAAGCCACCATTGCCAGGCGAAAAAAGAGTGGTTCAGTCTTTTGACATCAGGCTGAGCACCTTGCATGAGTCAACCATTGATATTTTGTTCTCGAAAAATAGAGAGACAAATGCTGTTCATATCAATATTGGCCAAGGGTCATACTTGGAAGTGACCATTCCATGGGTTGTCTTGGAGGACGGCTACACCACGAAAGTGACGGGCCAGTTACTCCATCTAGAAGCATCTACTAGTCTACAAGTACTGTTTTTAATCATAGATTTTATTTTTTCGTCTTAACATGCAATTTATTTTTCAGTACCGGAGTCTTGTTGAAAGTGAGACGTTGGAGTTTAAAGTTGTTTGTCATTTCCCCATTCACTGGAATGAGCATCAGGATTGGTCACTTTCCCTGACTGGCTGCAAAGCCACAATCAACTTTATTTACTCGCACATACATTTCTTTAAAGGTCAGGAAATATATATTAATTCTGTGTTATTTTTATATGGTATTTGATTTGCAGATATGGTAAACGACTGGTCAAGCAAAGCGCGTCCGGACATACTCCACTTTGTTCCTTACACTTGGAAGATTCTCTTGATTTTAAAAGACTTTGAATTGATTACTATTAGCAATGAATATAACTGGATAGACTGCTCATCCCAGAATCAAGAAAATGGTATAAGCAAGCTTTAGGATTGTTGAAGAATTTGAAATACTTCTTAAAATTTCAGCTCATGTGGCCTTTTGCGGAGATTTATTCGATATGTCCTTCGAGTTGTCCTTTGTTGACTTCCTTCCTCCCACATTGCCGCTGAAGTTCTGGATTCAGGGTGAATGTGTTGATATGGCGCTGTACCTTCCAGAAGTCCATTCTAGCCGACCTATTATTATGGCCCTTGATAGAAATGCAAAAATCATGGGCAGGGACGACAAGAAAAACGAGAAGATAAAGCGATGGAGAAATACTTGCCAAAGAAGGTTAAAAATCCTTTTGATTTGAATTATTTCAATTAATGCGTATATAAATTTTTAGCAATGGCTGGGTAGACTGCTGGTCAGTTCCAATTGTAGCCATAAGTATAGTGTACATTTATCACCCCATGCCTCCAATGGGGCCGCCACCTCAAGCAAATATAACGACTCCGGAGAAGGAAGAAATCTTATTGTCTCCCATTCGAATTCCTCACTTACAGAAGCAAAAGATCATGCAGCAGTGGCCGATGGTAATATTTTTTTTTTAATGAAAAGAGAATTTCAAGTTCATTAACGCTGAAAACGGTTTAGGAGGACGGACAAAGGTTTGATCCGATGACTTTAGAGCCAGACAAAGTTACTGTCGAAATTGAAATTGGCTCGTCACTATTGCTCCTCTATGGATCTGTACTCAGAAATTTTATCCATCTGAAGGAAAATATTTTTGGAGAGGACCAAACATTCACTGACATGCAAAAATCTAAAGCTCCATCAGCATCCTCAATGGCAAGTCGAGTTATTTATTTATTTTTTTTTCAATACTCAAAACTTTTAAATACAAAGGTTGGTGCGGATGATGATAACGAAAAGCTTTTTGATCCAAGAGTTTATCGACCGCTGGACGTCACAGTCTCACTCACTCTCCACGACATTCAGGCACATCTAGTCAAGGTTAACTAAATTACATTGATCATCAAACGTGCAAAGTTTCATAATATGACTTAATTTAGAATTGTGGAGAAAAGGATCCACCTTGTCCAGTAGCTTTGATCGAAAGAATTGGCTTTGAAATGAAAAAAGGGTATCAGGAGACAACCCTGCAACTCCTGGTCTCTCCTGCCTTTCTCCTGTCGTCAGATTTGGTGCCGAGAAATGTCAAGGATGTTCACCTTGGACAGGGGCACCTCATGCTCTCTGGTATGTATTCCCTATCCTGCCTTAGCGCTTCTACATTCAAGAATAATTTCAAGGGTTGCAAGTAAGAGGACATGCAATGTTCAGCGACGAAGGAAGGTCATTAGATCACGAAACCTTGGAATATGCGTGGATGATAGAAGTGCAGCTTGGTAGACTGACTGGAAAACTCACAGCTCCACAAGTGAACTAAAATTTGCTATATTGTATTTTGGAAAATAATGGAAATTTTCCCTTAGTTATACCACCTTGTTACGAGTTTGGAAACTTTTCTTCTGCTGGCTCTGGATAGCGAAAATTGTCTACGACCACCTCGGTATGGATTTAAAATAAATCGTGTAAAAAAGGAATTCCCAATTTTTTGCTCAGGTTGCCAAGACTGTGCCACCATGGCATGCATCCTCAGCAGTGCCCCCAGTCTGCGGATATTGCAACAAACAATCAAACTCCTAGCCAACTCTCACAGTGCCCAACAAGTGACGATATTAAATACCGCATGACTCGTCTGGCTATGGATGCACTTGATATCTTCTTCCTTGAGGCTTCGACAGCTATCCATCTATTGGTATATATAATATATATATTTTTTTTTTCAAACTTAAATTTTAATTTTAATATTTAACTAACCAGGCAACTCCCATTCGATTATCTACTTGCAACTTGCATGGAAGTCAAGTTAAGTCAGGAGTAACTGCGCTCCTGCCAGTGGTGCAGATAAGGCAGTTTATTTGCATGCAAGGTAACTATGGAACAGGAACCAACAGATCTCAGGGCAGTGGCGTCGGAGGGAGCAAAGAGAGTAGTGATGCTTGGTTAGAGGTAGGCTCTATCTCACTTGGGCCTCTTGTTATCGAAGCAGCAATGTCTCTGTCATCTCCAGAGCAGAGCTTACACCTCGTCCAGCACAAGTAAATATATTTTACCTCTACTTCAAGTAAATTTAAATCTGATTATTTATTTAGATATCTTCGAACCCACGACGAACGAACAAGAAAACTTTGGTTTTTGTGGTTAAACGAACATACAGAAAGTAGCGCAAGCAGACCTGTTGGAAAGTGTGGTTGCATTGGTGGCTGCATTTTCTTTGGTCAAAATGTCAACGGGCCTGGTTTCTTTAAGCCGAATCGAAACGACTTGAAGGACGGGATAAATGTTGCGGCGTACAGGTAATTATATAATTTCATTTTGATACAAGAATTTATTAAAACAAAATTTTAGAGTGAATCCAATTGGTGCAGATGCAGGATTTGGACAAAGTATCTTGCATGAGCAACAACTTGTTTTCCATACCCCACCATACACATCTTATGACATCGTGTCATTGCAAGAACCCTCGAGCTGGGATACGAATATGACTAGAAACTTCGAACAAGGCCTGAAAGTGCCTTCTAGGTAGTAAATTTAATTATATACTTGTAATAAAGTCTTAAAATAACAAGTTTTAGAAGCAAGCCTGCCTATGAACGTTCAAGCTCTATATCCGAGTCGAAGCCCTCTCCGGCCAATGTAAGCATTGACAGCAACCAGTCCGGAAGATCTCTTGGCAGACGCTTTTCTTATACACCTACTGGAGTAAAAACAATCAAGGACGTACCGTACACAAGACTTTTAGACAGCCCAAACATGCTGCCCAAACTAGACAGTGACTCAAAACTGCACAACACTAAGGCGGCACTGAACGTCCCAGAAACTCCTAAGGCTAGCAGTTCAGACTCAAAATTGGCTGTTGAATATTTTGTTCCTGCTGTTCCACCTTCTGAATCAAAGCACTCGCTGCTATCAAATGAGGCCGAAATGGCTGATGCTCTGGAATTTCAAAGGACTGTATCCATCAGTAGTGGGCAGTCTGAAGCATTTTACTCTGCAGATGAAGATTCATTAACAATTGGAGGTAGAATTTTTATGTAGTTTTAATTGTATAAATTTACACCTAATTTCAAGGGAGTGTTGTCGATGGAAAAAAATTCACAAGTGAAACTCAAATTGCCGAGACCGCTGCAAAACCTATTGCTCGGCTGACAAGCTACAGTAGTGAGCAAGATATCACTAGTCAAGAGGCTAAGCCTGGGGAACCAATGCGATCCAGACTCTCGCCACTGTCAGCCTCTGTGCCACACGATATTGTCAGCTCTGTCAGGTAAAATTTAAAAATCAATATGCAAGGAGTTGCATGTCTAAAAATTTATTTAGATATGAAGAGGCAATCAATGATCCTTTCAAGTTTCCGGAATTACGAGAAAGACTGGCAAACAAAGAGTCAGTATTCATAAGAACAAGTCTGAATGCTCTTCAAAAGTCTGGCCCACGAAAACTTCAAGACGTAACCGAAGTAGGGGTAAGATATTGTAAGAGGAAGCAAAATTGAAATTAAATTAAGAAATGTGCAGGACTCGTCTGATTCCCAATCGATTCATTCAAACCAGTCGTTTATCTCCGCCATGTCATCACAAGAAGATTTAACCATGGTCAATCTGCACATGCAAGTTAATAAACCAATCATTGAATCACCTCTGCTCATGTCCAGTTACATCAATCACCTTTCTCAGGTTAGAAGAATTCAAAATTAAAATGTTTTTGCTTGCTAATATATTCAAACAGGTGAGGTGTCACCGTTGGAAGCAGTCATCCTTGCCTCTGGGGTGCGATGCATACACAACCCCTTTATTTGAACGCACAGATGACGGAAAGCTGACTTACATTGGTGGGAGATATGTGCCAAAATTTGAGATGATCACTGAAGGCTTCACTACGTTAAAAATGCTCAGTCGGGCACACGAACATGCACTTTCAACACCCCCTCCATCTTCATCAAAGGTACTTTTTTAATGCTTTTACCTGCAAAATTTTATCTTGCCATTTCTCAGACTCCAACTCATCCGTACCTGTGGGACAACGCCTCATTCTTGCAATCAGCTGACACCTCTGGGGAAATTGAAGAGGAGCTCTTGAGCTTCCACAATGATCATGGCACAAGGACCAGCATCATAGTCAAGTCAAGGGGTGACATTGACATCATGATCAGTCCCCTAGTGTTAGAATCATTGCAAAGGTGAGCTTGCTTACAATTTTTTTTTTTTAACTTTGAGATAAATAAATGTAAATTTTTAGATTTATTGATTCGATCACTCCAACTTTTGCTGCTCTGCATCCTCTGACAGTTTTGAATGATTTGCACTGGAATTGCATTAGTAGAGTCGAGGCAGCAAACATATTGAAAAAAGAGCAGTCGAGCTACCTATCACAGGTTACTACTCAAAAATATAATTATTAAAAATGATATCTTTTGCTAAACATTTAATTTTAGCTGCAAACTAGTAAAAGAGGAACTGCTGAAAGAAATGCTGTTGGCATGCCAGGACCTCATGTAGCATTGCAATCAAACGTTTACGAGGAAAGCATTCACACTCAAACACAGGGAACAATTATCTTACCAAAGGTACTTGGTTAAAAAAATATTGATATTTTTACTGAAATTAATTTTTTTTGCCAATAGGTAAATGTCACACTACTTCAAGCGTCGATTGTAGAAGAAATTATTTCATTCTCCGCTTTGGACAACATCAGAGACCTGACCTGCGTTTCATTGTTTGCTGTGTGCCTTGAGTCGGTTTCTGCTCAATTCTACTCCGGGCGTCAAGCAAAAGAAGTGGTACAGACTTTTCATAGACCGGTTGTTGCTCCTAGTGGAGGAAAGAAGATCTCCAAGTTATACAAGGTGTGGCGCGGAGGAACGTCTCCAACTGACCCCTCTCAAGGAGAACTGGTGCACATCGAAACTTCTGAAAAGCAACAAGAAGAACTTATTGTAAATGTCAGCGTGGGCAAGACTCACACGCAACTGAGAAGACTCAAAAATGAATGTTCAATTTTAAAGGATGCCAATATTACTGCCATTTCTCAGCACCAATCTAAAGTCATGTTCAATTGTGTCCGCCTCTCGCCCTCTTTGAAAACGGACCATTCAAGCGCAGTAAAGAAGAAACCAGAGGTTGAGGATTCAACAGACAGCGAAGATAAACTTGGCTTCATTATGTTCGAATGTGGATTTGAAGGTGTTTCACTGAAAATTGTGAAGAAGTCTCATTTTGAAAGAAGTGAGAATTCTGAAAAAGAGGAGAATATGCCTGCCAGCGATCCAAACTACAACGAAAGTGTAAAATCAAAGGACGACTTTGACGAAAAGGCTCAGAATGCTGAGGAAGATGCCAAAGATAATGACCAGGAAGACTCTGCTCAAACCAAACCAGGGCCAACGTCTGACAAGACTGAAGAGAATAAACTAGAAGTTTGCAACAAAGACCTGGCTAACACCTCATCTTGCGTTTTAGAACTGAAAACTGTCTGGTTCAACTTTGCTGCTCCTCCTCGAGCTCCGATCACCAGGAAAATTGATTACACCCGGCTGGATTGGAATCTTCTGTCCACTGCCTCTCCTGGAATTGATGCCTGGATGAATCCATCAAACAGGTTTGCCATCAAGGCCGTTTGCATGCTACGCACCATGTACCGAAGATCAACAGGCATAGTTGCCTCGCTAATGGCTGAAGCACTTGAAATCCAGAGCATCCACATGCCGATCAAGAGCAGGTACAGTCGAGTAACCCCAATGGCCAAAACTCTGCAAGAAGATCCTTCCTGTCAGTTGTGTAACGTTCTACTAAAGTACGTGCTGCAGACAGAAATGATCATCATTGAGAATAACCTTCGAGAAAGCGACCTGCCTTTGCTTTCGACCCTTCGGCAGGGCGTGATCGTCCTCAGCCGACAGTGGAAGAACGTCCTATACACGCCTTTGCTGCTTGAGCACAACTACAAAATGCGGAATGTGAAACCATTGAATGTGACTTTCGCTGTCCAGGACACTGATGAAGAGAACATTTTGACCGACGAGAACTCCGGTGAGGATGGTGAGGTCACAGATGAATGTACTTTGCTGTTGAAAAGCCCAGAAAAAGTTTCAAAGTCGGACACTGAGCAACCTGACACAGAGAACATCTTCCACTCGCCTGCTTCACCACCACCAAAGAAGAATCTTCCGCCTTCGCAGCCTCCGTGTTCATCACGAGCTAGTATCGTCTTTCCTATTAACAGCGCCTTCACCAGCAAAAGGTATAAAAAATTTTTCTGCATGCCTGGTCCCAAGTTAGTATTTAAAATAAAAAATACAAAAGTTCTCATCCTTCTCCTCTATGAATAGGTTTGAAAATTCAGCAGCTCTATTCCAAAAAGGTTCAGATCAAACACTTTGCTCTGAAAAAGATGGTCTTCAAGCGAATAGTTCCTCAAACAACAGCTTGGATGGAACTGTTACTTTGACAAGCCCAAAAAGTCTGCTTCAAAGTGAAAATGACGACCTTTACTCATGGATGGCCAAGCAACAAGACTACACAAAGGCTGCTGAGCAGAGAAACCGAATAAGAAGAAATTTAGTAAGATATTTAGTGGATCCGAAAGTACTCTGGTATTAGTTATTATTATTTTTCTTTAGGAGTCAAAAGTCACCACACTCTCAACGGAAGACACTGTTCACACAATTGAGACTGGCCATGCAAATCCTGCATATAATCTGTATCCAATGAGCAATTCTCTTCACCTTTTGGATGCTCATTTGATTTTTGAACCACTCTTGTCCTGCCTAGGAGTAATGCCAGAACAAATATCAGGTCAGAGTTTGAATGTTAATAAATTATCAAAGCCTTATTTTATCCATATTTTAGGAACAAATTACGAGAAATTGGGGACAAACATTTCTCTTGTAGGTGCCATGGACATGATGCGAATTGACATTGTTGTCAGCGAGTATGGCAAAACTGATAAGAAGAAGAAGGGTAAAACAAGCGCCAAATCGTCTAGCAAGTTCCATCTGGACATTCCTCCTGAGACACCTGCATTCTTGTGTGAAAAAATTGGTATTGAGGTGGACGTTAAGAAAATGGCAGACATGACGGTGGATGACATGATTCACAAGCAGAATGTTTTGTACATTTCTAGAGGACAATTAAAGAAACACACAAGCACTGTGGTAAACTTCAGTCTCACAATCAGATACATCTCACAACAAGTTAACATGCCTCTTCTGCGGCTGCTGCATCAAATCTCCAACATGTACCAAAACTTCAAAGAAACTCAAATGGAGCTCAAGGAACAGCAACCTGAGTTATCCAAGGACAAAAAGAATGGATCCAGTTCTGCATCAGAACAGCAAGAAACAAATCTGGACCACGTCAAGTCAAAATCTAGGCAGAGTTTGCTACAGCGAACCTTGAGCCGTACTTCTCTGAGATCTCGAAAAGGTTCTATTGAAGGCGGCAGAGACAAAAGCATGCCTCGTTCGCAGAGCAGAGGAATCTCTCCATCTGCTTCCATGAGAAACAGGCCACAAAGTTTTGCTCAAAAACTAAGATCCACTGGTAAAAGCGTCAGAGGCTACATGAATTTGAGTGAAGGAATCTCGCCCCTATTTGGGAATAGTCCTTCTGGATCTGGAGTTGAGCATGGGACAATTTCGTCTGACAAGAGCAAGGATTTGAGTGTTCCGCAGTGCTGGAAAATAGTCTATGGCTTGTTAGACTTGTACGCCACTATGCCAGAAACCAAAACCATCACTCACCGATTCTCGATGGCACCTGAAACTTCAGCATTTTATAAAGCTAGTGCTCGGTATATTATAAAAATGAAATGGCTAATATTTTTCATACAAATTTCTTCTTTCGTATTTGCAGAAAATATGAGGTTATCCCTGAGTCAAAAGAGGATGTTGAAAAAGGTATTAACGACTCCACCGCCAGTGCAGCGCCGACAACTCCTAAAATTCCAGATGTCAAACACAAGGAACTAAGTAGGATATTGTCATGTTATTAAGAGTTTTTATAGTACTTTCGTTTTCACAGATGTGCTCACTGGTGAACGAACACGTCTTGTCGTATTCGGAGTTGCTCGCATCCACCGCACAAGACTTCTTGCCACATTGAGTGGTCTAAAACTTGAAGCGGAAATTACAAGTCTCCACTCCAGTCTCACATGCAGAAAGAAGAGTCGACCTGCAAGCCTCGAGTGCTCTATTGCTGGCCAAGTTGGCCGCACGATGATTGTTCTTCTCGAAGGCGTTGCTCCAAATCAACAGTAATAATTGAATGACAAAAGTTTGAAATTCAAATTTATGAAATTTGTTTCTTTAGGACTGTTGTCAAAGTGACAGTTGGGAAGTCACAGACCTTGTATTCGAGCATCTCCAAGCGCCTTAGGGATAAAAACTCTGGTCTGCTGACAGTGGGTGCCATAAACGTTGATATCCCACAGCATCCAGTGGCTCTTCATGGAATGATGACCAGAGGAAGCAAGCAATTGTCATCAACACTTCAAGTATTGAAAAAATTTAAATGATCAATTTTTTTTATTCATAGTATTTATTTTTAGGAATTACGTGTCTCTAGAATGAGCAGATTGAACAGAGGATTGACTGTTGATGAGATCGACTTTGTTCCTCCTCTGTTTACTCGTGTCAGCCGAGAAAATTTAGCTCCATTCAAGAAAGCAGAGTCTACAATTATACAGCCACTGGTCATTCAATTTACTGTTGTCCTGCAAAGTCTGAGCATAACAGCTGCTCTACTTCCATCACTGCAGGCCCAATACAAGATGGACCAAGTGCAGAGTACTGGTGTCACCGGCTCAAAAGCCAAATTCACCATAGACCTTCCAAAGCACTCGCTAAGCTTCACGACAAAATTGCAAACTGCAGAGGCCAACTTGCCGACAGCTGCTTGCATTGAGCTGCCAAAAGTCCACGTCTCAGCTGAATACATTTTAGAAGGCAGCAGCACTGACAAATCTTACTTTGCTGATGGGGTTGTTCTGCACAAAGGGGGCTACTTGAATGCCAGCGCGGACATTGGAGTCTTCGAGCACTCCCTCACAACAGACTTACTGAACCATCTTGTCTTTGTCCAAAAAGTAAGTTCATTTACATTTCTTCCTTGCCGCTTCGCCATCTCTAATTCTTGCTCCAGTCCCTTAATTTGAAAATTTCTTCTTTTTTTGTTCGCCTCCTCTAATTCTTCCTCCAGTCCCTTTATTTGATAATTTCTTCTTTTTTTGTTCGCCTCCTCTAATTCTTCCTCCAGTCCCTTTATTTGAAAATTTCTTCTTTTTTTCTTCGCTACCTCTAATTTTTGCACCAGTCCCGTAATTTGAAAATTTCTTTTTTTCTTCGCCACCTCTAAATCTTGCTCCAGCCCCTTAATTTAAAAATTTATTTCTTTTTGCTTCGCCGCCTCTAATTTTTGCACCAGTCCCTAAATTCGAAAATTTCTTCTTTTTTTCTTCGCCTCCTCTAATTTATCCTCCAGTCCCGTAATTTGAAAATTTATTCTTTTTTTCTTCGCCTCCTCTAATTCTGCCTCCAGTCCCGTAATTTGAAAATTTCTCCTTTTTTTCTTCGCCTCCTCTAATTCTTCCTCCAGTCCCTTAATTTGAAAATTACTGCTTTTTTTCTTCGCTACCTCTAATTTTTGCACCAGTCCCGTAATTTGAAAATTTCTTCTTTTTTTATTCGCCACCTCTAAATCTAGCTCCAGCCCCTTAATTTAAAAATTTATTTCTTTTTGCTTCGCCACCTCTAATTTTTGCACCAGTCCCTAAATTCGAAAATTTCTTCTTTTTTTCTTCGCCTCCTCTAATTTATCCTCCAGTCCCTTAAATTGAAAATTTCTTCTTTTTTTCTTCGCTACCTCTAATTTTTGCACCAGTCCCGTAATTTGAAAATTTATTCTTTTTTTCTTCGCCTCCTCTAATTCTGCCTCCAGTCCCTTAATTTGAAAATTTCTTCTTTTTTTCTTCGCCTCCTCTAATTCTTCCTCCAGTCCCTTAATTTGAAAATTTCTGCTTTTTTTCTTCGCCACCTCTAAATCTTGCTCCAGTCCCTTAATTTGAAAATTTCTTCTTTTTCTCTTCGCCACCTCTAATTTTTGTACCAGTCCCGTAATTTGAAAATTTCTTCTTTTTTTGTTCGCCTCCTCTAATTCTTCCTACAGTCCCTTAATTTGAAAATTTCTGCTTTTTTTCTTCGCCACCTCTAAATCTTGCTCCAGTCCCTTAATTTGAAAATTTCTTCTTTTTCTCTTCGCCACCTCTAATTTTTGTACCAGTCCCGTAATTTGAAAATTTCTTCTTTTTTTGTTCGCCTCCTCTAATTCTTCTTACAGTCCCATAATTTTAAAATTTCTTCTTTTTTTCTTCGCCACCTCTAAATCTTGCTCCAGTCCCTTAATTTGAAAATTTCTTTTTTTCTTCGCCTCCTCTAATTCCTCCTCCAGTCCCTTAATTTGAAAATTTCTTCTTTTTTTCTTCGCTACCTCTAATTTTTGCACCAGTCCCGTAATTTGATAAAATTTATTCTTTTTTTCTTCGCCACCTCTAAATCTGGCTCCAGTCCCTTAGTTTGAAAATTTCTTCTTTTTTTCTTCGCCTCCTCTAATTTTTCCTCCAGTCCCTTAATTTGAAAATTTCTTCTTTTTTTCTTCGCCTCCTCTAAATCTTGCTCCAGTCCCTGAATTTAAAAATTTATTTCTTTTCGCTTCGCCACCTCTAATTTTTGCACCAGTCCCTAAATTTGCCACTAAATTCCATTGGAGCAAAGAATATAATTTGAAACTCTTACTAATCAATTTTGAAATTTGTTTGTTTTAGGTTTTCATGAAAGAAGTCAATGAGGTTCTTCAGAAGGTTTACGGTGGCGAAAAACTTGCTCCTCTTTGGCTTGACGACAATGAAGAAACTCAGCCAAGCAACCTAAAGCGCCTCCTATTCTCCCTCATTGTCCGTTTGAAGAGAATCCAGCTGACTGCAACTACACCAACAAACTCGGCTGTAAGACTAGAGACGGGAGCTGTCGAGTTTCAACTTTCCAACAGAGTTTTAAATGTTTCTACCAGTAAAGAGGCAAGTCCGAGCACCAAGCTCTTTTTCAAAGCACAAGTGGACATCAATCTTTCTCTGGGGCAGTTGCTCAAAAACATAGTTTTCGAAGAAGCTGAGCCAGAATTTCAGCAGTTTGCCTTCTTCAAAACAAAAATCTTCCTCAGAAACGCTTTCCAGGACGAGACTGGGCAAGGTGAAATGGTTGACAAAGAGGTTGTGCTCATCAAACTGCAGCGCCCCTTGATCTACATCCAGCCAATGGCCGTCGACAAAGCAATTTTGGTCTGGCTGAATTACAAAAACGCTTATGAATATTGGGACGAGCAAAGGAGCAATCTGCAGAAAGAAGTGCTCACGGCAACACAGCAGGTCTTTGAAAAAGTGCCGTTCTCGCAGATCAGCTCGCCCAATCTTGGCACTTTGTTCCTTCAGCTGACGGTTCATGATATGGGAATCTGCTTGCCACTAAATCCGCTGCCTCCTGTCTACAGCACCACAAGGACATATGACGAGAGTAGAGGTGCCGTCGTTGTTACGTTGGACTCGACTAGTATTAGCGCCTGCAGCTCAGGCTCTTTGGTCAGCAAAGGAAAGTTTGTTGGTCTTTGCCTGCGATTTGCTGAAGATTTTGAGACCAGTTTGGATGAGTGGAGGCCTGACATGAGCGACGGCTCCATCATGAATTTGTGTGTTGTTTCGGAGGGAACTTACGAGGTTTGCAGTAGAACGATTGCACAGAAAACAGGATCAGGTATTATTTTTTATGTTCTATATTGAAGACAGTTGATTAATAATGTGTTGTTTTAGTCCATGATAACGCCAAGTGGTTTTTGAATGTCCAGTGGCAAATGGAAGGTGTTGATATCCACTTGGACGTAAATGTTGGAAAGCAGCTCTCCGCACTTGGTCACACTTTGACTACATTGACTGGATATGAAGATGATGAGACAGTCAACTTGGACTCTGACAGTGATGAAGGAGTAAGTTTATTTTTTATCAATACAAAATACTAAAATTTTTGCGTCAATCAGGACCAAGTTGACGGGAGCAAAGCCTCACAAGAGAGTATGTATGGTCGGAGAATGACGGACAATTTACCGAGCTTCTTCTTTGATCCTAACATAGATGTTAAGACTCGCTCAAAATTAATTGAAAGAGAAATGAGTGAACAGGTATTTTGGAAAATTAAATTTTATGTTCTCTATTTGATAAATTTTATCTTATAGACCAAAATTATTAATGATCTGCGCACCTTGGGCGCCTCTCAAGCCACAGTCGAACAAGAATTACGGAAGCTGCAAGAGCTAGAAGCAGCTGCTTACAAAGACTTCAGACTGAACATGATGCAAAAGTTGCGCAGGCAGAGTGTGAAGGCTTCATCCATTAAGGGCAAATTTGGTCTCGGCTCCAAGAGCAGCGCTTTAAAAACAAGATCTCTAATCATCCCTTCCCCTATGCTTGAAAGCCAGACAGAAACTCCAAGTGATGATTTAGGAAGTAAGTTAAAATATTACGATCTGATGAAAATAAAAACTTAATTTTATTTTAGCCAACGCCAGCTTTGAGAGCAGCCCACAGTCGGGACCATCTCGATCAGCCTCCATTAAAACCAAAGAAGGGGTTGGACCGAGGGTCACATTCTCTCCTGACACGCACAACATTTATGGCTCAAGGCAGAGTTCCTTGCCAAGTATGGAGTCTGACTTGAGCCTGCCGGAATATGACATTGATCCAGATGTTGAGTTACGGAGAAAACCATCGCCATCAAAGTTTGACCTTCGTGATGGGTAAAATATTGTATTTTAAAGATCAATGAAATAGTAAATAAACTTTGTACAGTCCATATTATTTGGAGCCTGGCACCAGTAAAGATGGTGGTTTAAGTCCAATGTCAGGGCACTCTGGATTCCAAAAACCTCAGGAGCCAAACATCGACTTTGAACTGGATGTCAAGGTTCTCATTAAGAGTGGAAAATGTGTCTTGCACACCAAAGACCCATCAAGAGAGGATGAAATAAAGGTGAATTGTAGAATTATGCTATTTTCACAGCTGAATACCTAACTTTATTTGACACCAAAGCTTACCAAAATGAAAAAGGAAAGAAGCTCATCTGGTGCCACTCTTGAATACCCTGCAAGTCCAAATACAAGTCGAAAGAACAAGGAGCTCAAACACAATCAAAGCAGCAGCAGACTTAAATTCCTCACTAGCAATGTCACTTCTCTGGTTGATCTCACAATATTCCACGTCCCAGGCCTAGATGTTAAGGTATTTTTTTTTTTAACTGTTGTATGATTAGTTGTATTGAATTAATTTTATGACCAGGTACATTATGAATCAAGAAACATGAATGAAGACATTCCATACCTTCAAAGGGAGAGCATTCAGTTTAGAAAACCAAGCGTGAAAAAGGCTAGTCTCTTTGCGTGGATGACACTTCAAAGCATCCCAGAAGAAACAATAATCTCACCTCACATTCTTGAGTTTTTGGAACAAACCTTGGAACCAATTCCTTCTGCTATTCCGCAGCCAAAGACGAACACAAGCAACACGATGTTTGCAATGGATCTCGACACAAACATGACGAGCACTGTTACAAATTATGCCTACACCTCATTCCCAGTAGATGTGATTGTGTACTTCCACATGCAGCCCTCTTCGTTCAGATTCTCTTGTTTGCCTGTGTCCAGAGTAGAGTGCATGCTGAAATTGCCATCTCTGGATATTGTTTTCTCGTCAAAAAGAGCTGAGGTAATTAAACATTAAAATTATGCTATTTGATTTAATTCAAGTTAATGTTTAAAGTAATGACTCAATTTATTATTAATTTGCTATTTTTAACTTATACTCAGATTAAAATTAATGCTCCGCAATGGATCCCAATTTTTGGGAAAGAATTTGTAAATATCTTATTATTTAAATATTTTTCAATTGCTATTAAGGGAGAACATGCTGAGTTTGTGGATGAGATTTCAAGACCAGCACCTGCGCCTGGCAGCGTTTCAGGTTACAGAGGATCCCTTACAGAGGCAATGAAATTTGACAGCTCAGCTGCAACAGCGGCTGTTGGAGGCTTGAGCGTCACAGGCTGTCTTGCTGATTTCTCTGTTTACATCTTCCATCCTTATGGAGGAAAGAAGACAGGTAAATACTTTGATTTTTAATTTAATTTTGAAGTCATTGTTTTTGTGCCGTTAGGTTTAAAAGAGGCGCAGTGGTCGCCACTTGCTGATAGTGAGAGGAAAGACTCGTTAAGTATCAACGTTGAATTTGTCAAATTCCATCTCTCCCGCAGCCGGAAGCTGAACTTCAGCGCACCCATGCCTGATCCAGGCATAAAAGCCACACTTGGCTCTACCAAACTTGGAGACCATAGCCAGGCAGTCATACGATTCTCAAGTAAAAGATTGATTAACTTAAAGCTGTCTTAATAAATACGCTATCTTTTAATAACAGCCATCGTCGACATTGGTTCTGCCTCGTTCAAATACGACATGCGACGCCTGACAGAAATTCTTGCATTTCCAAAAGCGTGGTACCGGCGATCAATAGTTCGGCGCCTTTTCCTTGGAGATTTGAGTATGAGCGCCATGTACAATGAAGGAGATGACAGCCCCCCTTCAAGTTTTGATGAAGAAGCTCCATCTGGACTGAAAACGACTCCTAATTTTGAAGCTGGGTTAGTATTTTTTTCTTCTTTAACTTACAATTAGATTTTTTGTAATAATTGAAAAACTTTTTGATCATAGGGCTTCACGATCAGCCCCTGTTGAACAAAGCCCTCTGCTAATGAGAGAAAAACTTCGTCTGAGCTTGGAATCTGAAATCCCCAAGAACTTCCGGTTGCATGCTGCAGGAGAACAACCAACTCCGAGCTCATCTTCAACCAGTCCATCCGATTTGAAGGGAGGATCGGCGTGGGAGACGCTAGTCTTGTTTGCAGTCAATTTTACCAAACTGAATGTGCACATGAACATGGGCAATGTTATGGGAAATGTCACGTGAGTGTATTAACATATGATTTTGTCTATTCTAAAATTAATTTTCCTCTAGTTGGCAGACAAAGGACTTCAAATCTGAAGGCCGTTTGTCCATCGGAAGTAATGGGCATAAAAATATGTACATAGGTGTTGGTCTCGGAGGGTCGAGTCTTGATGCAAAGGGAGGCATTGTTGGCGGCACCATCGAGCTCAGCAAAATCGATACATTTAGTAATATTTTATTTTTAAAAAGCGCTTTAATTCTATTTTCACTTTCTATTCAGTGCACATACGAGAGGACCCCGGTATTGAGCCAGACCATAAATTCGGATTGAAACTTTTTGCCCTTGAACTGCGACTTGATTACATGGGCACAGGGGTCTTGATGTCTCGAGTCAGCAGTTTGGATGTGTCTCTAAGAGCTGAATGGAAAATTCACCATCAATTGGCGTCTTCTTCTCAAGACGTCCCAACTAGAAGGTTGGATATAAATTTTTATCAAAAGTGATCGGAATATAAGTATTCAAATCTAGGCCGGCAACAATTTTCATGCACGGTGACTTGGGCTGGGACCAACTACAGCTCATGATTTCAAGATCAACCACTGCCGACTTGCTCAAGATGTTCTACAAATTGGAAGAGTTTTTCTCACAGCAGTTTAAGAGCAGCAAACGAGTATTTTCCAGTTTACAGCCAACCACCAAGAAACCAAGTTTGAGGAAGAAATCTCAAATCAAGAAAAAATCCACTGGCTCAAGTAGTTTTGTTTAAATAATTTAGCACATTTCCCAATCAAATATATTTGTTAAGGCGGAGACCCAGGCATTACGTTGGATGCTCGCCACCACAGGCATTGGCACCGACCACTCTCTGCAATCGCAGGTCTCCGCTTGAACACCCTGCCTAACCCACTTCCTGTGTCTGGATCGGTTTTGGGTGGCACAATGGAGCTGCATGGCAACAACATCTCACTTGCCTGCTTCCACGGCATCAACTTTAAATCAAAATCGTGGGCATTGTTCAGCCTGCGAGAGCCGTGCATTTCGTTTGCCACAGAAGCGCAGGAAGTTCCTCCAGCAAATGGTATTTCACCCTGCATAGGTTTTGAACTAGACACTAATTTAAAAAATAACAATTTCCAGTTTGTGAGGCGATGGACGTCCACGTTGTTCAGTCTCTGACTTTCAGTCTCGGCATGGTTGGTCTCGCTCCTGCCCATGCTCAGCACCTCAGCATGGCCACAATTTGCAGAATGAGTCGAAATTCCCTGTTCCCTCCGCAGTTCAGAACGTTGCAAGAGTGGTTCAACTTTGCTTTTGCTCAATCTGAGCTTGATGGTGGTTTCCATGTTATTGTTTCTGAAAATTAATTATAATGAAAATTAAAATTAGATGTTGACCGGTTTCCGAGCTTGGAAAGAGAACGAACGGAGAGTTCTGAAAGGAGGTCTACGAAAAGCCAAGAGATAAATCACAACAAGGAAGTTATTTTCTCTCTGCCGTCAATGCAGCTGCATTTAAAAACAGAACACCTACAAACTGCTAGGACACCAGAAGTGCCAGGTAAGATTATCAAGCTTAGGCAAGTAAAAACTCGATGCTAAATAATTCACCCCCGTAACAGGAGGAGATAAACCAGAAGTGATCTGCAGTTTTATAACTGAATTTGAAGACCACATTTTTGTGACTGTGGACGCTGAAGCGTTTTTCTTCCTGCACGATCTCATCACATCTTACCTCAAGGAAAAAGACAGAGTGGTAAATTATTATTTTACCTTTTATACGAGCCAATTTCTGAGATGAAAACAAAAATTATTAGGTTACTTCTACTCAAATAATACAAAGGGCGCACAGTCCTGATGGTGACCGTCGAAGAGCTGACTCTAGTCGAAAGACGTTTGATCCAGCTGAGATGTTCTTGAAGGACTGGAGATCTTTTAACTGCAAAACATGGCATTTGGAGCCCACTGTCAGGTAAATTATTTGATAAATTTAATATTTATGAAATTCAATTGCTCGTGATTTGGATGTGAATTTGATTTACAAATAAATATTCTTTATGCAGACTTTTGTCCTGGGCTGGCAAGAGCATTGAGCCGTACGGCGTCGATTACATCCTACAAAAGCTTGGCTTCACCCACGCCCGAACAACAATCCCCAAGTGGATGCAGCGAGGCTTCCAAGACCCGCTGGATAAAGTGTTGTCGCTGCTCATGCTCCGGATGATTGGTCTCGTCAAGGACGAATCTGTCCCTGCCATCAAAGGGAGAGAGGCAGCCTCAAAAAAGGAGTAAAAAAATAATTTATGAGCTGCGCTTCTGATAATACTACGTCAAGATAATCTTATAATATATCATTGGAAACGCTTATTCCATTTTAATCATGCCATAATTTATTTAACTATTTTAAGTCAATATTGAGAATTTGCATATGAATTGGGTGAATAAATTATAACAAAGAGTTGAATTTACATGTGATTTATTTGCATAAGACAGAATGTGATTGTAATAATTATATAGCTCGTGGTTGAAGTAATAAAAATTTTAATCATACATTGAGGAAAGCCGAAATATTATTTATTTGGTCATTTTTTCCTGGCAGATGAAGGTTTATTAAATATTAAAATATTTACTATCGTGGGCGAGCATCGAGAAACACATTTTTACCCCTTCCACATGGCTAACAAAGCTCCTACTTTGACGAGCGGCTAAATAATAAGGCTCGTTCATATCATGAGAAGGAGAGAATCTCGACTGAGGAATAAAACCAGGTAGGCGAGATGCCAGCAGTTGCCAACGCCGCCTTCCACAGCAGGTTTGCTTGTAGCTCTTGATTGCTGGGTGGGTCGCGCCTGAGAGTCAAATGGTGCTCACCGCTAGTGGGATCAAACACTGGCGTCTGCTGCGTCTGAGTGCGACGATGTTGACCCTGAGAGCCTGGCATTAACTAATTGACGAGATTTTCTTCTGCGGAAATGCGCGGTGCGCAACACGACGACGAAAATATATACGAAATGTGAGTATTTATCATATACGCTGGGAGCCGTCTGAAGGATAATTAAATTATCTATAGATGTAGTTTGTTGTGAGAAAATTTCTATCCGAAAAACCGGAAGTCTCCAAACTCTGAATGTTAGTTCAAGTGTGTCTGCCCGCTGGTTTTGACGTGAGCTCCTGTGTGTCCTTTTACTCCGTCGTTGTGGGTATAAAATTTTACTTTCCAATTTTTTTCTTGTCAAAATGCTGACGAAAAATATATTTTTAAGTGAATCAGAACGGAGCTGGCGGAAAACTAGGTTAATATACTGTCCCTGCTGCGTTCAATTAAAAACACTTCTTTGTGTCCCTCATATATAATCACAGGTCAAAAATGCATGGCATTAAAAAAATTTAGAGAAACACTTTAAAAATAAAAAATTTATTGCCCTCAATTTTTTTGTTTGTTCATGAACGAAATAAAATAATATATCACAAAGCAGTATATCAGGTGCATTCATGCATTGAAAAAAGGGGCCAGTTGGTGAATAGCCAATTCCGGATGCGATCTTTAATTTAATTGTCACATGTCGGCCAAAACAAAACGGCCAACTTTCACCAAGAGCATCGTAGCCCGAGGCCTAAATAGAAATATTCAGAAATAACGCGGCTATTCACTTTTCTTGAGTTCGAAGCGACCACAATAATTACGCAACCATAATTTATAGAGCGACGAAGCCGACGATGGAAAATATCAAGAGTCGAGAGAGTTCAACAGCAATTCATTTGGAGATAGTCTGTTGTGACACCTTCGGAATAGAGAGACATTTAACCGTGTTTTTAAAAGATTAATTTCCAGGCGCCGCCTAAAATAAAAATAATAGCGTCCTTTTGATGAAATTGCTAATTTTTCTGGAATTTTCTCCTCAAAGGCAAGATCACCAGCTCTTTTTTGTAGGTCGAATGCAAGGTGAGGTGTGATTTGCTTTTTAAATAAAAATGATATAGTCATGCATTTTGCTGCAATTTAATATAAAAGACCGGTCACGCTTGGAATACTCCGGCGCATTGAATTTTAAATCAAACATATCAAATACAAGGTGAAATTCTAACACCAAAATGACAAGGATGTACATTCAACAAAGAAAGTGAAAGGAGAAGACAATTACTTAAAGATTTGCTAATAACTGTTACTTTTATAAATATCATAAAAGAGATTTTTCTGAACTTAAAAGGATTGGCAATTTTAATGGCAATGGTTATTTTTAAAAGGATTGAAATATATGTTTAAAAAAAGTTAATAATAATTAGTTAGAAATTGAAGTCATTATTAGAGAGAGATGGTTATAATTGAAATATTTTAGTTGTGCGAAACGCAAAACGCACATCTGTCTGTTGGGGCGAGTCTCAGATTATTCTCAAAACTAAAAAATTTGAACTTTTCTAAGAAGCCTTTATGACTGAAATGTATTTCCGGCAGTAAAATAATTTATTGAGAGTATGACCACTTAAGTACTTTGTGCAGGCCTCCCTTGTGTAAATTTATAGAATGAAAACAATTTTTTTTTAGCTGAACTCAAATTTGACGCGTTGGCGTTGGTTGATGCTAAAATTTATTAAATTTATTCAAAAGTAAATTATATATTATTTTGGATAATCGAAGATGATGAATTTAATAAATTCAACTATAGCAAGAATATTTTTCCTGTATCAGATTTTGTTGAGCATGACCGCCGAGACGTTGCGATTTATTACGAGACACGAGGATATAGCAAATAATCATCTTCGCGTCATCCGTGGCGGCCTTGCCAGCGCCGAACTCAATTCGCACCATTGCACTGGAAATTTTTATTTGCAACCACAGGCAGACCTTCACCTTCCGCCCACCTTTTCGGAACCTGCTCGAAGCGGTGGACAATGAAATTTACCTAATGTGAAACAAAACGTGCAGGTTGTTGACCCTCCGCGGCTTTATAGTTAGGAAGAGCAGATCGGACGACTCCATAACTGTTCGCGCGGCATGCTCTTTTGCACGGGATAAATGGAATGATGGGTGCGATGGCAGCAGCAAACCAGAACGACGGTCGTGTGCACAGCAGCTATTTTTTTGTTAGTCACAATTCATGACTCATTTCATAAATGAGAAAATAAAACACACCAGAGGCCCAGAGGTTCTATGAATCACTGTTGAATTTGAAACAAGTTTCTTTTTAATCTTAATATTATGTTATAATATCAAGTTCGTTTTGCAAGTCTTCTCCAAAAGTAACAAGATCTGGATAATATTATGATATAATTGTAAAAAATTAATAATAATTAATAGAGCACAGCATAAGATTTAATTATAAACCTTTATGATAGGAAATTCATGGATCATTAAAATATATTTTTTGTTTTTACTTCAAAATTTTGAATTGGTGATATTTTACTGTGAAATTTTGAATTAAAGTATTCAGCTTAAAATTAGCTCCAATGGTTTTGTAGTAAAACCATTTAATGCAATAAAATTAAATTATTCAGCAAATGTGCTAGAGTTAAAATTAATTAAGCTTAAATATTTTTAACCGATCCATTAGTGTCAAAGCCCTTTTCTAAAATTTAAAATCATAAATTTTATATAATTATGTTAAGCGTCTTTTAACCCTTCACTTCCATTTTACACATCTTAAACCAGATGGAATGTAGACTGCACATTATATATTTATTGATCCTGCCAATTCTCGTATACCTGTTCAACGAGATCGCGGGGAAGCCCGAGTGTCTCGCATACGAAACAAGCGCCGCGCACAGAGCCTCATAAAACGCCAATGAATAAAACCGGCATTGAAATCTCTAATGGAAACAAACAAAACAAAAATAGCCGGATTGACTGAGTTGTTTTCACGTCTGCTTTAGCTTTGCATTAAACTTTTAGCGTGCAAGAGAAATCGGCTGGCGTGCAAATTGGCAGCATGGGGCATTGCAAAGGTCGCGTGGGGAATTTTGAGAAAATAAGCGCTCGCATCGCAGTACGTGCGCCACTTTTCGTGTAGCTCAAACGCCTCCGGTCAAAGAAAACAACATCTTGAAATAGCCAACAACTTTTGCACGCGAATTTTTTTTTTTTAAATTGACAATATAAAACAGGTTCAAAACCGCTTCTTATTGTTGAAGATGCAACCTTGAGACGCGAAATACACTTTCGGCTCCAGCGCAGAAAAAGAATCTTGGCAATCGTGAATAATAAATTTTCTTTTCAAATTTCAGGGTGGAGGCCAAAGCGGGAAAGCCGTGCCTGCGGCACGAGGACATTGAGTCGGCGCAAACAACCATCGGCTCGGCGCATTCGTCGGCAAAATACAACACGGCGCCAGCAAGTTACTTCAACAAAATCAAGATGAGCTTCCGAGAAAAGATGCATGGAATACGAGTTGATAGTCAATATGACGTGGTGCAAAAGCTCAAGTAATGCTATATAATATGTATTAATTTGGTTAAAGTAAAAAATATAAATAAATTATAAATTAATAAGCAAAATTGGGTAGCAAACGACCATTGAAAATTAGAAAACAAGTTGATTAAAACAATAAATTATTTTTAAATACTTTTCAGCTAATTTTTTCAAGGGAAAAGGATGAATTCATTTATTTTTTTTAATTACAATGTTTCACTATTTTTTTCAATCAAGTGGTCCTTCAAACAAATCTGGTGAATAAGTAGAGATAATTAATAATTAAAATGATATTATTTTATAGTATAAAAAATAAGAGCACCAGCACCACATGCACGAGTAAATTGAGTTAAATCAAGTAATTTTAACAGTATTTAATTAACGCATCTTATCATTTTTCAGCGATGAGCTCTGTCCAGTTGACTTTTCGGATAGCTATGAAGACTTGGATGAAAAACTCGCATCAAAAATCGGACGTGAGGTTGCGAGAAACTCGATCCTGGAGATGATGAGAGATTTGCGTGGAGACATTCGAATTTTGATTGAGATTGAGGAAAACAACAATTTGCCGATCGACCTCAACGGCCTAAACTGCAAAGAACGTCAGGTCCTTCTGCTGTGGGCAGCTTTCCTGAAGCGCAGGGATATTTTGGAAAAGCTGTTGGCGAGGAGCGACTGCGAGCTCAAGACGAGCACCCCTGACCTGGGTCTCAACGCCCTGCACCTGGCTGCGTTCAGCGGCTGCCACGAGTGCGCCCTCCTGCTGCTCAACTCCGGCGCCAAAATGACGCACAAAGCCGATTATTCGCCTCTGCACTGCGCCGCCCAGAGTGGCTCCATTAACTGCGTGAAGCTCTTACTCGCGATGGGTGCCAATGTCAACTCCAGGTCGGAGGACATCACCAACAAAGAACCTCAAGACACAGCCCTCCATTGCGCCATCAAGGCCGACTCGCCAGAAATCGTTCGGGAGCTGCTGAAAGCGGGCGCCATTCCTTCAACCCTTGGCCAGGGTTATCTCGCCCCTCTCCACGTGGCCGCCGACCTTGGATACATGGGCTGCATGAGGGCGATTTTGGACTTTGGAAAGTGCGGTGGAGGAATCGTGGACATAAACCAGCAGACCAAGGATGGCAGGGGATACACGGCCATCCACCTGGTGGCCGAAGACCAGTTTGCCGACGGTATTCGTCTGCTCCAAGAGTATGGCGCCGACTGCAAGATCAAAACCACCAAAGGGCTGACTGCCCTCCACCTGGCGTGCAGGGAGCAGTCGGTCGAGTGTGCCAAGTTGCTTTTGACGAGTTGCGACATCAACAGCGAGGACAACGAAAGTCGCACGCCTTTGCACATGGCTCTGGGCAGGGCTGATTCCGCGGAAATCACAGAATTTCTGGTCAGCAACCCCGGAATCAAGGTCAATGCCACCGACAAGGCTGGATTTACTCCTCTGCACATCGCAGCACTTAACGAACAAGTAGTAGCGGCGGCTATTTTAATAAGGGCGGGAGCCGACTTGACGGCCCGCACGGCCAAGGGCTCCACGGCCTTGCGAATGGTCATCAGAAAAGTTCCAACAGCCTTGTACGCGGTGGAGCAGGTCATGGACGAGTCGATCTCTTTGACCAACAATATGGACTCAAGGGACGTAGAAATTAAAATGGACTTTAAACCTCTACTCGCTTCGAAGAAGAGAATCACCACGGATTTGTTGAACACCTTCATCGCCGAAGGCCACCCCGAGCTGATGCAGCACCCCCTTTGCCAGGCATTTCTGCACATCAAGTGGCAGGAGGTCCGGATCTTCTATTACCTCCGACTATTATACTACATCTTGTACCTCAGCTGCATATCAATTTTTGTCTCCTACTTTCTGCCCACTGGCTGCGAAGGAGCTATAAAAGAATACAAAATGAACAATACGATTTCGGAACCGAGCTCTGATAAGTGCAAAATCAATAATATATTTGTGGGATTCCTGTACTACATTTACATTGGGACCATTTGGTTTACGCTTCTAGAGTTGATAAGAAAACTGTGGGGTCTGATTGCCTTCATCGCTGCACCGACTACCGTCTCCATCCAAAAATCCTTGGCAATCTACTCTATTCAAATTGACAACTGGCTCGAGTGGACTTGTTTGGCTTGTATGGCGTTGGTGTCTGCATCTGATAATAGACAATCCTTTCATGTCTACATCGGAGCGATTGCGGTGCTCGCCGGCTGGAGCAACTTGATGGTCCTTGTCGGCCAATTGCCTTTTTTCGGTGCCTACGTGCAAATGTACACCTGCGTGCTAATTGAAATGGTGAAATTGTTGATGGCCTACGTGTGCATGCTGCTGGGTTTCGCCATCAGCTTCCACGTCATGTTCAACTCGGAAGACAGTTTCTCCTCATTTGGAAAGACGATTGTAAAAATTCTGGTCATGATGACTGGCGAACTAGAGTTTAATGACTTGTTTAAAGAGGAAGAGAAAAATATAACTGCGCCCAGCACAACTGTTGAATCACGAAATGTTCCAGAAACACCACCCCTCAGTAAGTTCAGTTTAAGGCTGTTCCACGAGAATGCGTTGAACGAACTAGCTAAGAGATCAAATGTAAAAACTAGCATGGAGAACACCGCCGACGTAGAAGTTTTTGCATACATAATTTTCGCAGTCTTCCTGCTGCTTGTGACGGTCGTGCTGATGAACCTGCTGGTAGGTATCGCCGTCCATGACATCTCTGGTCTTCGAACCTCAGCCGTCATCACAAGACTGCAACAACAAGCTGATTTAATTGGTTACATCGAGACAGCCCTTCCCAATTGGTGCACTTTACGGTGCTTGCTGTGTTGCTGCCTTCCATTTCTTGGAAGGACCAGATCAACAACTAGAAGGAGGCGCAGGACGGAAATGGGCGTCCTCAGTGTGAAACCGCACCACTGGAACATGGACAGTCTGCCAAGAGAAATCGTCAGCGCCGCTTTCGAGGTGGCCAAGAAGATGAACCCCTATCAAGGTCAAGCTAAAAGAAACACAAAACCCAAGCCCAGATACAAAAGAATTTACAGCAAGCAGCACAGCGGCTCAATCTACGATACAATAATTCCAAGAGCAACAAATTTGTCACGCAGGGGCAGTCAGTACCTTAATATTGATAAACGACTGGAAAATTTTGACAGCCAGTCTGTCTATAGTGCCAACTTTGACAGGTCAGTGACCGATGATATTAGAGAGCTTAAGGAAGCTCTTGCTGAGCAATCTGCTCTACTGCAGAAGCTACTTGAAGCCAACAGGATTGGATCGCAAAATACTCTAAAACCTTTAGGATATACCCCCAACCACTACTGTGACGATCGAGAATAGAAATTGGTGCATATTAATTTTTCCTACTAATAATTTCGCTGACTAAGTTGCCATGTACAAATTTTCTTCTGTTGGAATTTAAAATGCTCACAACTAATAAAAGCTAATAAAATGCATTAGAGAAAAAATAATGATAAAATATGTTTCATTCCAAATTACCAAAATTAAAAAAATTTTAATAATGATGGATAATTGAATGTCTCCTTTTTGGAACATAATTTACCTATTGTGACTTACGGTACAAATTCATAAAAAAAATTATGGTTTCAACTTCAATGGTAAGCAACAAGTTAAAAGAGAACTTTTTGGCATTTTAATTTCCAATAATGTGTTGATAATAGGATAACTGACGTTATTTCATACTTTAACGAGCCTTCCAAGTTGGCTTTCTTCTTGCTCCTGGCTGGCCTGGCTTCTTTCGCTCCCTGGTTCGCCAATCAACTTGTAGTAATCCAGCTAAATAAAAAACACAATAAAATTGTGCCATTTTTTCAAAAAAATCTCCATACCCAATCTCATTCTTTCAACCATTTTATTATCAACAAAACTTCGCAAGGCCATGGCCAGACCAAAACGAATGGCGCCAGCTTGACCGGTGGGTCCTCCTTGTATTGCTGTGGCATTTATATCTACTTTGCCTAGCATCGCAGTGAATATGAGTGGAAAAGTGATCTGAAATTGTTGGATAAATAAAATTTAATTAGCAGAAATTTTTATTTTAAGTTAATACCTGTTCTCTGCTTTGGATATCACTAAAATATTCAATGTCCTGACCATTAACTGAGAATTTCCCAGAGCCAGGTAAGTGAACAGTGACATCAGCATACGCGTTTTTCCTGCGAGCTCCTAATTACATGGTTTTGTTGGGGATTATAAGAAATAAGCTTTGAATTTTTAATACCTTTAAACGTGATGTATGAACGGCCATCCTTTTCATACAAAGGCTAGAGAAGAAAATTGTAAAAATAATGAGTTTCCTACAATAAGATACTACCTTCGGGATTTCTGCTAGTGCTGCTTCATTGACAAGCGAGTATCTATATTTCATAACAAAATCCTTGACTTTGCTTGAAAGTGGATGGTCTGCCAGACGAATAAGCACATTTTGGAACTGCTCATACTGTAAAAGATCTTTCATTAGTAAAATTTATTTGCTACCATAATATCAATCTACCTGAGCATCGTCGATTTTTTCGATTAGCATTGCGGACAACTTTTCCTTCTGTATCCACTCGGTACCACTCAATGACCTTCAAAGGAAAAATAAATTAATGTTTATGTCAATTTAAAATCAGAGTAAATACAATTTCAGATCATTATCAATAGTCATTTTCTTCCGTATCATCTCGTCTTCCTCCTTATTCAATTTAATCAGCTCAGTGACAGAATCCTACAATTTATTTGGTTACAACTTCATTGAAGCTGATTTTTTTGTCAATTTACCTGTAGCACTTGGTAAAAATTTGGATTCATTGTGTAGAATAATGCATGGTGAGGTCTGCCTGTTTCGTCAAATTCTGCAGCTTTCTTCGGTGGAAAAATCAACTCGGGTGGTTTCATGATTGGTCTAGCTTTGGGCTCGAACAAGGATGATGGAAACAAAAACTCAATTGCTTGCTAAATAAAAATGAATTTGAAAATAAGATATATTATAAATTTAAATTAAATGTCCGCGTTACATCAATATCCTCTTGAGTCATGGTGTCTGCATCCATGCTCATGATGTTGGCCAAGTGCCGTCTGCCAATCTGATACTCAACTATTTGCTTCTTCATGAATTCATCTAAACAAAATAATACATACTTGTTTGAAATAATGAAAAATAAGCTGAAAATAGTTCCAGAAAAAAATGTAGCAAGTTCACAAAATATTACTCTCAAACGATGTCAAAATAAGGCAAGATGAAAAGATGCATAATAAAAAATACATTCATATTTGCCTTAATTTAATTATGTAAATATAGATTATTTTACCATAGCTCTTGGCTCGTAGCAAATACGCTTTCATCGCTTTGCTAATGGGCTTTTTAGCAGAGGCTGGTTTTGTTTCATCTGGCATATTCTTGATTTCCAAAATCGCCTCTTGAGCAGAGAGCGTGTTGAGAGTTCGGCAACCAACATTGGACCCGTGCTGAAAGTCGAATTTTGAATCAAATACTGTCCCGATATTGACTAAACATTACATTCATTGAGTTCTAACAAATAACTACTCACAAACTTATTTTGGGCAAGGCTCTGAGCCCTCGAGAGGGTCCTACTGCACGAAATTAGAGAAAACACTCTGTGTTTTGGTAGCATGGCGGTGCCCATCTTTTTCTACCATTGAATATTTTTGCTTTTTGCCACGCCCACTATTTGCTCAAATTGGCGCGGAGGAAAATTTTCATGCGACTTTTGGACCATTTGCATTACTGGCGAGCAAAAATTCTGTGCATGTCGATCGGTTTTTACTTTAACTTGTAAAGCCTCTCGAACGCGGCATGGAATTTTTCCGTTGTACAATTTTAGAATTTTTTACAACCACCTCTTCTTTTTTGACCTTGCGCAGTAATACCTCTCTGACCTCTGCTGATCTGCTCATATCTTGTATCGAGGAAGCGGACGAAGCGGTTGCAGTCGCAAGTGATGATCAGTTAGAGTTGGACAGAAGTTGAGATTGATTTCAGCACAAGACATCAAAGTATTTTTTAAATTTTGACCACACACTCGCGATTTTGAGGAAAGAAAATGGTAAAGGAATAATTTTTTTCAATGTGCTGGAATTTAGTCCTTTTTTATTATTTATTTAAAAAAAAAGAAAAATTAGAATTAATCAATTAAAAATTATTGCTTGATTTTTAGGCTGAGCCTGCATATCTGGAGCCAATCATGTCAGCAGACGAAGAGGAAAATTACTCCTCAGCCTCAGAATCCTCCTCAGACTTGGAAGGTGAGATTTCTGGCATTGCCTCTCTAATTCCCTCGGTTGAGGCTGGCCAGGTTGAACAAGAGGGAGCCGGTGCAGCAGTCGACAATTTGGCTCCGACAGAGGCCCAGCAGCCCGTCCATCAAGCTGCTGAGGCCCCTGTGCCTGTGGCCACCGTCAGGGCAATGAGGGGTGCCACCATCAAGAAGCCAGCCACAGCCGTGCAGCCCCAAATGCAGCAACCTGCAAAGGCGCCTGCCAAGACTAGAGCCAGGGTGCCTAAGAAAGCTGCTGGCAAGGAGAACCTTGGCCAGGGCGAGATGGTCGCTGCCGTTGAGGCGGCCACCAAGAAGATGGCTTCTGTTGCTGTCAAGGAGAAAAAGACCAAGACCAATACAATGACCAATGCTGCTGCCCCTACTCAGGTATAATTAAATTTTAGTCGGACTCAAATAATTTAAAACTTCATCAATGGATATAATTCAGCAGAACCTTTATTAAAAATCATTTGGAATTATTTTTATGTGAAACTTGAATTATATTTTTACCTTATTTCATATAAATTTATAACATTATGTAAAATAAATACATCAGAAATAGGATAAACTATTTTAAAATTAGGATATCATCAATCATAATGTAAAGCAATTAGCCAAATCAAAATTAACAAAAATTAATTAAATGTTACTGAGAGAAGGTAGATTTTACTCTACACGTTTGCATTTAATTATTTAGGGAATGTTACAAATTTTCTTTTAAAGGAATCTTTGCAATTCTCTCTACACAAAGATTTTTAGCATGACCAAAAGCATTTCTCTCTCCACCAGAAAACTCGCTTGGCTTCTTCGGCTTCCACTGCGAGCAAGACTGGACAGGTTGCTGGGCCCTCCTCAGCCACCAAAGAGACTGTGATGACCTGCTACCGGTGCAACATCACCTTAAAGGGGCCTGACGCTGCTAAGGACATGGACAAGCACCTGAAGGAGTGCGGACTCATTGTCTGTGTTTTATGCAACAACAAATTCAAGTCCATCAAGAACCTGCAGATCCACCAGCTAAAATTCCACGCTGAGAAAAAAACAGGATAAAAAAAATGAGAATTGAAAAATAGCAGAAGAATTGAAGGTTGATTTCAGAAAAGAAGTTTAATCAGTGATGCAAAATAATTTACTATTCTAAATGCTCTAAATATTGCGCACTGCGCATTAAAAACGTTTTCTAATTTCTTTTACAAGTAAATAATTATTATTAATTGCATTTCTTTATAGATAAAATCAAATTATGCAGAGAAATTAATTATTATTGAAACTTTTCAAAGTCAAATATATGCAAATGCATGAGCTTAAGTGTTGATTTATGCAGAAATAATTATAAAATAACTTGCAAAATAAAGTATCTATTTTTATGTAAGTAATTATTGATGTTAGTTGTGAGCCTCATTAAATAATTTTTAAAAGTAAATAAATAACATATAAATTAAAAGTAAATTCTCTTATGAGTGGATTAATCCTTTTTCTATATGATTAGCCACACTAAAAATAAAATCTCTTATTAATACAAAAAATGTATAATTACAACGTTTTAAGTCTGATCAAAATTAATGTATTAAAATTATTTAAGTATGCATTTTGTGAAAATATAGCTGCTTATAATTTCAAATAAAAAAAAACTCGAATTTTATAAAATTATAAACGGAACTAGAGTTTATTTTGCTATTTGAATTACTAAATTTTATTTTTTTTGGCGCTAAGCGCCTTCATAAGAGATAAGAGAGAGAACAGAAATGCAGAATAACCGCATTGATGAATCATCTGCAATGCATGCTCCTGTGCCAAACACATTCCAAAGGCCAAGGCTAGAGGTTATCGCAGCGCGCCAAACGCCAAAATCCCTCCCTCTTCCTTCCTCTCTGCGAGCCTCCTTTCAACAACAGAATCGAAAAACACGTTCAAACCAGTCTAGTTGTGTTTTGAGTGCTCCTCTTACCCTTTGCATTATTTCCCGCAACTACCTCATTCACACACAATTCGTTCTTCGTTCTTGGTTCGCTGTTGTTTGCGCACATTTGCCACATTTCTGCCTTCACTGCAGCGTGATACACCAATCATCCAACACCATCTTTTCATTTTTCGTGAGCGTGTTTTAAGAAGGCAGCCGTCGTTTTTGCTACAAGATATTAGACGTGAAGAGAACCTTTTCTTGATTATTGGCGTTTTGAACACAATCATGGTGCGTATGACTGTATGAATTAATAGTGTGATATGACTCCAAGAGAGGATAATATCCGGATAAAAGTCGAGAATTTGGCCACTGGGCCCTGGGGATAATTATGCAATCCTCGTTCCTCGTGGTTTTTTGTGCGCGTTATAATGTAAAATATTATTGTCATCATTTAATTTTATTCGTTTTTGCATTATACAGGCACGAACCAAGGAAGAGGCTCGGCAAGGCGACCAGCCAAAGAAGGCGGCCAAGAAAGACGGCGCTGTCTTCAAGACAAAAACTACCATCCAGGTTGTGGCCAACATTTCTATGCCTCAGACAGCAGCACAGCCCTCGTCATCTGAGCCCAAGAAGAAGTCTGTGCCCAAAGTCCCTAAAGAGAAGAAGACCAATCTGAAAGCTGCAGGTTCAGCGGTAAGAATATCACATTTAGAGAAACTTTATCATCTATTTCTTCAAAAAATGAAATTATATTATTTTAAATTACTTTATTTGAAAAGTGAATGATAAAAAATTTAATATCATGCATTTATATCAAAGCAAAGAATAAAATAAAATTGTTCATTTTCAAGCATTTTCTGTCGAACGAAATTTGAAATATTGATATATTTAATTAATCTGAATTTTAATTTATTAAAAAAAAAATGACTTTTAATATGAAACTCTAGCAAATTATTTAACGGAATGTATTGAATTTTTATAATTTTTTTTTATCTGTTGCGACTTTTGCTTATTTGCCGCCTATGTATGTGATATACACACATTTATTGTGTTTATATGGATTTTTTTAATTGCAGATGCTGAAGGAAATGAAAGCCATGGCAGTGCCACCCACTGCAGGTCACCCCTTTGACCCCTATGGTGTTGGGATCCCTTGCCACCGATGCAAAACCATGATCAGTGGGCCAGATTCTGCCGCCGAGCTGGACAAGCACCTCAAGACTTGTGGCCTGATGAAGTGTGTTCTGTGTGGCAACAGCTACAAAAACATCAACACTTTGCAGCAACACCAGATCAAGGTGCACGCTCAACCTCAACAACCTCCTCAGGAAAAACCTGCAAAGGAAAAACCTGTGAAGGAAAAGCCTGCAAAGGAAAAACCTGCAAAGGAAAAGCCTGCAAAGGAAAAGCCCCCAAAGGAGAAACCAGTAAAGCAGCAGCCTGAGCTGCTGTCTATGCAACAGCAATTGCAGCTGCTGTCTTCGCAGCAGCAACTTCAGATGCTGCCTCCGCAGCAACAACATCAGACGCTGCCTCCGCAGCAACAACTTCAGATGCTGCCTCCGCAGCAACAACTTCAGACGCTGCCTCCGCAGCAACAACTTCAGACGCTGCCTCCGCAGCAACAACTTCAGACGCTGCCTCCGCAGCAGCAAACTGCACAGCAAAACCAGCTGCTGTCTCTGCAGCAACAACTTCAGCTGCTGTCTTCGCAGCAACAATCTGCACAGAAATATCCTCTCCAGCAGCATTCTGAGATGTTGTCTCTGCATCAACAATTGCAGCTGCTGCCACCGCAGCAGCAACTTCAGTTGCTGGCTTCGCACCAACAACTTCAGCTGATGCCTCCGCAGCAGCAACTCCAACTGCTGTCTTCACAGCAACAACTTCACTTGATGCCTCCAAAGAAGCAACCTCAGCTGATGCCTCCTCCGGAGGAAACCAAGGAAATTGTTCCTTACAATTACAACTTTAACTGAGACAACACCATTCAAGCTCCATCTGATTATGATTTTTAGGTGCTGATCTTGTCTCAAATTTTCTTGTATTCAGCAGTATTCCGCGTGAAAGATCAAAGCATTTCCTCAATTTGACAATTTAACTGTTAAGAAACTGTATACCACTTTTTTATTTGAAAATTTAATCAAGACCATCATTAGATTTTATGTTTATTTATGAATGAATCTTAACATTACTCGCAAGCAAATTGCTCTTAAAAAAAGACTAAGTATTATGCAAACAGTTCGTATGTAAGGTGATTCGATTATGATTCCTATATATAAAATCATTTAAATATTTATCCAATTAACTGTTCTTGGCAACAGCTTTTATAAAGTACATTTTAAATGTCAATAAATAATCTGTGCAGCTCAAGTAATAGAAATTTCTGTGTCACGAATGAGAATTACAAGTAAATAAAAGCTACGAGAATAACTGAAATAGCGTCATAATTTTTAATATTATCTTTCCAGTTCAGCACTCTGATTGCACGACGCATTTACTGCCTCGATCCGAGGTACGAGTATGGAGCGAAATGAAATCACGCTTCTGTGCCTTCCACTTATTATAATGATTTGATTTATCTATATTTCTAACTACTTTGCTCTTAAGAAAAGTTATAAATTTACTCGGAATTATAAACAAAATTGAACTAAATTTTAACCTTATAAAAAAATTTTCACAATTCTTGAATAGAATTTAAATATTATAAAAAAAACCCTGCAGGTTTATAATTCCAAGTAAATTCTTTTTGTCGCGCATCTCGCAAAGGACGAAGGCGCAGGTATTGTTGGTCGCGCTCACAATAAAAAGCAGCTCTCTTTTTACTCACTGCGCCAATGACCCTGTCTCTTATTATTACACGCCTGGGTATGGGCACATTCAATTCTGCATCGTCTCGGGGGGCGGTGGGTGGAAGAGGGGAGAGCAGACGTGCATCTCGCGCCAGAGGAAGAAAAGTGGTCCATCGTCTTGTTGCGGCGCGGAGTCTGTGAAGGGAGGGTTGGATGAGGAAACTCCAGTCGCTATTCAGCTGTGCAGGTAGCCGCGCTGCATTCCACCGCTTGCTCCGCTCTTTTTTGAACATTTGATTTTTTTATACATTTTCCACGCGGATTTTTTAACTGCGCACTTCCTGTCCGTTTGATATGGAAGTCAGTGACTTCGGGACTTTTTAGTGCACATTTTTGTTATTCCACCAGTGTTTGGTTTTTCCAACCTCTCCGTGTTGAAAAATTTTCATTATATAAATTATTTATTTGGAAATAGTCTCACTCGGCACCTTCACGTATTTATTGCTGTGGTGCTGGGCAGGTGACATTTGCGACGTGACCCGTGTGTTGATGTCGAACGCATTGTCGAGTCAGAGGTGTCAGTTCAGTGCGCTGGATGACTAGCAGCTCTGTGAAGGTGCCTGGATAATACGCGGCTCTGTTGAAATTCGCCATCAACATACATTCAGTGATTGACTTAAAAGTGCAAAATAAGAAGAAGACTGCTGCTCTTTTAAGATAAAACAGGTGAGTTTTCTTTTCAACAATTTTATTTGTTCATTATTTATATTTATTTATTGTAAAAAAACTAAAAATTTAAAAGAAAAATTATTTACGGTTAATATTTTGCTTACAAAGCTTATTAAACGATTAGAGCAAGTTTTGTTTCATTAGAAAATTGTGAAACAATACATATTCTTATTGTTATTATAGTTTCTAACTTCAAATTATAAATAACGTTAAAACTTAATTTAAACATAAAAGTGAAATCAAAAACTATTTTAATAATTAATTCAAATAATTATAATGGAGTAAGGGATAACTTATAAAATTTCTTTGACACACATTGCATAAAGATTATGTTGAAATAAAAAGCTTTTAAATTAATAATATATAACTAATAGCTTGAGAGTTTATTTGGAAAAATTAAACGTTGATTAACATTGATGCTTTTATTTTTGAATTAAAAAATACATGATACTTTAACGTTATGAGAATTGGCACTTCATGGCAGTACACAAAAACTTAAAAATCAAAAAATCTTGTAACATTTTAAACTTCTGAGAGTGATGAAAAGAAACTCTAAAATAAATATTTATTTCATTAATATTATTGACATTGAAAAAAAATTAAAAAAAAAAACGCAAATAATTAATAACAATGTATATATTATTTTATTATAATTCAAATTATTATATAAAAAAATAATTGTTTTGGCACATATTTTATTATTTTGTTAACGTTAATGGTGTATTTTAAAAACTTCTTTTTTTAATGGTTTTTGTTTATTACAAAGATTTTAATTATTAAAAAAATTACTAATTTTGTGAGGAAAACATACAAGTTGCTAAACAAAAATTGAGACACTACGACTGTATCATAAGCTAAGATTTTCGGTGCTAAAACATTTGTGATAAAAAGACCCCATATCCGCCGCTGCTTGAGCCCACAGGCTATCATACTTTGTCCTTCTCACTATATAATCACAATTTTGACCAAAGGTGCTCCTCGCAGAAGATGAACAAGTGGTCAAACACGCATGACTTAATCATAATAATCAGTTTTTATTTACAAACAAAATGATTAAAAAAAAACAATAATAGTCAATAAGTCTTTATCTATGAGCATTAACCTCAAAAGGAGCGTAAAATTAGGTATAGCCAATACGAAAGCAGCTGTATGGCCAACCAATACATTATAATAAGAAATAATTCAATACTAACTGGTGCCGGTCGAGCGCGGTAACGAGGCAAGAAAAATGTTTTCTGTACATAAAGGTGGGTTGTACAGCAAAAAACGTCACCGGCGCGGCCAACAGGTTGCTGCCGCCGCCGCCGCTTCTTCTGCCTTTTCCATGGGACCGTTGCCTTTTTGGGAAGGCGAAGCAGAAAAGAAGCCCTAACTTAAAAAAGTGGGGGCTACACTCGAGTTGGCCGGTGAATAATGTACCCACCAAACAAAGGACGCTTATATCTGTACCAAAAGTGCAAAATGCGTAATGCGTGGTTGACGAAAAAATTATAATTTTTAATTCCTCCTGTTTCTCTGGCTCAAATTGCAGACACCCGGTGACGTCATGGGTGCGCTCGGTGGTCTCGGCTGAGTCTCCGGAGCATTTTAAGTGGGAAGTGGAAAATCGCCGATTTTGACGCGTCGGGTGCCCACGTGTTTGCAGCGAGAACGTCATTAAGCGAGATTTAATTGGCTCGGCCGTGACGGCCTAATAATAATACTTTGAGTACTCAAGGAAGGGTCCTCGTTGGAGGAATTGAATTGTCTTTTCTTCTGCTATTATAATATATACACCCGTGGGATTAGGGATTATTAAGAGCAGCTCTGTAGCACGGATTAATTTGAATTTCGCGTGGGCCCAGTACTTTCAATGGCTGTTTTTTCTGAATAATAAAAACGGCACTGCAGGGTTCGCTGGTAGATATTTTTTGCTTTTATTGCACGTTGAATAACGACTGAGTGACGGAAGGAGGAAAGAAACTCAAATCTGCGTTAAATTAGGGTTTAACGATTGCGCCCCGGTGAAGGGTAATTAAACCAGCTTTTTACTTCAAATATACATTATGGTTGCGATTTATGGTTTTTCAACTTAACACGAGTTAACATTTAAAAAATATTTTTGTAAGATAAAATTTGGTAAACAAAATTTATTTATAAATATAAATGAATTAATACAAAAAAACTAGGAATAATTTTTTTCCTGGAACTCCCAACACAATTGTTGCTGCAATTATTTAAGAATTGGGAAGCGCCGCCAGCAGCAAAACAGTGCACTATGCAATCGCGCCCTTTTGTGCTCAAATCAGAGGGAAATTAGGTGGGCGGAGTCAGTATTTATTTACAATGTGTCTAGTTATGCCGCGTGTCGCTTTTCTGTCCAAAATTCGGTCGAAAACAAGAGAAAATTCGGTCCGTCCCGGTGACATGCATCATCAGCGAAAGCAGCAGGTTAGTTTCAATTTTAACTCGGTTTTTTACTCTCGCCAGATGAATCAAATTGTTTTTATTTTTTATTTATTCGCTTCCATAGCAATCGTTTTGAGCATAAAACTAATTTAAACCGAAAAATATACATAACAAGCGTCCTTACTGTACAATCTTTGGAGCCCTTCGCGTTTAAAGTGATAATAATTCTATTATTCTTTAATAAATCAAAACATATTGATATCATTTTCTTTTTAATTTTTTTAGCGTATTTAATCTTTTATGTGTTTAAAATTGCTTCCGTTAATGAAATTTAGACAAAGCCTGTTATTATTTGAATAGGATGAGCCGGGAAGAGCTATACATATTATTAGAGATTAATCTAAGCCACGACCTCTTATATCAAACGACAACGGAAGCTCAACCGTCACATCACATAAGATAAATTTGAGAACATTATTTTCCTATTCTATCATAATATATACATGCGTGTTTATTTATTTATTTTATTTGTTGCTAGTAAAATTTTTGTATCATTTTGCTTCAGAATGAAGTATTCAAATTTGTTAGCTTCTAGTGTGTTTGCTTATCAATTATAAATCAAACACCACAATTTTTTAAGAAATCTGTTTTTGTGTGGTTTTATGAAGCTGCCTTGCGTTTATATAGCAGTGAAAAGAATCTTGCTCTCTCTGTGTAAAAAATCTCCCCCGTTGTACAAATTCAGCTGCTTCCTCTGCTGTATAGAGTGCTGACCTGCGATTCCAAGAAGAAGGTGCACGGAATTCCTGGCGCAATAAAAATGTTAATCCCCCAAACAGGGTCTTACAAACAAGCTCTTTTTTTAGACTTAAATGCGTTTTCCCTGTGAGTGGCCTTTGTATTTGTTGTGAGGGCGTAAGGCTGAATTGACTGCATCTTTCGGCGAATGAAGCTGATATTAAAAATTTCTTATCTTGTTTGCAAACTTTTTTATAATAGGGGCTTCTGCAGATCCGACATTGGCGACGTTCAATAAAGATAAGATTTAATTCGCGCAGTTAAAGGTCCACATTCAAAAGTAAAGCAAACACAAGAAACTAATAAATATGTACAACTAGAATATTTTGTTTCTATGAATTTATTTGCAAATTATCTTAAGGTTGTGTATATTTTGCCCAAATAACATTTTTTTAACACTAGATCAATTATGAGAGTTATAGCAATTTTTTTAATTAAAAACAAAATTTATTAGAATAACACAGGTTAATGATATTGTAACATTAAATTTATAGATTTATATCTTGATAATACAGAAAGTTGTGGAACGTTTCTTTAGACGTCCTTTGCTTTTTTATTTTATTTAATATTCTTAGATTTAAACAATAACCGATAATGAAAATTTAAAAATTAAAAAAAGTTGATCTTTATCAATTATTTTTAAAAATTTAAAATTTGAACTTGTTATAGCCTTATGAAATCAATATTAAATATCACCTTGGTCGGCCGTTCAAGTCTCTTAGTCAGTGCAAAGTGATTTTCGTTGAGCTCTTTTTACTTCTTGGCAATGAAGGAACAAAGCACGTTCTTATCTCTTTTTCTTTCACTCATCCATGTTGGCAGGCGGCTTTGCTGATCGCGATCGGGCGATTGTGAGACGGCGGGTGGATCACTCGCAGTGCGCGACCGAGCGAGCTGAAGAATGGTTATGTCGGGCCGAGACGCCGCGGCCCTCGAGCCTCGCGAGAAAATCGTCACTCCACCGAACGGATTAAATGCAGAGCAACCTGTGCCCAAGCATCGGCCGCCGCCAAGTCCTCGACCTGTCCACAGACACAACTCGGACGCTTCAACCTTGAGCCAGGCCGCAGGTAGGAGAATCTTTTGCTCCGTTGCACGATTTTCGTTATTTATAATTATATTTTTGGGGCTACTTACAAAGATTATGTGAGATGTGTCAGATATGAAAAGAAGAGTGATCAAAATGTGATGGTCGGTTTTGAGATAAGATTCATATTAATAATATGAATGAAATTGCTAAGTAATAATATTCGGAATAATAGGGTATTGTAAATAGAAATCAAACAAAAAATTTACACCGATTAAAAAAATGCTAATTTTTTTAATACAATCCTTTCTGAGGAGAATTTTTTTTAATTCAATTAAAAATAGAAAATACATATTTATAGATTACTCTAAGTAAATTTTATTGCTTGGTTATTAAAAATTTGCACTGATTTGCACTTATGAAGCGTTAAAAATTAAAATATGCTTTTTTTGCGATAATTTTTAATACCCTTCTTTAATAGACCCACAATTTTCTTTACTGATAAAATTTTTATCTTTCAATTTAAAAATGCTACAATAACTATTTACTAATCATTCTCTACTTAATTTGGTCGATTCAATTTGAATATTAAAATTTGAAGAAATATGAAATGTAAAAGATTTAAAAAATATAATACTTTTATAACTTTTTTTCAATATTCTTGGCTGCTTCGCAATGCACGTCCTCAATATTTATCACATTTTTTTATATTTACCAAAGAGGGTCGGTGCTTTTACACTCTCTGTGTGTTCCTCCAATGAGTTGCAAAAATTTCCATCTGCCGATAAAACTGGACAAACAAGGAAGCGTCTGTCCTGATAGGTCTCTGCTAAATTTATTAGCTCGAAGTCTCATCAGATAGAATACTTATTCACATGTATAATAATTTGAAGAGAAGTGGAGACATAAACATTAAATATCTCCAAAGTTATAACTATCTAAAGAGTCAAGAAGTTATTTATAATATAAAAGTACTAAATTTCTCGTATGCTCTCTTCACGATTAAAATAAGCAGAGAAAAACGGCGCTCCGTAATGCAAAGGCAAATTGATTTATATCGCAATTAGACAAGACTGTGGATGCTGCTTTTTGCCTCTCGCTCTCTTGTCTGAAGTACACGCACGCAGAGGCTTCACTTCTATTGCACGCCGGATTAGATTTATTGTTATGTAATGTAACTGTTCTCGTGGAACAATTTCATATCGGTTCTGCTGAATTACGCCAGATTTATTACTCTTTGTGCTCTGCTCAGCAGTTTCAGGACACGAAAAGTTACTTTGATTTTATTTAGTCAGCGAGAAATGAAAATTTAAGTTCATTCCTCCTGGGGATTTAAAAAAAAATTGAAGACAATCTCCTAGCGAATTCACGAGTTTCCCAGATAATTTTTTTAGTTTGAAACGCGGAATTCTCATGCTGGAGAGAGGACGTTGTATTACTTTGCGATCATGAATGCCGTGAACATGCAACTCATGAACTCAATAATGAGTAATTGCACGGTCGATGTAAAAAAATTGTGGTCCAGGTTCCGCTCTGCCGAGTTCGAGTCCATCATCACCCTCCGTGGAATACGTAATAAAATAATATGTAATGATCGTCAGCAGGCGAAAAAACCGTGACGAAACCTCAAATAAAAACGCGCAGCCTTCCCATCACAACAAACTCGCACACATGCCTTTTGGGTGTGATGATATCCTGATGATCCCCGCAGCAAAAAGCAAAGTGGGCCCATGTGGGGGTCGCGTCTTCTCCGCGTGTATATTTGTTTTCCGAAAGAGGAAGAAGCGGGACTGAAATTCGATCTCTAAATAAGTGGTGGCGCTTTTTGGGTTGTAATGCGGGACAGGGACGATGTTGCAAGAAGCCGCTCAAATTGCAAGCACAGATTTTTACTCAGTTGACAAAGTGGATCCATTACAATTATTTGCTGTCAAAATTCGTTCTTGAACCCATACGTTGCTCGCTAAGTCACACGTTTTATCATTGAAATAAAGCTTTTACTTCTTATAAATGAGCACAGTTATTAATAACAATAATTTTGCTTCGGGCTCACTTCTGATCATAATGCATTTTAACTATGGAGTAATCAATATTCTTAGAAAATTATTGCACGCCAGTAGTTTTATTTTAAAGTAATTTAAAAATGTTTATTAATAGTTTATTTAATAAAATTTCATTAAATAAAATACCTAAGTTTTTTATTCACAAGTTTTTATTTAACTTATTTTTACTTAATTTTATAAAAAAAAAATCAATTAGTTTTTAATTTATCCAAGTTATATTAGAAACCTTTTTTTAATTTTATTCCTTAGTAAAAAACTAGAAATAAATATGTTATATTACCAGTTTGTGACTATATGGTGTCAAGGTAGATAATTAATGTTTTTTTTTTATAATTGTAAAATTATTTATGGAAATTCTAACTTTATATCAGAAATAATGCAAGGTATTTGAGTTGGAGAATCACAAAGCACTGGTACCGTGAAATAGAATTACTTCAATATGTTTCGCGAACATTCGATATTAATCAGTTTGCAATATTATGCAGATTTCCACGCGATTTCGATTTCACACGTCTCAACGCTCATCGTTAGCCTTGGCCGAGACACGCGGCTTGCGCGGGTGACATAATTCTGCTGGCAATAATGAAAAAAAAAATGGCTCAGCACCCACCTCGTACTCCAGCGTGACCACCTGGACCTGGTGCAAAAGGAAGGTCGTGCCTTTGATTTTGCGCGAACATGTGGTCCATTAACCCAACAAAAGAGAAGGCGCGCCCTACTTAACGATGGTGCGAATCTCTATCTCGGGGACAACTCCTTTTTCGACGCGAAACGTAATTTATTGCGGCTGATTGTGTTTAATTTATATGTCGTTTCGCAAATTAAAGAGCTTGTGTATCTTTTCTGCGTTTGAGGTTTAGATTGAATGTGGGAGATGGGATTAAAAGGAAGAGGAGGACATAAATCAGTAGAATTAAAGGCAAAATATTTAGACACTGCACTGACAGCAAGTGGGATTTTGTTGATTCGAAAAGTAAGTTTTTAATCCGTCCATGATTAGCATAAAAACTACGTAAAAAATAAAATAAAGCACAAAATACAAAATATGAAACTATCTTGAAATTTAAAAATTAAAAAAAAAATAAAAACGAATACTAAATATCCTAAATATGTCATTGAATTTTGATTAAAATGAAGATTAAAAATTAAAATTAAATCAATGGATACTCTCGATTTAAGTCCCGGTCCCGATTTTCTAAAATCATGAATAAAATATTGTTTAATTCTTCATTCTCTCGCTCGCCTGTTGTGTGTTGAACGCGAGTAGTTTTTGAGCTGCAGGCTGGAAGCTCGTTCAAGCTTTACTCGAAAGATGGCAACGATGCCCAGTTTTATTTACGGGGGTAACGACTTCACTATTCACTATATATAGCGCAAGCATCGCAGTACATACTTTATAAACTATATTATGTACATTAAATACATAAAAATAATGATAAGTTGCACTGACTAATGGGAAATTTTTAGGAAGCAAAACATCTCTTTATTAAATTTAGTGCTTCATCAGTTAAAATTTAATATAAAAGATTGCAGCATTTTTTTTTTAAATTTCCAATAACCTTGAACAACAATAATTTGTCCTGTGGAAAGTTAAATCAAATTTAAATTTAGATGTAATTTTTTTAATAGTTAAATTAAAGGGCTTTATAGTTACCGTTATGCATTTTTTTTTTTAGATTTACTAACAATTATAATATAATATATTTTCTTTATTATTATAAAAATCTTAGCACACAATATCATTTTTCAGACATTTTGATTTTGTTTTAACACTTTTTTTGGTGTTGACATAGTAAATATGTAGTGTTTACATTCAAATGCAAATTCGTGCAAGTCTACACACAAGGCTTACAGCACCATTTTTTTGCAACGTCGATTACTCCAGCAGTAAAGCATGGCCGAGGGCCAAATCGTAAAAATTACGGCAGGGCTCCGCAAGTGGCTGCTCACTTTGGCCAATTTTAAGCGAAATTCGCTTTTTATGGTGCATTTAATTTCCTTTTGCAAAGAGTAACGCTACTTTCACCATCGCTCCTAAAGTGGCTGGCGCGCGAATTAAAGCTAAGGTGCCTATCATTTGATACATCGACACACAATAATAAGTGCAAGTAATATTAGCCCGCGCGCACACAAAAAAGTCGATTACTAATTTGGCGAATGCTAAAAGCTGCTTTTGCGCCAATCAGCAAATTATGTTTACTTTCCAATTTGTGCAACACTTGGCACCTCGATTTATTAACCTCAATTTAAAGTAAAAACATTTATATGAGAGATGAGATGAATTCAAGGCTGGGATATTATTCCCTCACCGTAAACACCCTAAGAAAAGGATTGAAAGAGATTGTTTTGTTTGTTCAAGTCTTTGAATGTGTCTGCATGGTACGAAGTGCACTGAGTGTTGACACTCGTTGTTAGAGTGCAATTAGGTTAATTAGCACTTTGTCTCCCAGACAACATGTGGCTTGACTTTTGCTTGGTTAGATTAAACAGAACGCAAGTGTTAATGAGCACGTTCCAGCAGCACCTGCTCCTCTGAAAATGTAATGCAGCATGGAATTGTGATTAAGCTTTGAAAGTGTTTGCAACGCTTGTTACTTTTAACGGCTGCTAATTGAATTAACTTTAATCAATTGAATTAAAAGTGAACATTATGACGCCCTTTTGTAAATACACAAAAGAATTTTATAAGAAATCGGTATATATTTGGTTTTGAAATTTTTTTTAACCTGCAAAATAAATCAAACTATTAGAGTAAAATTAGTTAAAGATTTTGCAGGTTCTTCTTTCTCGTTCAGTCAGCTTGTTGCAAAATGTTAAGGAGATAATTGGTCTCCTCGTTCGCACACTGCCTATTCAAACCACTTGACAACACTCTTGCTCTTCTCAGCCAGTCTTCTCAATGCGAATCTGAGTCTCGAGAGCGCCAGCTGCTGCTCTTGTCAATTTATTTCGTATAATTCACTTTGTCATTCCAAGTGCAATTCTCAATACTTAAACTGGATACGTGACCACTCGGCAACTGTTCTGTAAAATTGCTTCTGAGGAGCCCTTGCAAAGAAAAGCAGTTCACAACAAATTTTTGTTTCAAGAAAATATTTATTGGGTGCGAATTTAGGGCAACTATGCCCCATACATGAACTCATCCAAATAAATGACAAAAACAAAATTTTTATTCAAACTTAAATAAAGATTTTCCATTAATACTTTGACATCAAAATGATTAAATTAATTACATTATTATTATTCAATAGTGTTAATATAAATTTAATTTAAATTTTTTTACAGTGGTAGGAACTTATTTTATTATTAAATAATTTTTTTAAATTTATATTTACAATATTTTAATATTTTGTAAACACATATTTAATTAAAAAAAAACTGTAATTTTGTTGCTTCTATCTTCTATTAAATATGTATGTGTTATAACATACTTCAATAATTTTTTTATTATTAAATTTACATGCTGAAATACTGTTATCATATCTTGAAACTTTATCTTTATCTCGACTTTATTCAGATACCAGATGTCTAGAAATTAAGAAATCTTAGATGTAAATCAATTACCTGGCTCCATTTACCGAAACGTAAGGAATGCCTGTATTCAACAAATTAGACGATGATTAAAATTCTGGTGTACACATTCCTTGGGCTCTGCTTATTAATATGTGCATATTATTTTTTGTAATTAACATTTGAAAAAAAGATATGAAATTATTCACTTGTAGTATATAAGGATTGATTTTTACGATTATTGCTTAGGAGCTTTGCAATTTTTCAAGTTGCAGATACGTAAAGGCAAATAGACAATAAACTATCATTGACTTTAAAATAAATACTGAATACCTCATTTGATAAATAAATTTTTAGCATGATCCATTCATTGAGCTTTTAGTAAGCAAAACAAATATATAAATATTTCACTGTATGTAAACTAAAAATAGATCTTACATTTGAAATATTCGTCTTGATATTTGGTGATCAGTTGCAATTGTTTGCGCGCAACCAGACGGCCGATTGTCTCGCCATTGAAACAGAATTGCAAACGCCGAGTGCCACAGGCTGCAATTTTCTTATGTTCCTTTTTCCGTCTGCGTCTCGTCTGTACACCCAGCGGGAGCAATTACGCAGAATTGTGCACTTGAATCTTTCTTTCCTGCCAACGGCTGATGCAAGCTCGCCACTCGAGATCACTGCTGCGTTGGCGGACTCGAGCGAAAAGGGTCAAAGGATGCAGGAAGATTTTTTTCCAATTCAAATCGAAACCAATACGGCTGCACAACGAGAACCCAGACACACCAAAAGCAGACGCTCATTATTTTTCCTCCTCTCTCTTTGGTGCATATTCATCGCACCTTTGAAACACAGCCAGCAGCACACGCGGATCACATATCATTAAAATCTACACGCGGCATTATTTCGAATTGAATGAAAAGTGAGATTCATTTAAAGCGCGACTGCTCGGAATTTTTTGCACGCAGATTCTTCTTTCTTTGAAATTTGTTTTGGTACGTGTCTTTGTGCAAAATTAGTTTCAAGGTCTTGCTCTCAGAAATGTTTATTTGTATATTTAATTCTAGGAAATGCAGGTCAGCATGTTTTCATTAGTTTTTTTTTGCAGACTTATATAAAAAAAAAATCACTTAAAATGGAGTTTCAGTCCGTGGTCAAGAAAAGAAAACACTCTTTCTTAACACGCTTGGCAGTTAAAAGAAATTTTGATAAGTGTCCATTTTGATGGGGCTAATGTGCCGAAACGAAAAGCTTGTTTGTGGGGCTCATAGGCTTTATGATTCTGTGGCGGTGCCGTTGTTTTAGATAAAAGAGTCGTAAAAGAGAGGATGAATTCGTGTCTTCGATCGTGCTGTCTTGAAGCTAACCCTTTCCTCTAAATTATTGGACGTAACTGTTCACAGTCCTCAAAACTCTTGAGAACTTTTATTAATAAAAAGATTGTGTTTGTCAACAGCTTATTCAGATCTTTTCAATCCTTTTCCAACAGGTTTGTGAAAATTTAAATTGTCTTTTCATCACATATATTGACTGAAAATCAGTTTAATTTGGGTAATTGTGTAGCTTGGAAGCTCAAACAAAGTAAAAACGGACATTATAGACACGCTGCTGCTTGCGCTCTATTATATGCTTTAGTGAGCAATTAATCTTCACCAGGCGCAGCGGATCCGACCACCCACCAGCAAGCAAGTGATGTTCATTCTCACTGAAAAAAGCTAGGCCGTTTCACGTCCAATTAAACTTTGTTTTGCTCCAAAGTTTCTCATGTTTATATAGCCACAGCAGTTTAATGAGACAAAAGCTCAAAGACACAGTAATTTAATTGAGATAAATCTTCCTCAAGTGTCATTTTTTTTTTGTTATCCTTGTTGATAAATGACGTGGATAATAATTTGGGTAAAACTGCCTCCTTCCGTGGTAGCCGCTGCGATCTTTAATCTTGTATAAACGCGGCGTTCAGAAAAGGAGCAAATTTGAATTTTACAAGGAGCAGTTCTTCAACCAGTTTCGCCTATAGGTGTGTTTAATAATTACACGCCATCAGCAGGCGAGACGAGGCGTCGCGGTTCACTCACGAACGCTCTCAAGTTCAACACTTTTCTCAAATTCATTTTGTATGCGAGAGATTGGGAGGCAGATCGAAAACCAAAGAGGTAATTTTATAATCTGATGCGGCAAATTAGCCGAGCTATTTCTCAAAGCGAGGGATTAGAGAGATGGAATAATTAAGGAGGAAAGCATTAATTTTCTAACTTACAGATTTAAAAATAAAATCTTGGGCACAATTTTCGCAGTAAAATTTGAGATTTAAATTTCTTATCTTAATCCCTCTTAAGCTTTCAACTGATTAAGGAAGTGAATTAATTGTGAAATAAGAAAGACACATTAAGAAAACGAATCCAAGATAAGCCGAAGTTGCCACGTAATTACCTGACGCTGAAATGAGACTGTGCATATACACGTGTACTTAACCTTTTGTGGCTGTCGCAAAAACCAAGAGCCATTAATTTAATCTCGTCGGCATCGAGCAGTTCCTGCGCTCGAAATTGCTCCGGGGATTAAATATTCACACGCGGAATCTCTTTCACGTATATGAATAATCACATCTGCTACTTTCATGTACCGGAGAGGAGTTTTATACAAACGGCGCGGCGGTCTTTTGCTCGCCAAGGTCGATTGGTTTCCTGGTGGTGCGTGCGTGATTTTTTAAACACTTAAGTGTCCGACCTGTACAGAGAGGAGACTACTTTTCAGTTTGTATATACCAGAGCAATTATTCATTGTACATGCTCGGTGCATTTTTTGCCGCGACACGGAGGCAGGGAGACGCAACGACGACCGCTCATTTTCAGAGATGCAAAGAGATCGCCTTTTATGGCTGCAGCGCACCTATTTCCCCGTTTTTTATGCACTGTCCTTCTCAACTGCCAATCTGAAATTAAAATTTCGAAATTCGCTGATGACTTAAATTATTTCACTTTGTAGGGTTTTTATTTTGCACTCTGCTTGCGTGACTCGGCAGAAAAGAGGAAACTAATTAATTGAATTGCACGTCATCGGTGTACTCCTTAATTATACACTTTCAAAGGGGGCACCGCAACTAAGGGATTTTCGCAACTCCTTCGTTAAGTTTTATTGCAGAAGATAATGCGTCCTCCTTTGATCAATAGATTGCAAAAGCTAAATGTAATGATTATATTTTTCTGGACAAAATTCATCATTAAATTGATGAATTGATGTACTGCATGACGCGATTAATTTATTTTTCAGTTGGAATTTATAGATTTACTGTTTTCTTTCAAGTCGTTTTTTATGGATTTTAAAATTGATAGAAAAAACAATCTTCAAAGAACAAATCAAAGATCCAGTATCAAGGAAAAGGTCGTCACATTTAGTATAAATGGCATTTTTAATCCCAGCAAGAGATTGAGTAATTCTTACAAGTTGCTATTGCAATACCTTATAATTTTTAAACAATTAAGTTACTTTATTGTTAATCTTCCTAAAATCGTGAAAAAAATTGAATTTGGATGAATGAGCAGAAACGGTATGACAAATAATAGTTAATTTGCTAAAACGCCCAATATCAAAAGAGACACGCCAACCACAATATAAAAAAAGGACTTCAACATTAAGTTTCAATATTTTCTCCAAGGTTTATTTTGAATTCATTAATCTGAATTTAATATAAAATATTAATAAAATTAATATTTTTACTTTATGCATTGCTGGCACTTTTGTTAAAAGTTCAATGGCACAACGAGGAAAGTGTGAGTACAATGTACAGCCGGACCCTATATAGCTCACTGAACAAAGATTAAAGCTCGGTCAATGCCAAATTAACAATAAGATCAACAAGAGCACTTGGGGCAACAGCATCATGGGTGCCGCATCCACTGATTATGTTGCCCTGTTTTTCGTCTACACTTTGGCACTTTTTGCGCTTTCAGAGGTAAAGTTACATTTAAAGTATTCATATAAAAATCTATAATATATTTAAAAATAAATTTTTTAAAGGGTACAGGAAATAACTGTAGCTCATGCAAAGAGCAGGACTGTTTGCAGCTGGAAGCAGCCCTGAAGAAAAGTGAATTCCTGTAATTAAGATTTTTATATTAATTCTCAATCAACTTGTTTTTTTTTCACTTAAATAATTGAGGAACGGTATTTCTTAAATGGTTGTTAGAGTCTTTTATTTTTTTAATAGGAAAACTAAAAACATCTGATCCCACCCCGCGATCCTTAGAATATATTCCGTTTTTCAATTCAAACAACATATTTTATTTTCATAAAATTTATTACAGCATTACGGAAATCAAAGATATCATGCTAGAGAAAGAGGCCGAAAATAGGCTTGTCAGGAAGCAAATTGTGGACTCCAAAACCGTTAATGCCAAGGTTCTTCATCTGAATTCTCGTTTTTAATGCTTTAAACGTTTAAAATTTAGAAAAATATACTATTTAATTTTAGCCTGATTTTAATTTTTTTTGTTCTTTAAGGCCATAGAAAAACTTGCAAAACGATTGGAACTTGTAGAGGGGAGTTCAAAAACTTTGGCAAATGGTGTAAATGTAATAAATCGAAGCAATTTTAAGATTTTCAATGTGACAGTAATTTTTATTTGACTATGATATGTAGGCACTCAACTCAAGATCTGATAAATTCAGCGAGGAACTTAAAACTGTAGCCAAGGACTTGAACGTAACGTTTATTTCTCTATACTATTTTATCCAATTTTTTCCCCACTATTTTCTCATGGAAGTAAATTGTGCCTAAACTATTGTATCACTATTTTCAGTCTACTTGTCAACCAAAATTGGAAAAAGAGGTTCAGGAATGTGATTTATTGGCAGAAGAACTGGCAAATGCAAAATCTAGCTTTGATTTGGAGCTGAACAAGACAAAGAGCCTCTATGTATGAATTCGCCACAATTTTACCTATCGATTGAATTCCTATGGTCCAAATATTAATTTTAGGAACCGAAATATATGAAATATGACAAGCTAAAATTAAAATTAGGTGAGCAATATTTTTTTGTATAATATTTTCAAAGGCTGCGCATCCCAAAATTATGTTGGTACACGGCTGCCGTCAGAGCCATGGGGCCTTATGGCTCGGGCGGAAGACATCTTTTTTTTTGGCCAACATAATAGAGCTGATGCGTGGCCTTTGAATATTTTCTTATTCTGACAATGAGGTAAAATAATAAAATTTTTATTAGTACATCTGAATATTCTATTAAAAACAATTTCTCTGCCAAATATCTCAAGTTAAGCGTAATCAAAATATATTTGTAGATACATTATTGAAAAATCCCAAAAATAGCATAAATTTCGCAAATGGAAGATGGTACCATTATGAGGAAACCAAGGTAAGCGTTTAATAAACTGCGCTAAAATTGATTGGTTTAAACAACACATTCATGCAGCTGTCGTGGAATGATGCTAAATCATTTTGCGAGGACCGCGACATGATTTTGCCCAACACAAAAACTTTTGGCGACTCTGTGGTAGTTTGGGGCAAAGCCGGCATCATGAATCTCTACGGTAAAAATATTCCTTAAATTATCGCCCAGCAAATGTCAAAATCAAATTTCTGTAGAAGTGTGGATCCATGGTACGGACGCAGGTCGTCCTAAGGGAGAATACGCATGGAGCGATGGTACAGTTGTGCAGGATTTGAGCCAAGGCAGATGGCACTATGGGGAACCCTTGTACAATTATGCGGATGATGCGCCTCAATGCATGTGTTTGTACCTCAGCAGATTTTATGCGAGACCTTGTACCATGAAACTGTCTTTTGTCTGTGAAATGCCACCTGAAACAAAAGAATAATTTACTCTGCTGATTTGCCTCTTAATTGGTCTTTAAATAAGTGCATCTGTAACCACTTTTCCTGCTTTTATAATTTCTTATCAAGTATCGAAAATAAAATTTTATTATTCTCAACATACCAAATATTTTTATTTAAACTGTGCCGTGAAATGAAAACCAAGTAAATATTTTTTCTATCAAAAATAAAATAAATTTAATAACTTCTAAAAACCGAATTGATCATTTTTTTTCTGCCAACCAGTTGAAATAATTTGTTTCCAAATAAGGATTTTTTCTGGTGAAAAACAAAATTTGTGAGAATAAGATTTTATTTTAATCGATGGCCTACAAAAGGAATTTAAGCCATTTTAATTTTTGTTATTGCCAAGTTTCTAAAAAAAATTTATTTACATTTAAATATTTCCATCTGGCCCTGAAAGAACTTGGTCATTTTTCAATTAAAAATTTTAGCTCTTTGTCTCTCCGAATGTAAAATTCAATGTTAAAAATGAAAACAATTTTCAGAAAAATAGCACTTTTTGTTTAAGATTGTTTTGAAATTCCTATATTTAAATGTATTATTGTTTTTTTAACTGGACTTGGGTCAACAGTTCAATAACATTTCAAGGAAAGTGTGAATAATTGCGCAATGCACAAGCGGATCCTATGGCCCTCTGCAATAAGATTAAAAAGCGCGGTCAATGCCAAATTAACATCAGATCAACGAGAGCACTTTGGGCGAAAGCATCATGGGTGCCACGTCCGTTCATTATGTTGCCCTGTTTTTCTTCTACATCTTGGCACTTTTTGCCTTTGCAGAGGTAAAGTTACCTTTTTCCAAATTCGAATCGGTTTAAAAAAAAAAAAACCATATTACTTTTTAAAGGGGACAGAAACAACCTGTAGCTCATGCAAAGGCCAAGACTGTTCGCAGCTAGAAAAATCCCTGAAGAAAAGCGAATTTCTGTAATTAATTTCTTAAAGTAGTGTCTATAAACCGTAACTTTTCAACAGTATTACAGAAATCAAAGATATCATGCTAGAGAAAGAGTCCGAAAATAGGCTTGTCAGGAAACAGATTGTGGACTCCAACACCGCTACTGCTAAGGTTTTTCATCTGAAAAGTCTTTCAATAATGCCTAACTTAAAAACTGAATTATTTTTAATTTTTTCCTCATTATGATAAATTACTTTTTAGGCGATAGAAAAACTTACTCAGAGGTTGGGACTTGTAGAGGCGAGTTCGAAAACGTTGGCGAATAGTGTCGCTGTAACGCAACAAATATTTTAAGTAGCAAAGAGAAATTTTAATTTTTAAATGTAGGCACTCAACTCACGATCTAACGAATTCAGCGAAGAACTTAAAACTGTGACCGAGGTTTTGAACGTAAGTCAATTGATGTGTATTAAAATTTAAATATATTTTATTGTTTCTATTTCTTATCTCGCCTCTGGCTGTCGCAGTCTACCAGTGGCCTAAGATCAGATAATAAGGTGCAGGAATGCGATGTTTTGGCAGAAGAACTGGCAAAAGCAAAATCCGACTTTGAATTGCAGCTGAACGAGACAAAACGCCTTTACGTATGACGTTAAAATTTATGAAATCTTTTTATTGTGCTGACATAAAAATCTAGGAAATGGAAACTTTGAAATATAATAAGCTGCAGCTCATGATGAAGACACACATTGGTAAGCAAAAATATTTGTAAATATGTATTCTACATTATTTGCTATAATAAGATTGTTAAATGTTTTAGAATTCAAAATATTTAATTAAAACATAAACTAAATATACTTTTAATCACAGGTAAAATAGGTGGCCCAAACATGCTTTTTGCAAATGGAGTTTGGTACCAGTTTGTGAATAGTTTGGTAAAAAATGTGTAGAAAAATTTCAAACTCTGTAATGTTATATGTTAACAATTCACAGATGACGTGGAGAAACGCTAAATCGTATTGCGAAAACCTCGGCATGGTTTTGCCTGACGTGAAAACTGGTCCCGAACTGGCGGCGGTTTGGGCCAAAGCTAAAGGCATTAACAGCCCACGTAAACTAATTTAATTAATCAAAATTATAAGCCTGCAAATGTGGAAAATCTGTCTAGATGGTTGGTGGATCCATGGTACAGACGAAGGTCGGCCTAGGGGAAGTTACTTGTGGAGCGACGGTAGCGTTGTGGATGTGAATGCAAAAAACGGCTTGTGGTATGCTGGGCATCCTTACAATTATACAGGCCATAGTGGTTCTCAATGCTTGTGTTTCTGGTACGACAAACAATTTGTGCTACTTTGTACCGAAAAAAAGCCTTTTATATGTGCAATTCCTATGTAAAAAAAATTATAATAATTTTTGTGGCTCTTCCAGATATGAATAAAGGCTGCACATTATTATTTTCTTTAAATATTTTTGCAAGTTCATGCGATTTTTAACATTCGCATTATGTGAAAAGTAAATAAAATCTAGAATACATTAAAGTGAGTAAAAAAGTTTTTTTTTTTTTTTTTTGTTAGGAAATTTCCTTTTTATTATACATTATTAATTAACCTGTGCCTAAAAACAGCACTTCTTGTCAGGAGTGACTAGATAATCTTTTTTCAAGCTTTGCAAAAAAAAATTATAATTTTACTATTCATTTCTAATTTAATTTTGCTTGTGTTAATTAAGATATGGTTGATTTATGAGTTAAATTAACTTGAAGTAAACAAATACATAATTAATATCTATAATGAAACAATTAAAAGTTGAGAGTCAATTTAAAAGTATATATTAATACGCAACTATGAAAAACAATTTTTTTGCTAAATTTAGTTTTTATAATTCTCATTTTTTTCTATCTTTTTTTAAATAGTGGGGAGGAAATTAAACATGACATATAAATTTGAAAGTAAAATCACTTATTAAAATTCTATGTTTTCCACACGAGATAAATTTACCTTAATTTTGATATAAAGAAATAATTACACACACGTGAGGCGCTTTTGTCACTCGGCCTGTTGCGAGTCAAGTCTGGAGGGGACCGATGCAGTGACGTCAGTGCAGTCGGTAGTGAGTGAGATAGTGTTATGGTTCACTCGCGGTCCTCGCCTCGCGGTGTGCACTTCACGTGTGTGCGTGCGTTCCGTGCCTCGGCCAGGACGAATTTTTCCTCGGCATAATTCCCTATTCAAAGAGTTTGTTGAGTCTGGCGAGGTGCGATAATAACAAGTCGCTGCAATCAGAGAGAGAATGCGCTGCGAGCAATTAACCGACAGACGTGCCCGCAATTAGAATTCGTGCCGTGATTTCAGCGTTTTGTTTTAAGTAGTGGTGCGTGAACCGAGGTGATTATTCGCGAGCATCTTTTCCATCCAAGATGAGTTGCGAAGAGTGAGATTCGTTGGGGATTCAGTGACTGGAATTAGACTGGGATACAGTTCGCGCCATGGGGAAGAACTACAGCAAACACAAGGAGCGCTCCAGTGGAGGCAGATTTAACAGTGAGTTTTTTTCTGTTTGGAATTCATAAATATATTATTTTTAGCTTGCAATGCATTCCTACAGCAATATGTGGAAATTTTGTGTTTTTACAAATTTTAATTTATTTTACTTGATTATAGTTTAAGTAAAAGGACCGTTTCAAATTGATAGTTTACTTAACGGTTCAGAGTGAAATAAAAATACAGTGAACTAAAATAAAATTAACTTTCAAAGTAATTTAATTAAAATTTTAAACATTTTTAAGGCTTGGAAGGCTTTTCAATTAGATACCTGAAATGCTTGGAAGTTTATAACCTAGCACAAATAGTAAGATTAATTGTGTATATTATAACTTACACATTTTCATTTTTAGATTAAATTTGATTTCAATTTAAAATTGAAAAAAAAATTTTAAAAGAAGTTCGGAATCAGTTTCTGGTAAAATTAGAGCACAATGAAATAATTTCAGACTGAATAACGAATAAAACTACGTTTTTACTTTTTTTTATTTAAATTTTAAAAATAAATTTATGCAATTAATTTTTGAAACTTTAAAAATAAAAATTCAATCTTATCAACTGATTAAGAACTTTAACCATGAGCTGTATCACGCAAATTCTTTATCCTGGAGCTGTTTACGAAGTCATAAAAGGAGAAATCTTAAACATGCAACTCCATAAAATCAACACAATATTGAGAATGTTGAAAATATAAAATATCCTCCACCTCCAGCCTTACATCAGATCAGTCTGCCAGGTTTTCTTCATCATGAAATTCCACTTCTCCGAGATAATAAAATCACTAGACACAAATAATATAATGACGCAGTGATGGTTGGCCGAGTCGCAAACATGCATTATTCTGAAGCAAACAATCAGTGCGTGAATGAATTTTTCTCCATTCTCCTCGGTGCTCAGGTCGCCGGTCGCGTCGCTTCATTTGCATTTTTTTTTTACTTTCCGAACTCGAGTGCCCATCCAGGTGGTTTGCTTACCGCTTCAGAACGTGCAGTTTCGCAAGTCGAAAAAATGCTGGCTCGCCACACACGCACGCTCTCGTCTTTGCAAGAGTCAGCAGCATTTCGCCGATAGCTGAATGCGGGCCCGACCTTCTGAAGGATATTTGCGTTCGCTCAGTCAGAGTCGCCGGCCATCACAAAAAAATAGCTCAAATTAAATTCCTCTAAATCACTCATTGGCAGAGAAAAGTAAATTGATTTGTGATTCAGTTCAAGATGCACAAAAGATAATTTGAAATTAAAATTATTAAAGTATTTTACATTTAACATAACAAACAAATAAATTTTTTTTTTAAATTTTATTCCATAGTTTTATTATATAATTTTATTCATTAATTTTATTAAACTTATATATTACGTTATATTATTTTTTTTGTTCAATTAGACTGCATCAAAATGTTTACATTCAATTTTTACAGATTCTAATCTAGTTTTTTTTTTCTAAAAAAATTTTGTTAAGTAACATTTTTAAATAAATTACATTGCTACTTATTATGTATCTACTTATTAATTAATGTAATTTATCCTCTTCTCTGCTTGTGACTTTTAAATTGAGAATTTTGAAATGCATTTCACATAATCGTACGAAAAAAGAAGTTGATCTTTCTTCATGAAGTGACATGATAATTTTTTTAGTAATGTGAATGCAGTGAAATGCACAAATTTCCAGTCACTGAGAGTTCCCATTTGATAACTGAATTTTGTAATTGTCTCACTTTTCAAATGAACAAGAAATAATGCATTGTTGCATATTTTTTTACTTTAATGCACTAAGCGTTTCAATTAAAATGGGACTAATATGAGTCATAGTGTAAGTTGGTTTGAACTTTTTTTTTAATAATAAAAACAATACAAAAAATAACAAAGAAAACGTCGGTTTTCTTCACTTTAATTTTAATTGTTATTATTTATTTGTCCAATTGATGCAAAAGTAAAACAGTTAATTGTTCAGAAATAACAACATTATAAATCTTTTTTATAATAAATGCATTCACATCATTATAATCATGAATAAATTTGCCTTACAAAGAGCTCTAATTAACACGTACAAACCCATTATATAATACTTTGTTGGTCAGATTTGGCGGATGCAACCACAGAGATAAAGTTCCCATGCTGCGCAGACGGCGGTTCATTCATTGAAAAACATCCACTCCACTGCGGTTTGCTGCACCCAAGTTTTCCGTTGTAAAACTTGTAAATTCAAGTGATGCGTAACTTGGCTCATAATTAGCTCCGACATAAAGTGAACGGAGACATTGCGCTCCTATTAACGCAGCGGACGTTTTGAAATCCATTTTGCTCATTCAACTTTTCACTCTCTGGCAGTATAGAAAAGGTAGGCAATAAATATCACAAGTATTTGCAATAACGTGCCTGACAGTCGTCTTGGGAAAACAAATAAGCAAATTACCGTTGCTTAGAAAGAGGGAAAGAATTACATTATATAAATTCTTTTCAGCCTCTTTTTGATATTGTGTCCTCTCGCATCGCTGTTATAGCGTTGCCCGATTAATTTATGGCAGCCGTCGGCAATTTTCCGCTCGATTTAGAGATTTTTGACCTCTGAAGCAATTACGTGCACATATTCATAAAAAATCCTCTTCTGCTTGAGGATCGTCTTTCTAGTTTATGGCACGAGAAAGAAGCCGGTTAGGTGCTTTTGGCAAGTTCAGCTCCTGCCCGCGGCCCTCACAACGCCAAATTCGCTTACTTATTGCTAGATGTGAATCTGATACATCAAGTTATTTGGCCTAGGCGTATTGAAATTTTATAAGATTTGCGAAAATTTAACTTTTTATAAGTTAATATTGGGGAAAATTTTCTAATTAAATTCTGTAAATTAAATTTTAATATGAAAATTAAATGTCATAATGAAATGGATGCAATTAACACTATTTGCTCAAGAACACATTACGGAGTGGCATTGAAAACAACAGAAAATATGCAACAAATCTTCCGTCCTCTGTAACAGTTAAGTTGAAAACCTCTTTTTTTTCCAATTAACAGCTACCGCTGGAAGCCATTAGAGAGGGGCACTTTGCCGCGAGTGAATCACTCCATTGCAGACATCAAAACAAAAACAGTCCGCAAAATTAGATCCCGATATGATTCATCCTCCACTTACGGAGGCAATAAATTTCCACTGGAGCCACTTTATGAGGACATAGGAGGCCACAGATTTAGTTGACCCTTTTGACAAGCGCTGAGAATTTTATTCTGCGACAATGTACTGTCCTGAGACTTTCCTTATTACATCAGAAGTCTTTTAAGTTTTTAGTGAATCAAGCAAATTGATTAAAATCATGGTTTGTCTTGAAGTAAGACATGTGAAGTAAATCAGTAATAAATGGAATAAATTAATTTTAATTAAAAATTTCTGGTTTTGCCTCTTGATTGAATCAAACTTACTCGAAACCTCTTGTTTGGGAGCGTTAGAGACAGGTGCGGGCTGGCGGGTTTATTTAATAAATTAATTAATATAGCTCGATAAGCAGCCCACACGTTGAAACCCAAACCTTTAGGCCCACGTAATGCGCCAATAAAAATGTAAATGGGCCGATCCTCTGGCCACAAGGGCAGTTCAATAATTTTTTCTTTCTCTCAAACTCCGCTCGGGACTTTGAGAATATAAAGAAACGCGAGCGGCGTCTGTGCTCGCAATAAAGGCGGACTTATTTATTTATCGCGACCTCCCATCTGCAAACAAGAGGAATAAAAAGCCGGGCGGCACATCGCTTTGAACGCGCAAGCAAACGAAAGAACGAACACGCAAACCCACCACCCTGTTTCGAGATGACTGACTCACTCAGAGGAGCAGAAAAATAAACGTGTGGAAAAGAGAGCCACTTTTGCTGCCGCCGAGAGGAGTCAAATATTTTGACCCGGACCGTTGAGAGCGGCGCATTTGTCATCTCTTGTCATTCGTGGTCACGTCGAATTTATACATGCTGCCCGCTAAGTAAGGTCATGTGGGCTGTGAGTCATTCATTCAGACGGAGACGACCAGAG